TATTAAAACAGCTACTTTATAATCTTATACCCAAACCAAAAAATGCATGATTCACATACAGCAGCTCTATTGATCCTGGGGCAAACCTGCAGTAATAAGAACGGACTTCAGCCGCTGAATGTGGAACTTTGCAAACTAGGTCAAAACCACGGAGTGAGACATGCTCAGCAATAGAAATAAAATACAAACTCATGCCTACATAACTACTACCTCTGTCTTCATAAGTGAGACAAAGCCATAGCACAAAGATGCTTTGGTAGATGTGCTTCGAAAAGTAAAAACTAAGAAGATGAAAATAAGAATAGTGGTTGCAAGGCTTTGGGTTAGAATTCTCTGGATGACATTTGAATGGAGGATACCTGCTGCTGTACATTTGAGAAGACCAGTGGAAGTCAAGGTCCCTTCAGATCAGATTAAACTATTGTGACTGTGGAAACATCCAAGGATAGAATAATGGCTGCAAGAAGGGATCTAGCTGCATTGCAGAGAGAGGGAAACTCATGGCTACTTCTCAGTGCGCAGAAGCGACAGGCCAAGTCACGTGGAAATGAAGAGTGGAAAGAATTCTTTTTTACTAGTACATGTTTACATACATGCAGTGCACAATCATTTCAGGGGGTGGGTACGTGCACACACTACAGCTTTTTTTTTTAAGCCCCTTTCCTTTCCCTCTACTCCCTACCTCCTCCTTCCAATTCCTCTATCCCAATTTTCATCCTCTCTGATGTTATTAACCTTAACTCATGTTAGGTATATAATGATCATATTAATTGAGGTTATCAGGTGCATGCACATAGCATATCTTTATTCTATCTATCTCCCCTTCCCTCCTCTCACCCTCACCCTTGTTCCCTGACTTCCCTGTTGCAAGGAATTCACCCCCTTGTCACTTCCTTTTATTATTTTTTGTTTATACTGTGCCTCAGCGAAATGAGAAATACCATGTGATATTTAAATTGGTGTTATTTCATTCAATGTTGTATTTTCCAGGTGCACCTATTTTCCTACAGATGTCTTAAGTTTTTCCATCTTTATAGCTGAGTGGTGTGCCGTTACACACGGGGATCACATCTTCTTCTGCAAACCACCAGCATACAGGCTGCTTCCAGGATTTAGCTATTACTAATTGTGCTACTATAAACATTGATATGATTGTATTGCTGTAACATAATGTCTTAAGTTTGGAGGGGGAATTATCTAGGAGGGGAATTCTGGGTCAGATGGAATTTCTAATTTTAGTTCTTTGAAAAATCTTCACAGTGATTTGCATAATGGATATACTAGTTTACATTCTGCCAACAACTGCATGCCAGCATGTTATTATTTGAATTATTTTGTTTTTGTACCTGGGATCAAACTCATGGCCTCAACTTGCCAGGCAAGTGCTTAGGACACTGAGCTAAATCCTTCGGCTATTATTTGAATTCTTAATGATTGAAATTCTTCCCAGAGTATGAGGGAATCTTTCTTTCTTTTTTCCTTTTTTCTTTCTTTCTTTCTTTCTTTCTTTCTTGGTGCCAGCGATCAAACTCTTGAACTCGCGTTTGCCAAGCAGACACTTATGCCACTGAGCTAAATCCCCGACCAAGAGGGAATCTAATTGTGTTTTAATTTGCATTACTCTAATGTTCAGAGGTGTTGAACATTTTTTCATATATTTGTTAAGCATTTGTATTTCTTCCTCCGTGAAGTGTTTGTTCATTTCTCTTGACCATTTTTTGACTGGGTCTTTAATTGTGGGTGATTTATTTATTTAATTTAGTTCTTTGCATATTTCAGACCCTAGCCCTCTGTTTAAGGAGTAGCTGGCAAAAAATTTCCCATCCTGTAGGTTATCTATTTACTCTCATGATCGATTCTTTTGATGTACAGAAACTGCAATTAGAAGTGAAAAAGGCAAAATCACAAGACTCTGCTGAAATTCAGAAGACTCTAATAAAATGGACAATTCAGAATAGATTCCTAAATACATATGAAATACGAAAGCTGAACCAAGAAGATATAAAAATCCTGAATCACCCAATATCAAGGATAGACAATAAAACTGAAGGACTTAAAAAAATATCAATCAAAAAAAGCATAGGTCCCAGTGTAGTCGCTGCCAAATTCTACAAAACTCTAGAAAAGATCTAATGCCAATCTCTTTAAACTCTTTAATGAAACCAAAAGGGCAGGAATAATCCCAAAGACATTCCTGGAAACTAGCATTATCCTCATCCCAAACCAAAATAGCTACCAACTGGAAAAAAAAGACTTACATGCCAATCTCTTTAATAAACACTGATACAATAATCCTCAGCCAAATACTGGCAAGCAACAAGTCATCAAAAATACACATCATGACCAGTTAAGATTCAATTCAGTGATACAGGGATTGTTCAACATACACAAATAAGTCTGATATACCACATAAATAGAAATAAGGATAAATTACATTATCATCTCCATTCATGCAGAAAAAGCATTTGACAAAAACTAGCATTCATTCATAATTTTTCTTAAACCTGAAGAAAATAGATATAGCAGGAGCTCATATCAAACTGACAAAAGCCACTTAGGACAAACCAACAACCAACATATTAAATGAGAAGCAGCAGAGAGCTTTACCTCCAATATGAGGAAAATAGGGATGTCCATTATCACCACTCCCATTCACTGTAGTTCTTAAAACATTAACCACAGCACTCAGACAAGGGAAAGAAATAAAAAAAAATAATATCCATAGGAAAGGGAGAAATCAAATTATCATTACTTGCCAATGACATAATACTCTACATAGAAGATTCAAAAAATTTCACCAAAAGAATATTAAAATTAATAATCAAATTCAGTAGTGGAGCAGGATACAAAGAGAAAAAAATCAATAGTGTTCCTCTACATGAATAATAAATTAGGGAAATAATATTTTTATACATGATAAACTCACCCAGCAAGAAATTTCTCAGAAAGTATTCCCATTGTTTCTGGAGGGTTTTTTTTGTTTTTGGTAATGGGGACTGAACTCATGACTGCATGCTTGCAAGGCAGGCACTTATGCCACTGAGTTAAATCCCCAGCCCACTACTCCTGTTAAGTGATGTATATATAGCTGTACTTAGGACAAGATATGCTGCTATCTGTAATCCAAGATCATGGGCCTCATTCTGAACTGTATCAGCTGGCACTTCTATGCTGGACTTCCAAACATATGAAATTGTGACAAATTTTATTATTTAAGGCAGTAAGTTGGATATGTGTTACATGCAAACCGAGATAACAGAGAGAAGAGACACTGGGCCAAAATGTAACCTACCACACACTGATGGTTTATAATTTCATTTTCCACATGAATTTTTTTTTTATTGGTACTGGGGATCGAACTCACGACCGCCTGCTTGCAAGGCAGGTGCTTATGCCGCTGAGCTGAGCTAAATCCCCAGCTCCCTTCCACATGAATTTTTCACACAAACACACACAAATAATAGTGAACTGAACGGACACTTCATGAACACGATACTCTTCCTGTGTAAGATACGCTGTCTTTTTACTGCTAATTCTGTTTCATTAAAAAAAGTCCACAAAATTTATCCACAAAATTGATTTTTCAAAACCAGGAGTTTGAAAAACTTTGCATATAGAACCCTGGATATACCAGGGGGCATGGAAGTAATAAGGGATCTAGAAGACAAACTTATTATTCAACTAGGTGATGAGAGAATGTTGAATATTTACAAAATACCAGAAAAATGAAGACTGCTCCAAGGTAATTGCAAATAAAGGCTAATTTTGACCACAGCTTCAAATCTTATAAGAATTCATTCATTCAAGTAAATATGTACATATGTATATGATACAATATATAATAATATATAAGATCCTCATCCTCCAGGAGTTCAGTGTAACAGAGATCACACAAAAGTGGCCGGAGATTACAGGGCATTGTTCTAGGGACTGTGACTGAGAGTTATGTGGGTTGCTTGGGTCCAGAGTGGGCTCTTCATTCAAAGCGAGGAGGGCAGATATGGAACTGGTAATTCCTGGAGGTTGGGAGGTGACATCTCTCCAAACAAAGGAAGTCACAATATGAGAATATGGACTTTACAGATACACAGAGCATCCCACGAGTGGCCTCTGCAACTAGCAAGGAGGTGCAGATAAGACAATGGCCAGAGGGATTGGGGAGCTTGAGTGATCCATCAAGGGAATCCACTGGGAAGTTCTGAGGAGGGCAGTGGAATCACCGGATGTCTGGTTTTCAATGATAATGGAAGGCACCATCTAGTAAGTCAGGCTGAAGCAAGGAGCTGTGGGAGACTTAAGTGCAAAATCAACAGAAAAACAGTACAAATGGCCTGGACCCAGGCACTGTGATGAGACTAGGGAGGTGGGGGCTTTTGAGAGGCACTAAGGATACAGTAGCAGGTGGACTGAAGGGAGTGTTGAGGGTCACATTTGGGGTGATCCCAGCTTTCCATCAGACTCAACTAAAGTGGGGTGTATGTCATCCACTCATATAAAGAACAGTTCAATTATGGACATAATGTTTTGAGTGCTTGTAGTGACCCACTAGCCCTTGGATCTTGGGCTTTGGGAAAGGGGAAGGCTTGGTGTTGAGAGACAGAGAAATCACAGAGAAAAGCTATGGGTCCTGGTATGTAGCTCAGTGGTAGAACATTTGCCTCATATGCTTAAGACCGTGGATTCCACCTCCAATGTTGTGAGGGAAAAATAATAATAGATACATAAAGTGGGAGCAACTGAGCATTGTGGGTGAAGACCTGGGAAGGCGTCAAATTAAAAGAAATTACTGATTTGCTGAGAATGTGACTTTAGATGCCTGTTAACTCAGCATCGGCACACACAACACCCATCCCCATTTCCTTTCTGGCTACCCCAGCTCTCACAGGTAGAACAATGTCTTCAACATATTCATTCAACATAATGCCTTCTTTAGAGCCTGCAGCAAAGGCAGGACAGAAGCAAGGGTTACTCTGGATTTAGCCATAAACACAGGGTAAGGGCCAGATCCCAAATGTTTATTAGGAAGAGCCTCTAAACTCCTGACAGTTCCCATGCTCTCATGCATGGCCTACTTCCTCCCTGCACAGGCCAGCTTGCAGGGCAGCAGAGAGAATGGAGGAGAGGTTACAGAATGATAAGTTAGATTCCTGATCTAGCACTTTTAGGGCAGTGAAGTTCACAGTTACTGGCTGAACTGTCTCCTCACCCCAAATTTATATGAAGTGCTAACCTTCTGTACCTCAGAGTGAACTGTCTTTGGAAATCAAGGTCTTTAAAAAAGTAATTAAACTAAAATGAAGGTGAATACATGGACCTTAATTCACTCCACTGGTGTCCTTAGAAAAAGAGGAGATCAGGACAAGACAACTTCAGAGGGACCACTGTGAGGACACATAAAGATGCCACCTGAAAACAGATGGGGACTGTTCTGCATGTACCTGGTGTGCATTCAGAAGAAAAATAACATAGTCTTACACCCAGGAGAAGGAAGTTGAGGTGGGAGGGAAATTAAATGTCAACACATGCTGAAACAGACAGGGAATCCACTTTCTATGTTCTGATGAGACTTCACCAAGCACTTTCCCAGCAGCCTTAACTCCGTGTCATCTTCACAGCTGCTTTAGCAACACCGGGGAAATTGTGAGAAATGCTAGCCAGCCAGCAGGCAGGAAACGCTGACACATTGGCGACTTCTCATGTAGCTAACTCCAAAAACCAGCAAAGCACAGTATAGCCCACAAGTCACCTGTAGAGCAACAGCGGGCAGATGAGCACCCACGGCAGGAGTTACTTGTACACCACGCTTGGGCACATTAGGTGCCCATGGCCATGAAACCTGTAAAACACACCTGGGGACAGAAGTGCAGATGGTGACAGAGACAGGGTGTGTGTGCATGGAGTATGGGAGCATGGAAGGGGCACACCTGGGAGACATGCCTTTCCTCTCTTCCCAGCTCCCTTGGCTACATGATCCCTAGATGCTGGAAACAACCACCATTTCCCCACAGGAGGAAGGTGTTGAACTTTAGGGGAGCAGCTAGAAAGCTCCCCTCTCCCAGATTTTTTCTAAAGTGCTTTATGCAGCCCCTACTTGCTCCCCCCACACCCTAAACTTTCCTGCCTCTCAATGTGGCCACTTTCTCCCTGTTCCAGGACCTGTCATTTTCTGATATTCTGTCCCTCCTGTTCCTGCTCTAATGCTGTCACCCCGTCTCCCAACAGTCCATGCCTTCCAGTGTCCTAAGGACGCATCTGCTTAACTGTCCTGTGTTTAATGTCTTTCTTCTTCCCCCCTCCCGCCTGCCCGTCGTGGGGTCCGTCCCCTTGCTGTCCTTGCTGATGGCTTCTGAGAGCTTCTCCGCTGGCCAAGTAGGTGTCCTGTTTTCACTCCTCCATGTTGGTTGCCCTTTAGGGTGCATTTTCCCAGGTTACCAAAGCGCATGGCTTTGCTTCTTTCTAAGCTGTTCTGATCTTTTTTCCTTCTCCAACTTTCCCACTTTTGTGCAGTGTTCTTTTTTCTTTTTTTCCCCCCAGTGCTTCTTATTAGATACACATGTTCTTCCCTCTTTTTGTGAACAGTCTGCAAACCCATTTGTGTCCTATGCCGAGTTTTTCCACTTTTTCTTTCATCTTGAAAGCGGTGCACTGGCTCCACGAGATGCCAATCGATGGGCCTTATGACGTCACAGGCGAGGCCCTCCTAGGGACGGGTTATGGAACGGTATGGAGACCTGAGGAGAGTGAGGCAGGCAGGTTGAGCGAAGCCCGCCACCTGGAAGCGCTGTCAATAGTTCCCCACCTCCCGTAGGGACGATCTCCACTGTCCGTGGCCCTCTGCCCTGCGCGCGCGACCCCCGCCAGGCCGGACCTAACGATACCTGGGCCAATCGCGCCCTAGCGGATGAGAGAGCAGCAGCTAGGAAACCCAGCGGCTCGCAGGCACAGACGGACGCGCACTGCATCCTGGGAAGACCTGGTGAGTTTGCGCGGCGCCCGCGGAGACGCGCATGCGCAGGGGCGCTTAGGTGCATTGTTCTGAAGTCAGCTACGGATGCGGCGGTTAGGACGAAGTGGCTCGCGGGATTACCTTACCTTCAAAGACGGTGAAAGGTCGAGAAGGGCAGGCGGCGCCTGGGCGCCCGGCAGCCTCTGCCCTGAAGAGAATCTTTGGCCTCAGCAGTAAGGGCCGGGCACCCTCGAGCCCCGCGGACCCGCGGAGTAGCTGCAGGGATGCGCGGCACGGCGTCGTGGACATGGCCGTGGGCAAGCTCCACAAGGCTGCCAGCGGGGGCGATGTGGCCAGGGTGCAGCATCTGCTGCTCCTCGGGAAAAGTGGCCTGAATGACAGGGACAAGAAGCACAGGTAAGGGGCTGCGGAGCGAGGGCCTGCAGGTGGGGCGGTGCAGTGCGGGCAGTGGCGGGACCAGGGTTCAGGAGGGACACAGCGAGTGAGGAGGCGGGGACAGGCGGGCAGGGGAGGGAGAAAGGGGAGGTCACCTTCCCAGGGAGGCTAACCTTGGACAGGCTCTGTCCCCAGGCGGTCTTTATGAGCAGCGAAATAAAAACAAAACCTCAGCTAGTTTTCACTGGACCTACGCTTCCTATTATAGATCACTTTATTGACTACTTAAAAGCCATTTAACTGTGGTAACAAATGTGCCTATAGTATTTTATTCGGGATGCCACGTTAAGAGAACCGTTGGAAACAGTGTGCATGTATGGTCTTTACTAAGGATATTGAAATGGGAAGGCAGCTCCATGTTCTTGACTAGAAAGATCCGTTAGTCCCCAAATCTGAACTTTCTATCAGTTTTATAGAAACCAAATAAAAATGTCACATAACACTTGAGTTCCTTGAACCCTCTTTTGCTGTTGTGTCACCAAGAAAATGAAAGTCTGTCTTCCGAGGTATCAAAATAAGCTATTTTCACAAATTAATCGTTCACCAACAGACCAAATGACAGGTAAATGACTGTAACTTAATAGAAAATCCAGAAACACTCAAGTATCCATAAGAATTTAGAACTTGATACAGGTCATCTCCTTTTTAGTTGAAAAATCAGATTTACCCTTAAATGCCTGTGAACTGTTTAAAAAAAAAAAAACTAGCTAGATTTTTATGGCACAAAAGTACCTAATGAGTATAAGTTAAAAATTTTAAATAATACAAATGAGAGAAATACCAGAAGAAAACACAAATGCCTATTTGTTCCTTCCTAAGAATGACCCCAAAAACAAGCGTTCTTTTCTTTGCAGTGGAGGTTGCTTCTAGGACCTGGAGCATGCTAAACACACTACCACTGAGCCACCCCCTCCCCCATTGTACTCTGAAGGTTGACTATCAAAAGAAAAATTAAATGCCCTTACATATTAGAAAAAAATTAACAGAATGAAAGACAGCACACTTGCATTTACAACATATAGCAGATGAAAAATGTATGTTTATCTTACAGAGAATTTTTTCAAATCATCAAAGAAAAAGCATTGAATCTTAACTTATTTTGGTACTGGGGAGCACACCCTGTAGGCTTCAAGCCCTGGACTGTACACTAAGCTATGCTGAACTCTAAATCAGGTTCTGTGGCAGATCTACAAGTGACTTATAAACATAAAAAGAAATATTTAGTGTCCCCGGTAAAGGGAATTTAAATTTGTTTTGTTTTGGTTTTTGGAGGCAGGATGTTGGCTGTGTTATATAGGCTGGCATTGAATTTACTTATGTAGCCTAGGCTGGCCTTGAACTCACAGTAATCCTACCCTAGTCTCCCAAGTGCTGGTTTTACAGGCGTGCACCACCACATCTGGCTTCGGAATTTAATTTTACATTCTTTATTTTATAGTTGTTGTTTTTGTTTTGGTTTTTTTGTACCAAGGACTGAACTCATGACCTCACGCTTGCCAGGCAGGCGCTAGGGCCGCTGAGCTAAATCCCCAGCCCCTCCTCTTTTCTTTTCAAACAAAAACATTTTCTGAAGGTTGGAAATTATACGAGACTCATGAACTGCTCTTTTCAAAATGTGTAGCAGTAATAAATGCTTATATTAAGCAAAAGAATTACTGGATTTCTGTGCATTGTATAAATCTAAATACTGGATAAAATGAGCCGTACCTACCCAATTGAATCCTGGGTTTTATTCAGAAAATTTTAAATGAAAAACTAAAGGTTATTATTTTTTCTTTATCTTGTTTTATTGTTATTCAGCACTCATTACGTGTAGCAGTTTTTAAATACCAACCTTATGACTACAGCTGCTGTAGACCTGTTGTGTACATCATGTTTCACTCAATGTAAGGCATCATGGATTGTGTGATGACGCCATCTGAAGAAAACTTTAAAAGCCAGTGCTGTGGGATTTCCGCACAGAGAGGCTTTTTTCCAGGGAGTAGCTTTATATATGCTGGCACTAACTCAGGAGATTTGTATTCAACATGACATGGTTGCACCCCTGCTTTTTTTTTTTTTTTTTTTTTGTCATTTAGACAGGGTTTCACTGTGCAGTTCAAGCTGGCCTTGAACTCACTTTGTGGCCCAGGCTGGTCTCAAACTTGCTACAATCCTCCTGCCTCAGCCTCCCAAGTGCTGGGATTACAAGAGTACGCCACTATGCCCTGCCAAGTTGAACGCTTTTATACAATTTTTGTGTCTTTGTCTCCCTTATATGGGCATACACAAACATTTTACAATCTGATTGGGTTCTGCTGATGGATTGGGTATGATTTATGATACAGTTATATCAGAACTATGCTTGTATATACAGAGGCTGATATTGCTACACTGTAAAAAGTCCCACCCGCAGGTCAGGAGGGGCCCTATCATACCACCAGTTATGGTTATAACATATCTCATGAGCTATGTGTGACTTTCCATTTATAGAGATGTTAAAATGTGAGAAGAAAAATCTTTAAGACTTAGCAAAATAATCCTAACCCCACAAAGTGCATATGAATTATTTTATTTTAATTGAAATACTATCTTTGTTAAGTAGTAATAGTAGTAATTATAGTATCTAGCAATTATTGAGCTGTTATTTATTCTAGAAATTGTTCTAAATAGTTTGCATGGATTCTTATATAACCATCACAGTGTTCTGTGAGATAACCACCTTCATTCCTCATTGTGTAGAAGAGAACATAGAGGCATAGAAAGGCTAAATAATAGCTAAAAAGTAACAGCTTAAAGTAGGAATGAAACTCAAGTTGAGTTAAATCCAAGGCATGCTCTTTCTTTAACTTTTTTTTTTTTTTTTTTTTTTTTTTTGGTACCGGGGATCGAACTCACGACCGCTTGCTTGCAAGGCAGGTACTTATGCCACTGAGCTAAATCCCCAGCCCCGGCATGCTCTTTCTATTCCAGTAGGCCGGGTACGCTAGGCTGGGAGGTAGTGCAGTGTAGAGCTTGCTTGGTACATGCAAGCCACTGGCTTCCATCCCCTGTGTCACACACAAACACAGAATCACCCAGCTGCTTCGCTAATAAGAATTCTACGTTTTAGAAGAAAATGGAATATTTGTTTTGAAGGCTATTTAATGTTCACGATTATATGAGTAATTGTGCATTTTGAAATAGAGCTCTGTAATATCTTATAAACTTTCTGTCACAGGACCGCTCTGCATTTCGCCTGTGCCTATGGCCATCCAGAGGTGGTGACTCTCCTGGTAGAGAGGAAGTGTGACATTGATGCCTGTGACAATGACAATAACACCGCTCTGATTAAGGTAGGTAGCAGCCAATAATTTCACTGTGAGATGAATTGTATTTAGATCAGAAAAAAAAGTGAATCAATGTAATTTAAATATAACTGTTTGGGAAGGGATACGGAAAATCTGTTTTGAGTTCCTTGAATTCACGGCGTCTCTCTTGTTACAATACCTACAGGCTGTGCAATGCGACCACGAGGAATGTGCGACTATTCTGTTGGAACATGGTGCAAATCCAGATGTTGCCGATGCCAGGGGCAACACTGCTCTGCATTATGCAATCTATAGTGAAAACACATCAATAGCTGCAAAACTGCTTTCACACAATGCAAATACTGACGCAAAAAACAAGGTATGGACCAGTCAAGTTTATTTCCAAAATATTTTGAAATGCGTTCATGTTAACAGTGACATACAGGTCACTCAGTGTTCTTTTGTGAAGCTCAAGCATTCCATGCGTGGAAATACAGTGTTTTAAATAACTTAGTTGTTAAAGATTTCACTTTAAATGTTGGTAGTTTTAAAGAAATAATAGAGAATACAGGTTTGTTATATGCACTCACAGCCAGTATTTGTGAAAATACTGAATTTTTTAAAAGTAAATTTTTTTCTGATTTTTTTTTCCAAAGTTATTTTCTTAATTAGTGTAAAACAAACAAAGAACAGCAAACTTAAGCAGAGCAACAGTGTTTTACAGTTAGTGGAAATCTTGTTTGCTGTTGACAGTACACAAAAATGATTAACTTTTCAGTGGTTTCACATTAATGGGAAAAATGAAAGGTGATTAGAAATAATGCAGGCCAGTGGGAGTGGGTTGGTTGGTTGGTTGTTTCGCTTGTTTCTGAAAAAATACTTTTCTGGTTTATGTGTATAGATAAGATTCTCTTCAATTTCAGTAATAAAAATTCTTGTTTTCTTTTGAGTACTGGGAATTGAACACAGGGTCATCACACTGAGCTACATCTCCAACTCTTTTATGTAATTTTTTAGTTTGAGACAGGATCTCACTTAGTCGTCTATTCTGAGCTTCAATTTGCAGTCTGCCTCAGCTTCCCACAGTGCAAGGATTAGAGGCCGTACCTTGGGAATAAAATTCTTAATTAGGAAAGAAAGTTGTATAGTTATAAACCTGCAATTTTAGGCGAACTCTGAGGAAGCCAGTTTGACACTGACTGAATGATTAGGTGGAAAGCCAAGAGGATGAACAGATAACAGACATCCCCTCCTTTCAGGTGGAGACAGCAACTAAGAGAAGAGTCTAGATTTCACTCTCACCCTATAATGTCTTGCTGGGAGATAAGGAGCTTGTATATAAATCAGTTGCATTTTGAATTTAGGAGCGCTTATTCTGCCCTGAGCCAAGAAGATTAAATGGAGCTTTCACGGAGTAACTTTCTCTTACTTTCCTTTCTTTTGGCCAGATCCTCCAGTAGTGAGGAGAACTGGCTGTGCGGATGAGAGCTGAGACTAAAGTGGTCTTAGACTTGTACATCTCAGTGGTCTGAGGAAAGTTTTGAAAATGTACAAATTGAGGCTCTCCTCTGGAGGTTTTAATTCTGTAAATCTATTAAGGCCTGATAATGGATATTTAAAAATATTTCCTGAAGATTCTGATATAAGCTCAGAACCATTTAATAGATGAGTATGTTTAATGAGTTCCTAATTCTCAAAAACTTAAGAAATTTCAAGATGTTTGATTAAATACCACTTTCTTCTAATCTCTGCTTTCCAACAATATTAGTCCAAATTTCGTTTGTCTTTCTCTGCCTCTGTCAGTGGGAAGTTAAAAGGGTGCCTTCAGTGATGCTATTGCCATGCAGAATGCCTCTCACTTTCCTTCCAGTCTTCAGTCATCCACTGCCGTTGAGAGGCTCTGTAGAAATTCACTTATGGTTGTGGCTGAATCTAAGAATTCCACACTTTTTTATTATTATAGCATGAGGTCAACAAACGTTGAGTATTTGCAGGATTTTAAATAATACCAACCATGAGTCTTTTCATTTGAAGGCATGTTATAGACTATCTTGGTGTGTTAAGTTCAGCAAGCCCTGGCAGGAAGAACATAGATGTGAATGCTTTTCTTAAATTTGTATTTACTTTTTGTGGTACTAAGGATTGAGCTTCGGGCCTCCCCGCTGAGTTACATCGCCAGCACTCGGCATTCCTCACTCCATTGCTTGAGACAGACTCACTGCGCTTCCTAGGTGGAACTCAAACCTGGATCATTCTTCCTGCCCTCACTGCGCTAAGATTGCTGGTGTGCACCACCGTGCCCAGCTGGGAATTCTGTTGATAATTTAGTTTCAGTACTCCTATGAAACTATTTAACAGGGGGAATTGCAGGCAAAAGGAGGATAAATTTAAGTGTTGGAAAAATTATTGAAACAGAGAAATGAATCTTTTCCTTTTCATTGTGAGACCTTTTTGGTAAAACATGATGTTAAAGGAAAAATTTTATGTGAAAACACTTGCCTTGTTACACAACCATTTGGAAGCACACGCACTGCAAATATATAAACAAAAGACTGGACTAAATGTTAGCTACTTTTAATTTTGACTCCATAAATTGAATCTGCATTGAAATTTCAGAAAACACCAGCAGAATTTGAGGTTCAGAATGCTCTGAAGGAAGGGCATCTCGTCTCTTCAGAGCCCATGTGACTGTTAGGGTGTGCCCTCTATATATGAAGCTCACGTGTTTTCGCCAGTTTACTGTAGAGTCCACTACTGTGCCTCTACGAGAGTTTTCAGCTCTTAAGTTATGATAATGTTTTAATAAAGTGTCAGAATTACAAGATATTTTGTATTAATTTATAAGAATGTAATCTGAGCCAGGTATGGTGGCGCATGTCTTTAATCCCAGCACTCAGGAGGCTGAGGCAGGAAGATCCTTACAAGTTTGAGACCTACCTGGGCTTCAAAGTGAGCTCAAGGCCAGCCTGAACTGCCTAGTGAGACCCTGTCTCAAAAGACAATAAATAAATAATCTGTATTTTATGGTAAATTCTTAAAAATGGAATTTAGAAGTTATTTTGAAAAGTTTTCCCTTATAGATAATTGTGTTCCTACTAAAATGTCGACAAGCCTTATTAATAATCATGATTACAACATAATACAATAATCATGATAATTTATGCATGCTACCAATAATATTAATATCTTCTTCTTTAGCCTTATCCCTTAAAAATACAAGTGACTTAGTGGCTTTCATTACAATAAAATTAATCCATATTGAGCAGTATTAGAATTTATTCATTATGATAAAGTCCATATTGACCAGTATTTGAATTTATTCATTGATAAAATTCATATTGAGCAGTATTAGAATCTTTATTGATAAATCATATTTTACCGATTTTTTTTTTTTTTTGGTCTTTTTCGTTTTTATCGGTACCAGGGATTGGAACTCATGACTGCCTGCTTGCAAGGCAGGCGCTTATGCCGCTGAGCTAAATCCCCAGCCCCGCTCTGATTTATATTTTGCCTAAAATAAAGAACCTTAGCAAAAATTAAAACAGAACCAGAATAAAAACTTATTAAAAGGGTATATATGCATGTGTGGATCCCACAATTATCATTATAAATGAGAACTGAAGTTTTGTACTGAGTTTTCTAACAGCTAAGATAATATTTTCATCTAATAATAGGAGAAAAATCCATAGACAGTTTAGTAATAAGCACTCAGGTCATTTGGAGCCTATCTCACAATGGAGTGATCATGTCCTGGGCACTTGTTTGAAGGAGGAATGGTTGACAATTGTGCTTGGATCCTGACACGAGAGGTAGAATCCATAGTGTCTTCCATAACCCAGAGGAAATTTTCATGTTATTAGAAAGCTCTTGATGCTGTATTCTTGAAACTTAATTCTTCAGGTGTCAATATTTGTCAGAAAACAAGTATTGTTAAATAGAAATAAAGCAAAGTTAAAGAGATTTTAATACTGAAAAAATAATGCACTGTTTTGTAATTTCTCAAATAGATCATTATTGAATCTGTTGAGACTTAGAACTTGTTCTTTAGAACTTATTCTTTAGGTTACAGACTGAGAATCCCTGCCCTAGAGATGATAATTTAGCTCATTATTTCAATAAAAATACTTAAATCTTTTACTACTGTGTATTAACGTTTGGGGCTACTGAGATAAAAGATATGACCCCTGCTCTTAAGACGCTTTTGATTTAGGTGGAAGGTGTCATGTAACTCCAGAGTACCATGATCCGTGCTGTCATGGGAAGATCCTTGGAACCAGTGAATGGAGCAAGTTTTGATGCTTGAGTTCATGTAGCCACTCTGGGCAGACAGCGCGCACTGCAGAGGGCAGAGGGCAGTATACACGGAATCACTGGGAGCTTGAAGGAAGAGACTGCTGTGTGTTTGTTACCTATATTAGTTTATAAGCAGAGGGCCTTTTACGAGGTTTTCAGTTCAGATGAGAATAGGCAGTTGTGTGGATTATAAATTGTTTGCCCTTGTTCGCAGGATGGCCTCACACCACTTTTGCTTGCGCTAAAGGAAAACAGACTGGAAGTGGCAGAATTGTTTGAAAAGAAAAAAACAGATATTAATATGTTGGATAAGCCCGGAAGGTATAGTTTGTTTCTTTCTTTTTTTAACAAGACTTTAGTAGTATTCTAGAGTAGTAATGATCAAGTCAAATAATGCAGTCAAATAAATCAATAGGAAAAGTAACTTACAGTTACTGGGATATAATGAAAAATAATCAAAGCAAACCCCATCAAACACAAAACAGTTATTTGGATTTGGTAACATAAAGAACACTGTATAGTAGGATTCATGCTCTGTTATATAGTAGTATTGACTGATGTTTTTAAATGAGAAAATAAAATTTTATAACAAAATAATGAAGTAACAGTTATTATACCATGTATTGTTATCTTCAGAGTACTTTCTCAGAATACAAGACATTAACCAAAAGATTCTTACAGTAAAGAAATAGATAACAAAACTTTTTCAGTAATATAAATGAAATATCAGTACATATATTAAAATACTTTTGAAAGAATGAAATATGTAATTTGCGGAAGTATTCTGAACTTTTCCCTACTTCCTGTTTGGTATATTTATACATGTATATGTATATACGCACGTATATGCATGTATTGTTTCTCATGAGAAACCATGCAATATTTGAGCTTATGTGTCAGACCTATTTCACCTTACTTTATATTCTCAAATTGCATGCACTTACCTATGAATGCCTCAAGATTATCTTTCTTTATCACAGTATAGTACTCCATTATGTATATATACCATTTTCCTTATGCATTCCTCTTGATAGACATATGCACTGTTTGAAAGATGTAGCTGTTATAAATTGTGCTGTTATAAACATAGATACTATGTGTCCCTTTAGTATGATTTTAACTCTTTGAGAAGGGGCATAGCTGGCTTGAATGGAATTTCTATTTTTAGTTTTTAAGGAATCTCCACAGTGATTTCCATAGCGGTTGTACTAGTTTACATTCCCACCATCAAAATTCCTTTTCCCCTCACATTCTTGTTATCATTTAAAATTAATTTTTTTATGAATACCATTCTTTCTAAGGTAAAATGGTATCTCAATGTAGTTTTAATTTACATTTCTCTGATGGCCAACAATAATGATTATTTTTCATGTATTCATTGGGTATTTGTACTTCTAGGAAGTATCTTTTCATTTCAGTTGCCTATTTGAGTTTTATTTTGGGAGGTCTAATTTTTTTACAGTTTTTTATATATTCTTGATGTTAGTCCTCTGCCTGTGGAGTAGCTGGTAAAATTTTTTTCTCATTCTAAAGGGTGTCTCTGTACTCTGTTGGTTGTTTCCCTTGCAATACAGAAGCTTTTTAATTTGCCCTGACCCCGTTTGTTGATTCTCAGTATTATTTCTTGTGCCATTGGGGTTTTGTTCAGAAAGTCCTTGCCTATGCCTGTGTTTTCAAGTATTACCTGTTTTATCTTCCAACAGATTATCTCTGTTTTAACATTTAGATCTTTGACCATTTTGATTTAGTTTAGCACATGGTGAGATATATGAATCTAGACTCAATCTTTTGCAGGTAGGTATCCAATTTTCCCAGCACCATTTATTAAAGACACTGTCTTGCCTCCAGTATATGTTTTTGGCTTGTCAAAGATCACATAGCTCTGTGTGCCTTGAGTTGTTGTTTCTTCTGTTTTGTTCCACTGATACGTGTGCCTGTGTTTGTGCCACCGTGACTTCGTAAACTTTATACTGTAACTTCAAGTCTGTGGTTATGATGCCACCTGCTTTGCTTTTGTTACCCGGGATCGCTTTTGCTATTCTGGGTCTCTTCTGATTTCATATAAATTTTAGAACTGTTTCTTTAGCTCTGTGAGAAATGGCGTTGGTATTTTGCTTGCAATTGCATTGTATGTTTATCAATTTTGAAAGTCAGGCAGTTTTGACACTGTTAGTTCTGCCTATCCAGAACGGGCAATGTCTTTCCATTTTCTGATGCGTTCAATTTCCTTTTTAATAGTAATACAATTTTCATTGTAGTGGTCTTTGCTTTATTATTCAATACCGAAGTATTTAAAATTTTTGGTGCAATTATGCTACTTGTTTTTCAATGAGTTATTAGTGTATAGTAATGATACTGATTTTCATGTGTTTATTTTATGTCCTGATACACTGATAAATTTGGTTATCAAGTTTGGGAGTCTTGCTGGACGTTTTTGGGTTTTATAAGTAGAAGATCATGTCATCTGCAAATGATATTTTGACTCTGTCCTTTCCTATATGTATCCTTTTATTTCTTTCTCTTGCCTTATTGTTCTGGCTAATATTTCAGTGACTACATTGAACAGGAATGGTGATAATGAATCTCCTTGTCTTGTTACTGATTTTAGAGATTTTTTTTTCCTATTTAATACGATGTTAGCAGTAGGATGGCCATACATGGCTTTTATCATATTGAGATAAAGACCTGTACCTATTTTCTTCGGGGTTTTTATCATGAATGAATGTTGGATTTTGTCAAAGGCTTTTTCTGCATCTGTTAAGATGATCATGTGATTTTTTGTGATTTTTGTCCTTCTGTTTATGCGATGATTTACTGATTGGAGTTTATTGAACTGTTCTTGTATCCATGGAATGAAACCTACTTGGTCAGGGTGTGTGTTCTTTTTGATGATTTGTTGCATTTGTTTGCCAGTATCTTGTTAAGAATCTTTACATCTATGTTCATTAGAGAAATTGACCCATAGTTCTCTTTTTTGATTGTATCCTTGTCTGGTTTTGGGATCAGGATAATATTAACTTCCAAGAATGATTTTTGAAGACTCTTTTCAATTTTGCTAAAAAGTTTAAAGAGTATTGATATTAGATCTTCCCTGAAGTTTTTGTAGAATTTCACTGTAAACCTGTCAGGTCCTAGGCTTTTCTTAGTTGGTTTTTTTTTTTTTTTTTTTTTTTTCCAATTCTTCAATTTCCTTGCTTGATGCTGGGTGATTCAGAATTTTTATATCTTTCTGATTCAATTTTGGTAATTCATATATATCTTGGAATCTCTCCAACTTTTTCTGTGTTCTCTAATTGTTTAGCATATATTTTTGTGAAGTAGTTGCTAATAATTACTTGCATTTTGGCAATGTCTATTGTTATTTTACTTTTTTCATTTCTAATTGCATTATTTTGTGTCTTTTCTTTCCTTTTTTGGTGAAATTGGCTAAGGATTATCTTTTCCAAGCTCTTCAATTCAGTAATCTTTGCATTGTGTATTTAGTTCCCATTTCATTGATTTCTGCACTGATCTTGATAATTTCCTTCCTAATACTAGCTCTGGGTTTGGATTATTCTTGTTTGTCTACAATCTTGAGGTGCATCACTAGGTTAATTATTTGAACTCATTCTTTTTTCCAATGAGGATATTCACTGCTGTATGCTTCCCTCAGAGGACTGCTTTATCATGTCATATATTTTGGTATGCTGTTCTTGCAATATCTTGTAGTTCTAGGAACTGTCTGTCTTCTTCGTTAATTTCCTCAGTGGCCCACTGATTATTCATTCAGTAATGTGTTGTTTAATTTCCATGTGTTTAGTTTCTGTGGTTTCTTTAGCTACTGATTTCTAGTTTTCATTGTACTGTGATCTGATAATATGCATGGAGAATTTCTTTTCTTTTGCATTTACTTAGGTGTGCTTTATTAACTAGTAGGTGTTCTGTCTTGGAGAAAGTACCATGTGGGACTAAACAGAATGCGTGTTCTGCTGTTGAGAACTTTTAGAGATGCACATGAACCTCACATAGCAGACATTTGCAGATGCAAACAAATCACAGAAGTAGCTCATTTGTCTGCCAGGCCTTGTCACAGTTGTGTGGCTATGTGCGTATTCTACAGTGCAATAGTGCACAGTAGTAGAGATCAGTCAGAACTCAGGATATCTGGAAGCAAAAATAAAAGCGGTGGTGATGCAATGCAGAGGGGGCTGCTAGGAAGTAGTACAAAGCAATAACCATGGAAACAAAGTGAAAATAATTGAGAGATTGGACTAAGGCAAAAAGGTGGTAGAAATAACTCATTTTTATAATATGAATCATTCAACCATTGGCACAGTTGACTTTCTACTAATTTCATTTACCCTTACATTAATCCTCTTTGATTGATATCTAGGGGCTTTCAGATCCATTTTCCATGTTCCTTTTTTGTTTCTGTGGTATCTCTCATTAAGTGACCAGCCCTTCCCTCTGGGTCTGAAACTGTTCACATTGGTTGCTTTTGCTACACATGCTTTCAGTGATGTTTTCTTCGCCTGGATTTCTGTTTGAATTTTCAGACTTACGTTGTAGCTTTTTTTAGTTGTATGGCTGTGTTTTGTTTTGTTTTGTTACTAGTTTTATATTTTTATGCTCAGTTATTGTTCCTGAACCAGCAGCACTTCACTTTGGCAGCTGGACCTCCTAGCTTAGCCACATGCATAGTAAGCAAAATGACTTATTTCCCGTACTCGCAAGCCTATATGAAGCCTACATATTAGCCTAGACCTTCATGTGGCTTATGCTTCGAGATCTTCATTAGTCCCCTGCCAGCAAATAGGAATTGGGATCATCGTAAATTCTGGAGAGTTTCAAATAATGTTTCAGAAAAAGATTGGTATTTCTTTTTTCTTTGCTACCAGATCTTTACCCAGAAACACCTTTGTACTTTGTAGCATCTTTCTTAGGGTTATGAAAGGTTCCAAATCACCCCCAGAATTGGTGCCAAATTCTGAATGGCCCCATTCAGAATGAAAAGCTACTTGTGTCTCAGTATCAAGTTTCTAGAATATTTTTACATTCTATCTCGTGAAGAAGCCATTAAATAATATTCTCTGAATTCACAGTAGATTAGTTGGACTTCAAGAGAGCTAAGCCCTATCTGACTTAACTAGCCTCCACATGTAAAAGAGGGGTTTGTCTTCCAAGTCAGTTGGAAACAGACATGGAAATGGAATGAGCAGATCTTGGTTAGAATCACCTCAGAGTTTTGTTGAGTACAAGAGGAAGAGTAGTCTGTGCCAGGTCTTCTTTCAGAGAACCAATTCTTCGATTCATTAATTCTTTGTATTGTTAGTCTCAATTGTGTTAATTTCTGCTCTGGTCTTTATAATTGCCTCCCTTGTATGGGCTTTGGGCTTGACTTGCTCCTCTTCTAGAAGGTTGAGGTACAATATTAGTTTGTTTGTGCTCATTCTGTTTTCTGATACAAGAATTCACCACTATAAATTTTTTTTTTTGTCTTTTTCATTTTTATCAGTACCAAGAATCGAACTCACGACCGCCTGCTTGCAAGGCAGGTGCTTATGCCGCTGAGCTAAATCCCCAGCCCTCCACTATAAATTTTTCTCTTCCAACTGCTTTCATTGCATCCCACAGGTTTTGATACATTGTATCTGCCTTTTTGTCTAATGTAGATACTTTTTTTTTTTCAAGACAATTAGATGTGAATGTAGATACTTTGTAATTTCTTCTTTAATTTCATCTATGACCCATTGGTTGTTCGGGGGATGTTATTTGTGGTTTCTTTTACCATTATTTCCAATTTTATTGTACTATGGTCTGATAATATGCATTAAATAATTTCAATAATTTCAATCCCTTTGCATTTACTTAAGCAGTGTCTGGAAAGCAATCTCACCACACTACAGTCGTGGTAGTATGCATGGGATAATTTCAGTTCCTTTGCATTTACTTAAATATGTTCTGTAGGCTAGTATATGCCCTAGAGAACATCCCATATGCAGCTGAGAAGAATGTGTATTCTGATATTGTTGGGTGGATCCCTGTGAACATCTGCTAGGTCCATTTGTTCACAAGTTTGGTTCAGTTTTATTATTTCTCTGCTGATTTTTTTTGTCTAGTTGTACTCTCTGTGACACTGGGATATTAAGGTCTCCCATTACAACTGTGTTACTGCTTTTTGATTCTTCATGTCTGTTAATATTTGTCTTATATGGGGCTGGGGATTTAGCTCAGCAGCATAAGCACCTGCCTTGCAAGCAGGCAGTCGTGAGTTCGATCCCTGGTACTGATAAAAACGAAAAAGACCAAAAAAAAAAAAATTTTGTCTTTAGAGTTGCGTGCTCCTATATTTAGTGCATACATATTTGTAATTGTTATCTCTTCCTCTTGATGTTTTATGCCAGGTCTTGACGTCAATTAGTTTTCTATCCTTTGTGTGATGAGTTCAGTAGTAAATTGGTTACAGATTTTTTTTTTTTTTTTTTTTTTTTTGTCTTTTTCCTTTTTATCGGTTCCAGGGATTGAACTCACAACTGCCTGCTTGCAAGGCTGGCACTTATGCCGCTGAGCTAAATGCCCAGCCCCTAGTTACAAATTGTTAAAAAAATTGATTTGCCATGAATTATAAGCCACAGAGAATAGCATAGCTAATAACCAAAATTAGGACCTAATGTTTTCTGGTAACTGTAACATTTGAACATTAGAATCTGTGAAAAAGATGCATTGGGTTTTATTTGGATTCCAAAATAGTTCAGCATTAAAGAGCAAATGCTCCATTGCTTCACTATTTCTGAAAGCAGGTTTCTGTGTTACCTCATCAGATCTTCATAGCAACCTGGTGAACTAACGCAGTAAAATCCTTATTGTTAATAAGAAGACTTTGAGCCTAAGAGAAATAAATTGTCCGGGAACAAACAGCTGTTGGTTTTAGAGCTGGAACTCCTGAGTCAAGACACTTTCCTTTAAATTGAGCTAATCCAGCTAATACTCAGAACTGTCTTGGCTTTCTTGATTCATGACCATTTCACCTTATTTACTCTTTTTTTCTTCTTTAATTAGAGGCTTAATAAAGGCTTATAGAACTTACAGACTTAAAGTGTGTGGAAGAAAGTTCTAATATTAGCTCTGTTATTGGCTGAAATATTCTTGGTAATTTAATGTATTTTTATATCAATATTAAATCAGTATTTTTTTAATATAGGCAAATTTTTAAATATGAAGAAAAAGGACTTAATTCTCAAAATAGCCATCCAGGTAAGACTTCTCATAGTAGATTACAATTAGTAGTCCTATACTAATAAAAAAAAGTAAGTGTGGTGGCACAGACCTATAATTCCAGCTCTCAGGAGGCTGAGTGAGGCAGGAGGATCACCTCGAGCTCAAGGCCAGCCTGGGCTACAAAATGAGTTCAAGGCCAACCTAAACTACACAGTGAAACCCTGTCTCAAAAAACAAGAAAAAAGGAAAGAAAAAGTAAGAGAGGATTTTGAACCCAGTAGAGCAGTTTAAAAAATCACTGTGCAAATTGCATTTATTATTTTTAATTTCTTTTTTAATGGTCTAGAATTCACAATTTAAATGAATTATAGGAAATGTTTAAAACATCCCATTTATATAATTTTGACTCCTTAAATCCTATACATGACTAACAGTTTTAAATTGTATGTCTGTTTTCTCTACTAACATAGTAAGGTTTTCATTTTTTAAGTAAAATGGGTTATACTTAGTAAATGAGTAGCATTATGTGATTGTATCACTAAAAAGTGATTTATTTCAATAAAAATGTTGTCACGTTTATCAGTTATTTTCCTGCCCAAGTATGTAATTTAAATTGTTCTATATATTTTTATATTCTTTGATTTGGGAGATAATACCTATGTGCTGTTACTTTCATCTTTTAATTATTTTCAATTATAGACTGAATTGCTATAATATGATGATAGAGTAACTTTTTTTAATTAGTAGCTTTTTTTTTTTTTTTTGGTAGTGCTTGGAACTGAACCTGGGACCTCATACATGCCAGGCAAGTACTCTACCCCTGAGCTCCACCTTATCTACTAATAACTTTGTTTTATAGAACAAGTTTAAGCTCATAGCAAAATTGAAAGTAAGACACAGAGAGTTCCCATTTCTCCTGTGTCTCCCGCGCATACATTGCCTCTCTCCATTGCCGGGTCCCTGCTCCAGAGTAGTGCACTTGTTATAGGTGATGACTTAGACAGGTCCGTCATTATCATCCAGTTCAGATTGGAGTTCTTTGTTTTGTTTTTAAATTGATAGGTTTTTCTTTGTTTCTTTATCTTTCTATCATTTTTCTTTTTTTGCAGGGCTCAGAACTGAACCCAGGACCTCATGTGTGTCAGGCAAGTGCTCTACCACAGAGCTCCACCTTATCCCCTGATAAATTTGCTTTTTAGAGCAGGTTTAAGCTCATAGCAAAATTAAAAGGAAGACACAGAGAGTTCCCGCTTCTCCTGTGCCTCCCACATATACGCCGCCTCGCTCCATTGCCGGTCCCCCGCTCTCGAGTAGTGTACTGGTGATAGTTGATGGCTTGGACAGGTCTGTCATTATCATCCAAAGTCTGCAGTTCAGTGTTAGTGATCTCCTTCTTATGGGTCTAGGTACCTGTATACTGCGTGTGTTTACTATTGTAGTGTCATGTATAGAACAGTTTCTTAGCCTTAGATAGCTCTTGTGTTCCATCTGTGCATTGCCTCGCTGGCCACCATAGTCCCACCATCTCAACCCCATCCAGCACTGCAACCACTGATCTTTTCACTATCTGGACAGTTTTGATTTTACCACAACAACTACATAGTTGGAATAATACAGTATATATTTTTCGAATACTTGAAATAATAAATATTCAAGGTAACAGTGTAATCATTTAAGTTGTTATTTGAATTGCTCTTTCTTTCTGTGGGGATGTTGCCTGGGATTAAACTAAGGCTTTGACCAGTTCAGGCAAATGCTTTGCCACTGAGCTACACCCCCAGCCTTTTTCTTTTTTTTGTTTTTTTGTTTATGAATATGAACTGATGGCATATGCTATATATTCTGAGAAAACATGCTTTCTACAGAGATTCCCCATAAAGAGGAGGGTTCAGAAATGACTTCCTGCCAAACTTCACAGCACTAACTGGACCATCGTGCTCTTTGGGTCCAGCCAGATATTTTGAAAATGGAAGGAGACACTGTGAAATGCTGTACTTCTCCAAATGCATCAGAGTTTCTCAGAACTACCTAGTACTGGGAAGTAAGATGCGGGAGTGAAGAAAAGTACAGAAGAATCAAAATGCTCCTCTTCCTTTGAGGGCTTAGTATAAGTCATATTACTATAATATGACAGATACTATCATTATTGGCGGCGCTCCCTCAGTGCTAGGGATGCGTGGTCTTGTGCAGCCCCAGCCCTGACTCTCTGTGAGTCAGTTCTCTGTCATGGAAATCCAAAGCTCTTGGTGTTTTGTTTTGTTTTGTTTTGTTCACAGTTTACTTGAAGTAAATTGTTTTTTCTTTCACTTGGCACATTCTGAGAGCTTCAGTGAATTATGGACTTATTTTTATATATTTTTTCATATAAGATAGTGCTTCTTGGCAGCTGGATGCAACCTCCCTAGTGCTGACTTTTTCACTTTCAGACTGAAAAAACTTTTAAGTGGTTCTTTGCAGTGGTTCTTTCCGTGAGAAGTAAAATAGCAGATAAACTTGAGCCTAGCTTGCGTCACATGTAAGGCAGAGAAAAGAGCTAGAACTAAAGGGCCTCATTAGCATCTTCCCTAGAAGAGGATTAACAAAAGTAAGTACATTGATTCCTTCTGAGCTCTTCTCCACCGGGAGCTGGCGTCATTGCAGCAATGTTGCACATAAGAGTGCCCATGACAGCTCCCTCATGATAAAGTACTTTATCCTAAAACTCAGCGGTTTCAACTGAAAACCTGCAGCAGCTGTCTGGGTCATAAAAAATAAGTTTACTCTTTTGTGATTGTTTCCATTGTCATTAGTCATGCTACTGTTTGCCACTGTCGGCTTATGCCACTGATAATGCTAATGATAATCGTTTCTGTTAAGATGATACCATTCAGTCAGGATACCATTGTACCCAGCAGTTAGCTTGATTTTAGCTATGATATTTTGATAAAATTCCATTCTTCCTTGTATTTGATAAATAAAAAACGGAAAATAAAGAGTTCTTAATGCTTATCAGTAGTATAATCTTCATTCTAGAATGATCTACAGTTGCAGTCAAATGAATACTTTCCAACAAAGAATTGGTACTATACTTTTACTATTTTATATTTTCTGTTGATTCAAAATATATTTTACCTTTTTCTTTTAATAGTGTGTGAGAATTCTGAAGATGACTCTTTAACCAGGTAGGGATTTATATATTTTTAAATATTATATGTTAACTAATTAATGAATGTAGAGAAAATAAACTTAACATTTTATTATGTTCTGCTCCAGGCTAGCCTGTGCATCTGTGCTATTACAATCTGTTTTTTACTAATTAGGCCGTTGTCATTAATTGGTCTACGATCCTGTAATTATGTGGCTGACTCATGTTTTTACTGTTAGCCTGCCTGATTCCCAGATGCATTCCGTTGCTTACTGCAATGGGACCTCTACAATGCTGGAATCAAAATACAGGTTACAGGGGCTGAGGATTTAGCTTATTGGCATAAGTGCCTGCCTGGCAAGCGCAAGGTCATACGTTCGATCCCTAGTACCAAAAAAAAAAAAAAATACAGGTCACATCAGATCAGTTCAGAAAGTCACGAGTGTGTCGAGTCTCTTTATTTTTCCTGAGAAGCCTGATAAGAGCCCAAGAGTTTGTCCTAATAATGATGATTCACTGATAACCAGTATCTTATTTTTACCAGCAGAGGTCTTAGATCAGATCTGGAAGTGAAGGCTGTTCATGTAAATCATGTTAAGCATCTATGGAGATGATATTTTTCATGCATTTCTCTACTTACTGATTTCCCAGTTTGGTTTTCATTTCAGGATACTGCTCCTGCCTAGTTCTGTGAATTTTGTTCCTGGGTTTTTTTTTTTTTTTTTTTTTTTCCTCCATAAGTAAAATCTTTTCTTGATTTTTCTTGATTTTTTTTCTTCTGCTTTTCTTGATATTTTTTTTCATTCTGTTATTTTAGTATTTCTTTAGACAGAATCAAAAACTTGTAGAATTTCAGATTTTAAGGACTCTTAAGAAATCAATCAAAATACCCTCTGGTGTTTTAACTTGTGTTTAACATCCTAGCCAGATGGTGGTTCTCGTGGAGAATCTGAAACTCAATGATAAAGTGATTTATCTTAATATAGTACATGGCAAAAATAAGATTTGAACTCAGGTTCCATAATTCCTGAGTCTAGTACTATTCCTTATTTTTTGTTCTGAGAGTGGTTCAATAATAGAACAGAATAGAGAGGAATGAGTCTAGGGTGCCCAGTGGTAGAGGATAAGAATGGAATTCACAAGGCAGGGGCAGATTTGAAGAACAACATTAGGTTGGACAAGAGTGGGGTTTTAGAAATCAATATATTGAGATTTATCACATTTGATAAATACAGGAATGAAGACACTTGATACTAGGAGTTACCTAGGAAGGTATATTAAAATTGGGGGTTCAGAAGAGTCCTGAATAGATTGTTGTTCTTTTGTTTAATTTGAGGAACTGATGAACTGAAAGATTTCTTTTGAAAGATGTTAGGGTAATTTTAGCTAGCAGGAAGCAGGTAGCAGGTAGGAATGTCCCGTCACCTCCATCCTTCTCAGTGTATAGAGGGTGGATTAGAACCCCTAACCACCAGGGGACTGGACGTAGCTGCACTTCACGGGTTGTGACCCAGGACGGTTGTCCCTTCCCTCCATCCCTTTCCCAATTTGCTGATGTCCCTCCTGTGTATGTAGGGGAGGACTGAAGGTGCTTGTGTGCAGTTGACAGTTGGTAGCATGCTTCTGCTCAACTGTCAGAGTGTCTATGATGGTTTTGCTACTTTATGTGTACCGGAAAAGGGCAGAGCCGTACAAGAAAGGTGATTGGATTTTATAATTTTAATAGTTTAAACTCCGTGGGAAGAGAGTGATCAAGATATATAGGTTTTTTCTTTGATTTTTGTGCATTTAGCCTTCAAACCTTTTTAAAGTTTCAGAGATCTCTCTGTACTGTTTTGGGGTAAAGAGTTGTCTTAGTAAGTGGTTTCCATATTGCAAAAGACTGCCATTTCTGAGCTACTCAGTGCCTTCATCACTTTCAGTAACTTTCCCATCAATGGAACAAAATAGACCACACTCCCAGCTAAAAGGTGGAAAGGATTATTTTGACTCAGCTGGCTCCGAGGCAGAAGGAGCATGGCAGTGAGGCCTGGTGGAGAAAGCTGCTTACCCCACAGCAGGAAGCAGGAGAGGGCTGAACAGCCAGGAGTAAGGATGCACCCGTCAGGCTGTGACCCAGTGGCCTGTCTCCAACCAGACCCCACCTCCTCAGAGCGCTGTCAGCTTCTGAACTTGAAGGTGGATGAGTGCTCTGATGAGTGTAGCATCCCATGATCCAGACACCTTCCACACAAAAGGTATGATAGGGGACATTTTAGATCCGAACCATCACATCCAGCTTAGTTGTTGAAACAGAGACAGAGTATGGCAAGGGAACAAAGTTTCTTTCTTCCTTGAGGTTGTCAGGTTTGTTGCTGTTCAGGTAACAAAAGTTATGTCAGCCATTGACTGGATTTTCGGTTCAGCCTTCAGGGCAGGCAGCTTGTAAAGACAGATCATTATCAGGCTCTGCAGTCTGTTGCTCTTCTATGTGGGAGAGAAAGTGAGTCTTTACTGACTGTTTCACACACTGGAAGAAGGGAAGACAGAAAAAAAGTAACTAAAATATTTTTTAAATGGCAGTCAGATTTTAATTGTATCAGCCAAGGAGCATCATTCAGTATACACATAGCCAGTCTTTCACCAGTTTTTAAGGATAGGAGTCACCCAATTTTGTTATGTTCGGGCTCTACAGCTTTTCCAACAAACATGATCCCGATGATTCCTGGCCTACATCAGATGACGATGACTGTGTTTTTGATAACAAGGTAAGTGCTGTTTTGTGAGGTTAATTTTCCTCTTAAGTTTTGCTTTGTATAGTACTTCGACAAAATTTAGCAGTAGTGTAACTGCCATGGTTTTATATGGAAAGTTGGTCAGGGAAAACCATTTTATACCACTGTGACTAGTTGAAAAAATTTTTTTACGCGTTGGTAAGTAACTGATAAATACTTACAGGTGTTGAGAACTGAAAAAAATAATGGACTAGAAAATACACAGTGACAAGAAAATTGTTGTCTTGGTTACTTTTCCCTCCTTGCCTTTCTCTCCTTGAGATAAAATACCTGATGCCCAAAATTAGGGGGAAAATGTTTGTTTAGCTTACAGATTTTGGAGGTTTCAGACCATAATTGCTTGGCTCCAAGGCAGGGTGGCATGGCATTGGGCAACACTTCAAGGCAGCAGCCAGAGCAACAAGGGGGAAAACCTCTTCTTTTTATTGTACACAGTCCCCCACCCATCTCCAGGGCAGGTGTAGCACACACAGAATCTCTGTGCCCTCCTCCTGCACAGTATGAGGATATTTACAACCTAAAAATCCAGCTCTCTGCTGAGTCTCTTAAGTTAAACTTTTATCTGCTCAAGCTGACAATGTATCAACCATAACAATTATATTAGTGAGAGCTTTCCTACAATAGAGGAAATAGGAAATTTGGATAAATACACCTTACTGTGACTTTTAAATCATACTACCAAGACTTAATACTTGTGCCTAAATAAATCTTCAGTGGATCCTATTAGTCTTTATAATCATTATGGAATTTTAGTGCCTTAATTTCAAACATTTACGGTGCATACAATATTTTTTTTCCTTTAAGTACTTTTTATTTTACTATCATACAGTTTTTCTGTGAGCTTTTCTCTTTCTATTTTTGGTTCTGTTTTGAGACTCAAATAACACTGGAAATTGTAGAAATTTAGAATCTGTTTCATAAAATTTATATTACTAAAGAATTACAATATTTTTGTTGTTGTTATTGCTTTTGTTTCTGGGAGTTGATGAAGCTGTGGCAGTAAGCTACATCCTTGGCCCTCTTCTTTTTAAAATTTAATTAATTAATTTTTGATAACAGGAATGGAACTCAGGACCTTGCATTTGCCAGAGGCCCTTATGCTGCGGAGCTATATCCCCGGCCTATTTAATTTCATTTTTAGTCAGGGCTGGAATTTGGGGTCCATTAGTCCCACCTCCAGAGTGCTGACATTACTGCTACCACACCTGACTGCACTGTTTTCTGAGTCATTTCCCCATTAGAGGGCACTGTTTTTAAAATTTTTCATCTGAATAAAGAATACATGTTTTGACCAAAATAATAACCATATCTATAACTAAATGCTCTAAATAACCAGATGATAAAACTTTAAGAAATTGTATGCATTAAGTATCCAGTCAGAGTGCCTGTATCTCATTCTAACAGTTCCAAGTTTAAAAATTTTTGTACCTCAGAATATTCATTTTTAAACTCCTGCATTACTATGAGTGACCAGAGATTAGGAAATGTATTTGTGTGTATCCTGAAAACCTGAAATAAGGTATTTTGTATTAAGAAGCATTTTAGTTTCCTTTGAATGTCACTAAATGGATTTCTGCATACTAGAATTTTACAAGTAGTATATGCATGATTCATGTAATAGTTATGTCTATTGAATCTCCAAAAATATGGCCTAAATTATATTCCCTTAATGCTTAGGACATATTAGGAGAGTTAACCTTGAAGAAATATGTCACAAATAAGAAAATAAATTAGAGGAATATAAATTGTAAAGTTAAGTGCATTCTAGTATCTTTTAACTTTGAACTTAGGTTACAATTTTATATTAAAATTCCTCAAACTTTTTTAGCCTACTCCATGTTCTTTTAAATACACCTTTTCAACATGTAATTCCTCTTTAGAACTCTGATTAGCAGATAGAACATTTTGATAGAACATTTTGTTTTTTCTTCTTTCTCTAGTATTAATGCTGCAGTTCTCAGGTAGTGGTAGATAGAATGTTTAATTGAACTATGTTACAATAATAAATTAATCCATTTTAGTATTTATAAAAAATAACACAAATCAGTAAAAAGTAACACAAATCAGTAATCTTTACTCTGTAATCTTTTTAAAAGACTGAACCAAAGCTCCTAATTCTTTATATCCTTTATTCTTAATATTTTCCTTGTCTTCCTTGTGTTACGTTCATATTCAGCTTCATTATCCCACTTCTCTCTTCTGTCTCTCTGTCCTCCCCCTTGTGTGTGTGTGTGTGTGTGTGTGTGTGTGTGTGTGTGTGTGTGTGTGTCTTTCTCTTCCTTACCTCTTTAAAATGAGTTACCTCTTACCCCAAGTTTTCATTTGCAGAAAACAAAACACTTTTTTTTCCTGAGGTAACTGGAATTGAACTCAGGACCTCATGCTCACCAGGCAGGCTCTGTGCCGCTGAGTTATATCCCTTGGCCCAGAAAAACACTTCTTAAGTGTCCATGTTTTCAGTCCATCTTCATGTTCACAGCATATTTAGTTACATCTTCTGTTTGATGATTGTGTGGCTTTGATTCTTCAATCATTGCTTCATAGAATTTATTCTTGTCTTTTTTCCTGTCTTGCTTGGAAGGAACTGAACTGATGTAATCATTTGTCATTAGCTATTTGACATACAGAATACAAGTAACTTACACAGGTAATTCTAACCCATCTAAATAAGTTGCTACTAAAAACTTACACAAGTAATTCTAACTAAAAACTTACACTAATTCTAACCCATCTAAATAAGTTACTACTAAAAGCTTATGTAAGAAATGAATTTTTATTTTATGAAGTGTTAGTTTTTGTCAAAGTACTGTGAATGACAGAGGTATAAGTATTTGTTTTTGTGGGCCAGGGATTTAGCTCAGCCACTTACGTGCTTGCCTGGCAAGCGTGAGGTACTGAGTTCAATCCTGGTACCACAAAAAAAAAAAAAAAAAAAAAAAAAAAAAAAGATAAATATTTGTTTTTGGTTATTTTAGTTAAAATAGTAAATGTCCTATTATTTATATAATTAATTAGAGGTATATAGAGTAACATTTTGGGATATCTCTGTCATTTCTCATCTATCTCTGAATGATTCTAAAACCTGTGCTCTTTATTTAAAGGGGGAAAAGTATGTTTAGCTCACAGTTTCTAAAGGTTTCATTCCATTATCAGCTGGCCCCAAGGCCGGGTGCACATGGCAACAGGGCAGCAATTCATGGTGGCAGAAGACGGCAAAAGCAACAAGGGGAGCCTGTGCACTTAGTGTTGTGTCATGTTCTAATGGTAGATATTATTTGATCAAATTAGATACTTGTAATTCTTAAAGCTGTTTTTTTTTTTTTTCCTAGAATGTCCCAAAAGTAAACCTAACTGAGTTATGGACTGCGGCTCAGCAATCCAAGAAAAATCGTAAGCTCTTTGATTAAAAACTGCCTACTCTTGTTCTATTCATTGAAATTGTAGGTATTTTTATGTATAATTTACTTTGGTTTTATTTTCTTAGAAGCAAAATATGGCATTGATGAACCAGGAAATAGAACTTTGATTGACAACAGTGTTTCTGATAGTAAAACCAAACACGTGGTTGAAGCTCTTCCTAAAACATCAGTCAAAGTCCGGGACTTTTCTCAATCTTACTCTTCATCACCATCATCTGAACCAGAAGTAAGATTTTTTAAAACAGACTTTTCTCCTGTTTTTAGTCATGTATGATGACAAAGATCCTAGAAGGAAATGTAAGACCATAAGATCATAATAGAAAATAAGTATAATAGGAACGATTTATGTACAAAAGTAAATTTATAAAAGTTGGAGTAAAGAAGTTCTTAGGTATGTTGTTATGGAAAGAACGAACCAAAAAACAATCAAAAAAGAGCTTGATGAATTATGGAGCTGAAGCTGAATGAGAAACAAGTTATAAAACAAGATAAGTTAATAAGATCTCGTAAGAGAGTCAAAATGTAAAAATAAGAGTGAAATAATAAAAACTCAAAAAAATAAAAACCAAATAAAAGCTCTCTTATATATTAGAAATTATATGCTTTTTTTTTTTTTTTTAGTTTTTTAAAAATTTTATTTAAGGAGAAAAAGGAGAAAAAAAACGAAAAAGGGTACAAGTAATACAGAATTTGAATTTCAAAAAAAATAAACAGGAAATCACTAGTTAATAAATTACATATTATTGTCTTACAAATAGTTGTTCAAGTTACAAAATTAAAGCGTATAAAGTAGACATTCAAACAGTGAGACTGCAAACAGTTCTGTTCAATGATCCAACAAAACTCAGTAATATGGTTTTCTATCTCATACACTTAAAAGATACATGCAGTTATATCCTAGAGCACTTTGTAACTTGAACAACTATTTCTAAGATGACAATATGTAATTTATCAACTAGTAATTTCTTAGTGTTTTTTTTTAATTCTGTATTATTTGTACCCTTTTTTTCTGTTTTGCTTTTTTCTCTTTAAATAAAATTTTAAAAAAAGAAATTATATGCTTTTAAATGACCTATAATTGATTTTAATGAAGAACTGAAAATGTAATCTGTATTTTTGCTAAACTCAGTAAATACCTTCTATTTAATCTAGCAAATCGTATTTCATAGATACTGCACAGTGAAATCTGTTTTAGACCTTACTGGGTTTATTATGAATTATTAATGTTTGACACTTTCATTCTTACGGTTTCTAGTTTAACTTAGTGCTTGATGTATCCTTATTTAACTAACATATTACTTATTGTTGGTGTATAATTTTAGCAAAGGCTTTAGATCTTGAGAAAAAATAGAAAATAACTAAGCATTGTATTTCATTGTGTCATGAATTAAAATTCCCTGTTACCTGAGATAGTCTCCTTCACTGACCAACTCTGGGAACCCAGGGCTTCATGCATGGTAGGAAACACTCTGCCACTGAACTATACCCAACCTAAATACAATTTTTAATCTGTATCCATTACATGAGAAAAAAATTTTTTTTAATTACTCTGTTCTTAAAAAGTGTAGAAGAAATTTCTTTCTGGAACATTCTGATGGATCTTTTCCTAATAATATCTTCATGTAATTAACTTGCATATGTACATGTCAAATAAATTAAATCACAATTTGTGATTTTCTTCCCCTAAAATCTACCTGTTTTCATAGAAACATAAAGAAGGAAAGATTGCTAAGAGTATGCAAAATTACCTCTAGAAGAGATTTTTTAAAATTTTAAAATATTTCCAGCAATGAGGATATTTGATATTATTTTAAGGAAGCATTATTAATTTCAGTATTGGGGTTTATTTTTCCCGCTTTGGTGCTTGGGATCAAGCCCAGCATTTTCTAGGCAAACACTGTACTTTTCTGCTACACCCCAGCCTCAGTATTTATAGTTATAAAGCCTTCCACTTAAATTCGCATACCTTATAACTCTGTAATCCTGTTGATAAGTTTAGTCCCTTCTATGAATATTGGGTCTGGTTTGATGAGTATTAGAACAGTATTTGAAGACTTATAAATCGTCAGTTTTTAACCCTGTTAATTGTAACACTCAGGGGGCTGAGTCAAGAGGATTGTTGCAAGTTTGAGACCAGCCTGTGCTGCAAAGTGAGTTCAAAGCCAGTGTGAATTGCATAGTAAGACCCTGTCTCAAAAAGACAAAATAAGTAAATCTTCAACTGTGATATGATGGCTTTATTTTTTTTACTATATTTATTTATTTACTTACTTAGGCATTTTGAAATTGGGTCTCACTGTAGTTCAGCCTGGCCTTGAACTCACTGTATAGTCCAGGTTGGCCTCAAACTCACTGCAGTCCTCCTGCCTCAGCTTCCCACATTACAGGTATGCACCACCATGGCCAGCTATTTTGTTATTGTTTTTTAGACAGTGTCTTGCTGTCATTCACACTGGCCTTGGTCACACTATGTGGCCCTTACTGGCCTCAAACTCACATTAATCTTGCTGTCTCAGTCAGTGCTGGGATTACAGGCATGCATCCACCACACTCTGCAACCTTTCTTCAGCTTTTAACTACCATCCTGTATGGCATAAATAGAAAATTAGAACTCTTGGTATAAGGGAATAGGAATTTTAAAATAGGGTTTTACATTTCTTTCTTACCTTGTATTTTAAAATACCTAATTTTGTAAAAACATCACTATTTCTCTTTTATAGTTTAAAACTTTTTCTTTTCCAAGATGGGATCTTGTTGTGTTCCCCAAGTGGGCTTCAAACTTCCAAGCTTAAGTGATTATCTCACCTCAGTCTCCCAAGTAACTGGGACCACACGTACACATCATCAGGCCTGGCTTATATTTAACACTTATAAGATTTCCTTTTAAGTAGGAATCTTTTTGCAAAATCCTAAATTGGTTGTTTTAGAATTAAATCTCATTTTTAAAATTCATATTAGCTAAGTTCAATCCCTGGTATCAAAAAAATTAAAATGAAATTCATATTAGCATAATATCCTAGATGTATTTGCATGTATTAATAACATTATATGTTTATATCCTTGAAACAAATATTGCTGTATATAATTCAAAAATTGAATCCCCTGGATTTCCCCCCACTTGTTTTCATTTGATGAGTTTCAGAGTTCTGCATAAGTTAGCATTACTACATCAGTTTGCTATATTTTACAAATACTTATCTCTTCTTGAGCCATATACTTTCCTGAGCAAGGTCATCTACTCCCCCACTCCTACTTCTAGTGTGTTTGCTTAGTCCTTGGCCCATCAAATTTGATGATCTACCTGAAGATGTTGACTTTGACCTTTCCATTATAGTAAATGGCTCCAAATCTCTGGAGCTGGGAAATCCTGGCCCACCATCCTTCTGGTCACCTATACAGCCTTTCACATTGTGTATATTCTGCTCACCATTTTTTATGTGTGGATTCATTTTCTCTCCCATCGTTTAGAAATAATAGTCTTTTTTGTTCTTTCTTCCCCCATTGTGCTGTCATCTGTCTTATGCTGCTGGCAAGAATCTGCAGATCCCCATTACACAAATGGAAGGTTCCCATTCCAGCCTGAAGTTAGCCTGGTGTGGTTGGCCCCTGATTTTCCTGTTTGATCTGCCTTGCCATTCCAGGAACTGTATTCTAGTTTTGTCACATTACGTGGGCAGCTTTCTTTTGCTCTGTTGTTTTATGCCTCGTTTGTTTATGCTGCTCTATCTGGAATGCCCTTGTTTTGGTTACTTCTCTTTCCTTGCTGAGGTGAAATAACCAGCACCCAAAATTAAGGAAGGAAAGGTTTACTTAGCTCACAGTTTGTGGGGGTTTCAAGTTTGTAACCAGTTGGCTCCAGGGCAGAGTGGCACGATGAAAGGCAACAGTTCAAGATGGCAGAGGACAGCAGAAGCAACAAGAGCAAAAGGGAGGGAACAAGTCTTTTCCTCCCTTACCTTGGAAGCAGCATAGTCTCCCCCAGGGCAGGGGTGCACTCACATTATCTCCATGCCCTCCTCTTGCACAGGTTGGTGTTGCTTACAAAATGAAGACCCTGGCTGCCTGCTGAGTCGCTTAGTTCAACTTGTAAACTTCTTAAGTTGACGCACTGTATCAGCCATTACAGCCCATGACACCCTTCCTGTGTGCACCTTCTCTCCCTTTCAAAATAGGATACTAGATTTTAGGAGTTTTCCTGAGCTTCCCAGGTAGATCTGCCTTTTCTTGGTTTTGGCCCCTAACTTTGGACTCCACTCTTAAAGCCAATGAAATATACTTTTCTGTTTTTAGTTGTTTTCATGTATCTCTGCATCTGCTTACAGAATGTTTTCAGTTTTCACCTTCTTCCAAAGTAATCCCTATGATCTGATAGATTTGCCTGGGCTTTTTACCATTTTACTGAGTGGGTGGGTGGTGTTTTTTCATGTTTAGTTCTTTGTCGTCTTTTTTTTTTTTTTATAGGAAAATGCACCAGGGCCAGTAATTAGAATGACAGAAACCGATACTTTTGTTGTTGAAAATGCTTCACAAGAGCAAACAAATGACAATATGACTAATATTGATGGTGGGCAGAAAGATTATAAAACTGGTAAGTTAGTGAATAGCTGTGAAGATTTTCTTGTTTATATACTATTATTTTTAAAAGTGTATAGATCCAAAAGATGATATCCATTCTTTTAAAATTTTTTCTTTTACTATTTCCCTTCCACCAACTTCTTTCTGATAATGCTTTACCTCACTGAAATTATTTCACTGTTACTGGTATCTTACTGAGATATATATGAATGCAGATTATATGTAAAATTCATAGCCGTAAATGTTCTCATTAAGGTGTCTGACTACATTTTACAGATATGATGTTTGCACTGGGATTAGGAGATGAAGACGAATCGCCTTGGGATTCTGAGGTATTGTCTTTTGTTTGTGAAATAAGCATTATTGAGGTTTAAATATAGAGGGGGATAATGTGATTTTGTTTTCTCACCTCTTCATAGGTCTGTAAGAAATTATTTCCTCACATTTTTTAACCCATAGTTAATAATCACCTGGACAGTTTAGCTGTTTTGTGAGACTCTGTCTCAAAAAGTCAAAGGCACTGGGATTGTGGCTCAGTACCAAGGGCCGCAGGTGTAGTGCCCTGTACTGCAGCTGAAGGAATGCATAGATGAACGAGGGCTGAGGGATTGAGCCACTGCTGCGCGTGCAGCATTCATTTAGTGCAGCCAGTGCAGTGAAAAACTAAGATCTAGATGTTGTAAGCCATCAGCTTAGATTCTGAAATTAAGTTGATTAAAAACTAAAGAATTGTCCCAGGTCAGCCGGTGGCCAATGAGTAAAAGTTCTCTTGAGAGTCAGAGCAGATGTTTGGATCATAATCTTTACAGTGTGTTAACTTGAAAAGATAATGAGTGGAAATTGAAAGTATTACTATATTTGGATTACAAAGTATAGATCTGCAAGGAATAATTCAGGAGAAGAAAGGATATGAGGAGTTGTAAATATATGACATTAATATCACAGCTTGGTTTTACAGTATTTTTAAAAAGCAGAAACCAACTTTGAATGTATAATGCATTGCGTGCCTTTATAGCAGCCATGCTTATAGTGATGACCCTGTAATCAATGACAACTTACTTTAAAGTGACCATTGTGGAAAGGGCCTGATCTCTTAGGTCTAAGCATCTCTGGCATCATGGTGCTAGCACAATACTTGAAATCACAAGACATGTTAAGTATCCTGGTTCTGTCATTTAGAAACTGTTGAATCTTAGAAAAAATCATTTAACCTATTAGGCTTTTAGTGACCTTACTATATATACAGATACTATGCATAAAAATGTGATATTACCTGCCTCTTAGATATAATAAATAAATGTAGTAGGAAATGTAAAAGTACTTTGAAAACTGTAAAATGTACATATAAATGTAAGGTAGAATAATCTAAGTGGGGTTGGTAATGACTGAATAAATGTTGAAAGCTTTTTCCTAATCTGAGAACACTAAAATAATAGTATCAAGAAAACATTAAGAAAGTTGGGAGGGGTGTGTAGATTGCTGATTTGGAAATGCTAAGTCAGTGAACTGTTAATGGAGATATCCTGGTAGAATATAGTAGCTTGATGCTTGAGGCTTCCCTGGTGAAACTTGAAATGTTTTGACCTTGGATTCTGTTTTTGATTACCCCCTCTGTGCTAGGTATATATCGAAGTCTTATGCTATAGTGATAGACCAGGAAAGCAACAAGTACATTTTTTTTCAATACTTGGAATTGAACCTATGGTCTTTATATTGCACTATATCTCCAGCACTTTTTTTAATTTGAGACAGAGTCTTGCTAAGCCACCACATTATCCAAGCTGGGCTTGAACTTGTGATTCTGATACCTCATCCTCCAAGAGTATTGAAATTACACTTGTGTGCTGCCACGCCTGGCTAGGTTAGAGGATTTTGAGTGGGGGCTGTAGTTAAATGGGAATGAGAGTGAACTGCTGCTAACTTAAGAGTGAGAAGGAGCCAGCCACAGGAAAATCTGGGAGGACATCGTGGACAGAGAGCAGAGAGCCATGGGCCATAACACCCTACAGTGGCCAGGAAGCAGGGAGTACAGCAACTGTCATCATACGTACTCATTTATAGTTTTATAACAGAAAACAAAAGGTACAAATAAGTACGTGGCACATTTTTGGGCACTTAATAAATAAAAGCTTTTATACTGCTGCTCTTTCCATTACATCTTTTTATATTTTTTTGCAGTTCTTCCTTAATTGGGAAGCAGTTACTTACAGTGTCTAATATTTGTGTACTGTTACTCAAAAATAACATAGTTATTAGTATATTTTCACTTATAGCTATTTTTCCTATCAGTAAAAATTTTACCCCCCGAAATAGTTATTTTCTAAGCTGTTGTTTACATAAATGAAGTAGCTTCTGCAATGTTGATTTTACCCAACATGACACTGAAGTTTCTTAGTTAATTGAGTATTTTAACACTAAAATGACTTCTGTGATTAGACATTTAATGCTGATTTACAACAAGTGTACTTACATGAATTTGTTTGATCAGGACAAGGAAAGGGATAGTATGGTATAAAGGGAACAAAAGTGAGCAAGCAATGATAACATATGTACCAGTTCCCCAAAACAATTGTAATTCTTTTTTTTTATTTTTATTTTTTTGTCTTTTTCGTTTTTTATCGGTACCAGGGATCGAACTCACGACTGCCTGCTTGCAAGGCAGGTGCTTATGCCGCTGAGCTAAATCCCCAGCCAACAATTGTAATTCTTATATATCACAAACATACCCTCATAAAAACATTAAATTTGAAAATATTTCATTTAAATCTGTATTTTTTTTAGTGTTATCCTTGTTGGGGAAAGCAAAGTAGAGTTAGTCCTATTCTGAAGCCAAGTTGAAATATGCACATCGGAGACAGTTCTGCCTGAATCCCGCCTGTGACTTTCCACACCTGCTTTACAAAGTCAGCACCAAAGTGGGCCTGACAGAAGGCTCTCGTTTGAGATGTTTCGGTTTTCAGTATATGCTTCCCGTTATTAAATCTAATTGCTTTAAGATAGAAAAATCAGATAACCTCTTAGAAAATGATTAGGAAATCTTTGTATAATGCATTACTGCTGTACTAATTTTAACAGAGTATCTCTGAGAATCTCCCACAGAAGTCTGTTGATCCTTTGTCTGTAGCTGCAGATGAAAGAGGAAAACATACAGGAAATGGACAAGTAGAAGGTAAGAAATATACATAAGTCTATAATTTTTTTAGAAAAGTCATTTGACAATATGTTTATTTAAAACCAAAACATTTGCTATATTCTAATGGCCAAAGAAAATTACCTATTAAGTGCAGAGTAATGAAAAAGAGAAATAAAGTAGTAATAAGATATAATCAAGTTTCAGCAACAGGTTAAATTTGACAGTCAGTAAAGGAGCTAAATTATTAGTTCTAGTTCAAGCTATTCTAAGGTCTGAGTTAGAAAATAAAGGGGAGAGAAAAGAGTGAAGAATAAGAACAGTAATACATACAGGGAGTAAATGAAAAGAAAGGAAGTATAGAGGGTAGGAAGCTGAAGTGATTCTTTAGAAAAAGGAAGGGCAAAGTAGGAGAAGTGTAGGAATTATATGAAGTGAGCTTTTAGTGCCAAATGTTGAGGAAGAAGTAGAGCAGACTTTTTCTACTTTTCCTGTCTTCCTACCATTGGGAAGGCATCAAGGACTGAAATACTAGATTACGTGGAGCTGTGTTTTATTTACCGCAGGTATATATCAACATACATGTCAGCTGTACGTGCATTTTCAGTGGTACCTTGGTTCATGAATTAATTCTTTCCACAATTCTGGTTACAGAATTTCTTCATATAAAATGTTCCCACTTAAATAAAAAAAAAGGTTGCTATTTAACCAGGTAGTATATGCAGAAGAAAGGAATTGAAAAGAAGAAATAAATGGTTGGCTAGTGAGAGATTAGGAATGTCACAGCCTCAATAAAAATCCATTAGAAAGTGTATGACTTTTTATACATTTTCAATTTGGGGAAAATGATGAGGAGCTTGATGCTAAATTCCAAAAAGCTAAGGTAAGGTAGGACTTGGAAGAGACTCAGTGTGCGGGCTAGGGCTTTCCCATTGGAACGAAGTCCCTATTGGAGGCCTTGCTAAGCCACACCTGTGACTCAGCCGGTCTGGATCCTGTGTTGCTAGCAAGTCCTCACACACTAGAGGTAGCTGGGTATCAGCTTCCCGCAGAGAAATCTAGACGAAGGGCCGTTTGATAATAAATAGTTGAACACATAAGAGGGTCAAGGGGAAGCATAAAGTTTGTTTTTATTTCTGAAAATGTTGCTAGCCACAGGACAAAGAGCAAAGTGGATGAAGAAATAGAAATTATAATTCTAAGATACTACTGTCAAAGAAAGAAGTGGTAGGAATAATCCATAAAAAGAAGTAAATGGAAAGAATCAAGACCATAGAACTAGAGATTGCTTTTGAAAGGAATTGGGAGTGCTTAGAGAAAAGAAGAAAGGAAAGAAGGAACAAGCAGGCAATTTGGGAATTAATGATGATGCAACCTGGGAGAATTCACTTCCGACATTAGGAGCAGGGAGGAGGGCTGGACTTGGCTTTCACTGAACCTCCTGTCCATAACTGTCAGGCACCCAGGCTTTATACTGAATTGGTAATTAATCAAGTGAAATTAACTTGCGTATAGAAGCATTGGCTTTTTTTTTAATAACTTAAGTTTTGATACTGTAGATTTTTCACACAAATCCTTTAAATACTAACAGTGTACCAAATCAATTTTGGAAACAAGGGCCATTGTAGAATTCATTCCTTGAATACCAAAATTGTTACTTTTTAGTAAATATTGTACTAATTTTGAAGTATAAAAGATTATAAGTATCTAATAATTCTGTGACAATTCAACTTATCTTTTCCCTTTTGATAACTATGTTTCAATATGCAAAACTTACTGTGTATTATTTCTTAGATGTGGTTTATATCCCTTCTTGCATGAGTGGATCAAGAAACTTTAAGATGGCTAAACTAGAGGATACAGGAAATGTAGGCAAACCTATAGCCCACAAGGGTATGGAAAAATACTTTTGTTAACCGTTATTCTACAAGTATATATCTGAGCTAATCGATTTAAAACCTTTCTTTGATAAAAAATTAATTTTATATTACACTAAACTATTAACCAAACTGTGTACTTCCTGAGGTGCAGGACAAACTGAAAAACACAAATACTTGTAGAGTAATTGTCTGTAAATGGTTTATGTGTTATATTAAAATTGTTTCTGTTACCATCTGCCATCAGCTTTGACCTCATGCTCTCAGGGCTGTGACTTGCCGAGATCACTTTCCGTCAGTCAGCATGTGCTGATTGATTGATTGATGCATGCTCACTCTCTGTTTTAGTTATGGTCTTCGGAGGCACAGCCTCACTTTGGAAATCTGAACTGCATGTCTGAGTAAACCTGTATTCTGACTTTTCTGTCACATTGTTCTAACCCATAAAGAAGAAAACACAATCCTTAAAGTAATCATTTCCAAAGCCACGCATGAGGATTCAGCTCCATACTAACTGCATGAATGTGTGTTTGGCTGTCTCACATTTACATATAATGATTGTTTCCCTCTTGCTTTTTAGAATCACCTGAGAAATATCTTCACTTGAAGGTAATAACTTTGGATTTGTATTTTGAATTAACTACATATTTAATAAACTATATAGGACTTATCAAATATTTTATTTTAAAACCCATTTAGCCTGCCATTGAAATGAAAGATTTTGTTCCGAGTGAAGCAGTGGGAATGAAGGATGTACAGACATTCAAATCAGGTAAATTTAGTCATACAGCTTACTCTAGAAAGAAGTACATCACATTTAAAATATTTGCGATGCCCACAGTCAGTTCAGTCTTCCCCCAAACTTTTGGAAGGCTTTGACATAAATAATACAGGTGAATTTGTTGGTGTTAGTATTTGCCAAGTGCTTACAAGCATAAGAGAAGAAATTTTTTTAATATACTAAGATGTTTCTACTTATGCTTAATACCCTGTGTTTCCAGCTTGGATTCTTCCACTTATTAGGGATCCACATAACTTATTACGGGAGTCCAGGATTTTCCCAAAGTTGGTGGACGCTTATTAGAGAGCTGGGCCCTGTGGTGTGGCCTTGAGTCCCAGTTAACTCAGGAGGTTTTGCAAGAGGTTCACTGGCACTCAGGATCCCCTCTCTAAAAACAATAATAACAACAACAAAAACAGCAACAAAGTGCTTACTGTAATGTTGGTATTTTCCTATTTAAGACTTTATTTACTAGCATGTCAATTGTGTTTTAACTAATTATTTCATCTCACTATTGATACATTGATGATCATAAGTAGATGTTCTCATTAGCAGACCATATGCATATGTATTTATGGTGTCTCATATCTTCAGTTATTAAAAATGGGAAATATAATTATTCCTTAATGGATAGATCCAGTCCTTCAAAACAGTGATTCTGATACTTTGACCTTAAGTCCTTTATATAGTATTAAAAATTAGTACAGATTCTACAAAGCTTCTGTCCAAGTGTGTCAGATCTATTGATACTCTACTAGAAATTAAATCTAAAAGAGGTAAAATAGAAGCATACAGTCACATATTCCAGTACCTGTTAGAGCTGTGATTCATTAGTCATTAGAACTGTGACATGTAACACATTACATTTCTGGAAACCCCTGTGCTGTGCCCTAATAAGAAAGAGAATGAGCATGAAATGGCAAAAACATTTAGTATTGTTTGTCCTCTTAGACCCCTTGAGTGGGTCATAAACTCTTGGGTTCTAACTCGCTGTGAAAGCACCATTTAAACAATGCTTAAGGTTCCTGAAAACCACATGACAAAGAGGCTCTTCACAGTGAACTGAGTTTTAGCCTCAATATTTCCTTTTTCTTTCACTTGTCTTAGAAAGCACAAATCTAACAATTTTGTTTATAGAGAAAAAGAGATATATTTTTGTTACACCTTCACTTCCTGTCTCCTGGCACTCTGCACTGTTTGGATCTAATGTATATCTAGATCAGCGATGGCGAAGCTTTAGAACTCTCAATGATAACACAGAGCCCACTGCAGCATGTGAACGAAAGGCTCATCCCTGACCTAGACTAAACCAGCTTTCATGTGGGAACAATTTTCGTAGGAATTTATGGCGTTATCCAAGCTTTAAGTGAATTCTGGGGCCGTGGATTTAGCTCAGTGGTGTAAGCACCTGCCTGGCAAGCACAAGATTGTGAATTCAATCCCTGGTACCAAAAAAAAAAAAAGTTAATTCTGAAGATATTAGAATATTGAAGAAAGAGTATCTGATTGTAGTTTTTTTAATTTAAAGTAATATATTCATTAAAGTCCATGCCTTTAGACTTTACAAAGAATACTGTGTATGTTTATATTAAAATAGGCAGTTTTTATTTATTTACTTTTTAATTTTATTGGTACATTTTAGATATACATAATGATCACACTCATTAGGGAGGAAGTTTGTACCTATATGTGATATTTCTCTATGTTTTCTTCCCCAACCTCTTCTCCAATATCTCTCCCCCTCCTTATTTACAAAAGCTTTGTTTCCATTTTCTTCTATTATTTTTTTCCTTTTTCCCCTTCCTTCCTTTTACTCTCCACATCTCTTCTTCTCCTTCCCATTTGAATTTTACCTTCCTATTTCCCAGTATCTGGTATACATTTTGGTCCTTGTTTACCCTTCCTGTTTCTCCCACTAGAGAGACAATGTGATATTTAAACTTGTGTGTCCAATTTATTTCATTAAGGAGTGTGCAGTCTTTTTTCCCCCTTCCTTCCTTTCCCTGCAGTCCTGCTTTCTTGCAAACAATTTCTTCCTATTTCACAATACCTTTTATACACTTTTCTCCTTATTTACACATTTGCTATCTCGTACCAGAGAAATAAAATTCAAATCTCTGAAGACTTAAAAGTAAACATTACTGGAAAAACAAATTATGTAAAAGAGATTGCTGAGTGAATCGGAATAATAGTAATAAAAACAGAAGAATGAGAGATGATGATAATAATCAAACTCATCTGACTGGCAAGTACAGAAGCTGTGAAGTACAATAAGCCCTGGGCAGTATTGAACTGTGGGGCAGAGAAACACATGAGAATGCCTCTGAGGAAGAAGTTTGTATGTCAGCCACATTTGTAGTATCATTTATATCTAAATAAATAAAACCCTATTTTCACATTCACATTGGAGTTCTACTAGTTTGACCCTCAAGAGATCAGTGAATTTGAAAGTTGATGATAAATATCCACTTGTAACATAATCAGTGATTAAAAGTCCATCACCATCCATAGAATTTGAGAAGACAAAGTGAATAAGCAAAAAATAATATAATAAGTAAAAATAAATATTGGAGCTGTGTTTCTGTTAGGCAGTTGTGCTCACCATGTCAAACAAATGACAGCAACCCGAAATCAGCATAAAAGAAGTAATAAAGAGTAAATAATGAATTCAGCTTGGAGCATCTCGGCCTGATTTTATAATACTATAGTTCCACCTTTTCAGAAATCATTTGATGGTACAATTTGCTTCATATTTTACTACTACTAAGCAAGTGATAACCAAACAGTATCTTTTCACAAGACAGTCATATTCTTTCTCTAACCAAAGCAAGGAACAAATACTGAAGAAAATGAGAAGAGTGATTTTGTAAACAAAACTAAACAAAATTAGGTGAGTACTTAGCATAAACTTGAATCTGAGTGCCGAGATACTAAGAGATTCAGGAGTTGATGGAAAAACTAGGTAGAGACCTACAGATTGCTAGTCAGACATTTCTTTATTTTTATTTGAATGCTCTAAATTCACAGGCATTATTTATAACTATTTGCAGTATAATTCAAAAGAGAGCGTTCCAAAACCATGTATTAAATTACTTCTTACAATTTCTGTGAGTTCATATAGATTGATTTTCACAATATTAGTGAAAGTCACTGAAAATTTCCTATTTTCTCCTAGAAAATTCTTAGGTTCTCCTTAGCCATGGTAGTTCACAAGGAATACTAGTTTAAGGAATACTGTATCATTTAAAAGTAATGTGCACAAATCTCACCAGCCATGGTGTATATGCTTTTAGCTCCAGCTATTTGAAAGACTGAGGTGGAGGGATCATTTGTGCCTAGGAATTTGAGAGCATCATAGGCAGCATAACAAAACCTTATCTTTTTTTTTTTTTTTTTTTTGAACTTTTATTCGGTACCGGGGATCGAAATCACAACTGCCTGCTTGCAAGGCAGGTGCTTATGCTGCTCAGCTAAATCCCCAGCCCCCAAAACCTTATCTTCTAAAAAGTAAATAAAATCAGTTACTAGGACAGTCTATTGATTAGTGGCATCCAATATGTATTCTACTTCATGTAGCAATTAATTTAGTGTCCTTAATCATGTGATCACATCGATAGCAACAAATCTTGTGACGTAATACATATTTTCTTATCATGTCTCATAGATTGTGTTATCTCCTGGAGTAGTGACCACGGGATATGAATCCAAACTTAGTTAACCCTACAAAGGACTGTTTTGCTTCTCCCACTCTCCTTGCCTTCCTCTTTGCCCCCCTCCCCCTTTGCTAGAGGTTAAACTGAAGTAAGCTCAGTGCCTTGCACATCCTAAGCGTACACACCACCACTGAGCTTCACCATCAAGCCTGCTCTTACGTGTTGATGAACTTGGTAAACTCAAGAAGCAGGACATTTAAACCAAACACTTAGCGAGTTCCCTCAACATAGGAATAGGTGAAGCATGTACTACAGAGTAAACTCAGGCGACTTGAACAAAACCAAGTAGTTCGCTTCATATCTCATTGACACCTTTTGAAAAGGAGTAGGATCTAGTTCTCCAGGACCCAGCTTTGTACATGTCCTCATTTAATAGAAATTCACTCTTATTAATGGACACTCATAATGAAATGTTTCTGGAAACAGTTTGTGGACTCTCTTCAGAGACTCAGGGCTGTATTAGCTTTACTTGACACTGTTTCCTTCTATTAGTTCATCTCCTTTCCTTTACTACTCTGGCTCCATTTCTTTTCTTTTACTCCTCTGGCTCCCATATTTGTCTTCATCACTATTTAGGGTGATTGATTGTCGGAGCAGATTTGCCCTTGAGCCACTCTTAAAGCATTAATGTGCGAGCATCTTAAAGTTACCTGTGGGCTGTCATCTGCCTTCTGATTCTCCGTGTTCAGCCTCCTCTATGTGCCCTCATCGATCTCTGGTATTACCAAACAGCTAGTGATGTTTTCCTCTGCAGTCCCTCTATTTTTTGTGGGTAACTAAAACTATTTCTACAGAAGTATTCAGCTAAAAATTCGGTTTGATTCAAATCTTAACTGGGAAAATAAAAATACATTTGTATTAATTTTTTTCTATTTTATAAAGATTCACTTTTTATCTAGCTATTCTTAGTAGTTTATTTTACCTATGTACATTTTTCAGGTGAAGCAGACATAGAAGTGACACCAAAGGAAGAGCAGAAAAAACTTGATAGCTGTGAAAATCGCCAGGACCAGGTGAGTAAAAATCTAAATTTTTATATATATACTTTTTTTTTTGATGCCAGGAATTGAACTCACAGTCTTGCACTTACACCGCTGAACTAAATCCCTGCCCTTAAATTTGTATTTCTGATTTCATATTGTTTTGCTCACTTTAATAATGTAATATAAGCCCAATGAAATTACTTTTCTGATTAGAATTTTAGAATCAATAGGCCATGATTTAATACTTGGTTTTAAAAATTTTAGCCATGCTGAAGAGATAGCTCAGTAGCACAGATGCCTGCCTATGCAAGGTCCTGAATTCGAGAGTCCCATTACAAAAAAAATTAGCTGGTTATAAACAAGTTATTCTTAGAATCTGTAGTGACTTAAACCAAAATTTAGAATTAAGGCAAAATTTTCTGTGCACAAACGTTACCCGTGTTTCCATCTGTGTAATTTCCTTAAATGATGAAGAAGGGGAGACCAGGTTTGAGCCTTTTCCTTAAGCAGCTAATGTTATGCGTAATGGAACAGTGACGACCACTGTGTTGGTTGCATGCTAAATGGTGATCACTCCCAGAGGCTCAGCATTGCAGTTGCATGTTACCAATCCTAAGTTAGAGATTTAGTTGTTCTATGTGATCTCTAACTGGCTTCATTGTCTACATTGAGTAGTTACAAATTCAGCACAAGTATAGAGAATTATACCTTCTAAAATGAGACCGTGGTATTAGGATACAAACAATAACTTTCTTATTTCAATATAAGGAATTGGTGACTATTTCATCGACTGTCTGTAGTGGACTTTAGAGTATATTAGAACTGGACTTAACATAGTTCACATAGATGCATAGCACTGTCATGATACTCCAGGTACTGATCTTTAGAAAAAAGACTTTGATGCATTGTAAGGGCTCACTGTTTGAAGAACGGTGTCTTTTCTCATTGCTAAGACAAAATATTCAACACCAAAGTTAAAGGAGGAAGGTTTATTTGGCTCATAGTTTGTAGAGATTGCAGTTGGTAATCTGCTGGCTCCAAGGCAGGACGGCATGGCAGAGGGGCAACCATTCATGGCACCAAAAGACAGCAAAAGCCGCAAGAGACCTTAACAGGATCTTTCTGCACCTTTTATCTCAACCAGACTTCCTGGATTGGGTGATGCCAAGCCACTCAGGGAATTGATGTAGTAGTTGGATACCTTAATCCCAACATCACACACTATGGATTCAGCCACCTCTGAGAAATCCCTGTGACTGCATGAGGCTTTGAGGGGGCACCCAGTCACAAGCCATAACAAATGATAGGTAAAATATCTTTATATGAGAAAGAATTTGTAACATTAAGGATGACCTAATTTATTTTTGGTAAATTTAGCACATACCTAAATTTAGTCCGAACAAACGTGGATATAGTTAAGTTTGCTGGTTCACGTTTTTCTCTTGTTTTGGGTAACGTAAATTGTTTTTCACTTCTTCATTATAGTCCACTGAGGAAAAAGTAGCTATATTTAAGGAATCAGACATGCTAAATTTTAATTTTCTAGTTTTCCTTTTTCCAAACTCTTTGGTTATGTAAGAATAAGATTATTTTAAATATGCACCCCTATAGAAAAGACATCTGAGAGTCAAACCAAGAAAACTGATCTTCCACGTCTCATGTGCAAAAGGTGTCTCGGGAACCAGAAAGGAATATAGATTGTGATACAGGGGCTGTGTTTCTACAGTTGAGATGTGCTTATGTGAAAAAACATAAGGAAATGTTGATCCAAAAAGGCAATTTAGAGTAGAAAATAATGTACAACTCATCCCAAATTAGTTAAAGCAGATTGATGAAATCTGTGAAGAATACAAAGAGCCACTATTTGAAAACTCTAAAAGTGAAACAAACTTTTTTTTTATTAGTACACTTTTTTTTTTTTGGTCTTTTTCCTTTTTATCGGTACTGGGGATTGAACTCTTGACTGCAGGCTTGCAAGGCAGGCACTTATGCCACTGAGCTAAATCCCCAGCCCCTAGTACACATTTATGATTCATGATAAAATACATTCATCTTGGGAAGTAGGTACAGATACATATTATAGGTATCATAGTCCTTTTTGCTTCCTTTTGCCCTCCTCTTCCTTAAATCTATCTCTAGGTCTCTTTCCATTTGTAATATGTACATGTAACCACATTTCTTTTTTCAGCTTCATTGCTTGTTACTGGACTATTTTCTTGGTTCAGTTTTGACAATTCACAATTGGCTAGACTTCTATTTCTCCTTGAGTCTGTCAACTTATTAACATAGTTTTTCAAAGTAGTTAACTTAAAATCTTCTCGATTTCTCCAGTGTTGTGATTTTGCAAGATCAGCAAAGGTTTAAGCATGAAAGTTCAGGACACGTTACAAGCAGAGTTCTTGGCTTTGGCGAAAGGGAAATAAGTGAGCTGAGGGTGGCGGCATAGACCTGTTTTCCTAGCACTCTGGGAAGCCAAAGCAGAAAGATAGCTAGTCTGAGGCCACACTGGGCACCTTAGCAGCTTAGCAGAACCCTACACTAAAACTTTATAAAGTGGATACAGCTCCCTGTGACAGTACTGGATTCAGCCACCCACCCCCAGCAAAACCAGGTGTGGTGGTACACACTTGTAATCCCAGCTCCTTAGAGGCTGAAGCAAGAGGATTACAATTGCAGTCCCATCCTGGGCACCCCACTAAGACCTGTCTCAAATAAAATTACAAAGGCCTGTCTGGTAGCTCAGTGACAGGGCCCTTGCAAGATGTACAAGGGTAGTTCACATAGTGCTAGTCCATTTTTCTCTTCTGGGGTTCTACTTGTGGAAAGCTCACATATAAAATGGGGTTATCTAAATACAAAAATGTATCCAGAAATAGTGCATTTCTACTAGGTAAATAATAGGAATTCAAGAAAACACTCTGATTCTTGTTCCTTCTTCACTCTGTCTGTGAGTCTCTCAAGTTGCATGTAACTTGGGACACCTAAATGCTTTGTGGCCTGAGCCAACATAAGCATAGAGGAAGTTGCTTTAAAAAAAATAATCTCTAGGCTTTTCTTTTTCTATTGGTTTAACAATAAATTGCATTTGTTATGTTTAAACCATAAAAGAACACTGAAATGCGACAGAAGCAATGGGTGAGAAGAGATACAAAAATATATTTAGGTTTGAGAGTTACCACGGATCTTCATAGTCAAAGGAGTTCATTTTTGTGCTTTCATGTGTGAAAATTTACCTTTTTTTTTTTTGTCTTTTTCCGTTTTATCGGTACTGGGGATCGAACTCATGACTGCCTGCTTGCAAGGCAGGCGCTTATGCCACTGAGCTAAATCCCCAGCCCCAATTTACCTTTTTTTACTCAATTTGAATGTATAATCCAAGATGCCCACTTGCGGTGATTTTTACAAATGTATGGTATTTTCTTCCACATATTTATTATTGCTGCTCTTAAATTTGTGTGTGGTGAGTCAGACCTTTACGTTGTTTTATAAAGTTTGGTAAATTTTGGCATATGCAGTTTTATCACAAGTGAAAAATAATCCTCAATCAAAAATTCATTTTGGTGTTTGACCCCTCACTAGCAAACTAAATTCTGAGATGCATTGAGTTTGAAAGACAAGCAAAAATGTAGAGGTATTCTATAAAAATAGGTCAGGCTTCCTATATCCCACAAAGCCATTACATTATCTTGCCAAAAGTTGTACTCATAATTTACTGGCTCGATTTGATGAGTTCATCTGGTAATTTGTCTATTCTAGCATTACGGAATTGTATTCCCTTTTGGTGCCGTGAAATGCAGGGTAATGCCTCTGAGGAGCTTTGCAGGAATCATTTAAGCTGAATTACTCCTACTTCCTGTGCTTCTTGCGTTGTGGTCAACATTGGCTTACGTATACATTGCAGTGAGTACCTGCACTGTCTTGAAATCCAAGTATAGTGTCCAAATGGAAAAAGATTGTGAGAGGTGGGGAGCGAATACCTTGGTGCAGAAATTGTAAGCTTCCTTTTGTTACTGGAAGTCCCACAGTAGCACCTTCTCTTAGAAGAAGACCCACTCTGTTTTTGCCTTTTTACTTCTACTACTAATACAGGAAAGGTTGGCTAGCAAAGTAAATGAAAATAAAAGCATAAAATTAGTGCTTTTTGAAATTTGGAAAGTTTTGTTTCTTTTGCTCAGACAGAAATGGAGCAGATTTAAAAGTTTCATTGACCTGTAGTAATAAAGTAGACACACACACAAAAAAACATTTTTTTTTTTGTATTGGGGATCGAACTCACAACCTCACACTTGCCAGGCAGGCACTTATGCCACTGATCTAAATTCTCAGCCCAAAAATATTTTTTGAGTCAGGCACGGTGGCACGTGTCTGTACTTGTAGAACTCTGGGAGGGTGAGGCAGAAGGATCACAAGTTTGAGCCCAGCCTTGGCAACTTGAGCCCAGCAAGGTCCTGTCTGTAAATAAAAAATAAGAAGTTGAGGATGTATCAGTGTGAAGGTCCTGGCTTCAATCACCAGTATTGCATCAGAAAGTAAATGTTTTTTGGACTGGGCCAGGAATATAGCTCAGTGGCATAGGCACATGCAAAGTCCTGAATTTGTTTCCTGGTACCAGAATAATAATAATGATGATGATGATGATTGAATTGAGTCGAGTAATACAATGAATTTAAAGAGCCAATAAAACTAATGAGTGAAAAGTAAGTTATCCTTTACATCAAAGTTGCATTTTAATGAACCTTTAGGTGGAGGAAAAAACAAAGCGAGTAAGTAGTGATATGGAAGTATCAGAAAACCCATGTGATGCCACTGCTGATGACAATGACAGATTAATTCAACAAAGAAATAATGGAAAAACTGATATCCAGCAATTTCCTATTAAGGAAAGCAAAGAGCATGAGAGGTAAGACTACAGCAATATTTGAGTTGTTTCTGTTCTATACTTGTTACTGTTCTATAAAACTAAATCTAATTTGAGCCAGTATTTGCAATTAAGAAATTACATGCTTTCACTATTCAGCTTCTTTGTATGCCTGTTGGAAAAATATAGACATTATTAGATTCCGGTTTTGCCAGTTATAGCTAGAAATGTTTTATTTTTAAAAGTAATAGGAATTGGCCAGTCTGAGGAGACAGACATTGTCATGTACTGCTAGTAAATGAAATTATTAAACACTTTAGTAGCATTAATTAAATTTCAAATATATCATCCTCTTAATCTAACACTTTCTCTTCTGAGACTGAGTCCTTCTGGGAAAGGAATATATGACTATAAGTGTACATATGCACATAGGTATTAAAGATATTTACTATATATCACTTATAGCCTAAAATAGGTGAGTGTATATACTTAAAATATAACAAATGTTAAGGCTGTATAGCATGTTTATAATATGTATATAAATATGCTATATACATTCACATGTTAAACATATTTATTAGCATTCTTATAAGTGGAAATAGTCTAAAGACTTAACAGTAAGGAAATAGTTGAATTGTTATATCCATAAGATAATACAGCATACAATCATTAGATAATAATCATTAATTGTGATTATTTCACCAAGTATATTTAAGGTATTTAGTTTAATGATACATCGTTAGCAAATGTTACTGTAATATTTGTAATATGTGCCAAGTTGCAAAAGAAAGTTGTATGCCACACTGATACTCCTATTAAAATTTAGTAGCTATTAGACTTTTTTTTTTTCTCAAAACATAAATTATCTAATCTGGACCTTCACATTCATCTGCATATTGTTCAGGTATTGCAAAAGGATCCATGATTAACTAGTTTTCAATAAACTGGGTAAAGTCTCTTAAAAGTGCCATCAAAGAATCATTCATATACTGAACCAGGAATTGACTTTTTCTGTAAGGATCCTATTATAGTAAATATTTTAGGCTTTGTGGCATGAAGTCTCTCTCATTTTTTTTTAAATTTTTTTTACTTAAAGAGAAAACAGTAAAAGGGTATAAGTAATACAGAATTTCAAAAAAATAAACAGTAAGAAATCACTAGTTAATAGATTACATATTGTCATCTTAGAAATAGTTGTTCAAATTACAAAATTAAAGCATACAAAGTGGACATTCAAACAGTGAGATTGTAAACAGTTCTGTTCAATGATCCAACAAAAACTTAGTCATGTGGTTTTCTATCTTACACACTTAAATATACATGCAGTTATATCCTTTAGAGCACTTTCTTTTCCTCTCTTTTCTACAATAACAATTACACATTTTGGGTTTTATTACTCCCACAGTTCTTATTACTTTTTTTTGAAGAGAATAAAACCAAATGTGACAAAAACTTAGAACAGAAGGATGGACATAGTACATGATGTAAAAACAGAATACCAGGTGATCAACAATGGTTACCATAATGCCTCTTGCTATCTTAAAAAGAGTTGCCTATATCATCAGGTATAATAAAATTGAACAAAACAATACAGAACAAAACCAATAAACCTAAACATTGGAGACCTTACAAGACTTCAAAAGAAGATAATAGTCAAACCTAATGGGCATCATAGTGAATCTTACTGCCTTCAAAGTAGTTGCCTATACCCTAAAACTTGATACTATCAAAACAGAAATAGAGTAAAATCAGTCAAAACAAGAATAGAGTAAAATCAGTCAAAACAGAATAGAGTAAAATCAGTCAAAACAAGATGGTGACAGCAATACAGGGGTTCAAATCAAGTTAATAGGAAAACAAAAAGTTACTATAATATATCCTGCTATTTTTTAATTTATTTTTTCCCTTAATTAAAAAAATAAAAGATTAATTTTTTTAAAAGGAAAAAAAAGGGGAGATTGAGATAAAAGAGGACATAACAACAAAACAACGCAGGTCAGAACAGAACAATTTAAGCAACATAGTGTTTCACTACCAGATAACCTGACATAATAGTAGTTACTGTAGTGTCTCTTTCCTAGAAATATTTGAGTATAACTTCATATACTATAGCATCAAACATATCAAGACAGTGTGAAACCATTTAAGAGAATGGAAGTATTATAGGGTATTTAGAACCAGCTAACAGAAAACGAACAACAGTTTCTATCTCTTTGCTGATAAAAAATTTTGTTTATACTATCACATATAATAAAATCCAGTAAGATACAACACAATAAAATCAATGGAGACAGAAGAGCAACAGCTTGATGGGACTTCAAAACAAGATGATATTAAATCAGGGGCTGGGGGTTTAGCTCAGCAGCATAAGCACCTGCCTTACAAACAGGTGGTCGTGAGTTCGATCCCCAGTATCGATAAAAATGAAAAAGACAAAAAAAAAAGATGATATTAAATCAGCACTAACTATTATGATGTTTTGTTTTCTTCAAAATAGCTGTTCATACTATCATAGACAATAAAATCAAACAATCCAGAATAAAACCATTCCAATTAATGAGTGAAAACATTATATGGCTTCAAACCAATATAATGGGGAATCATGATTACCACATACTTTTATGTATTGTTATCATTTCTTACACTAGGGAAACTGTTCGATATTTATACATTTGAGTTTGATTTATTTCACTTACGAGTATGGTCTCAAGCTGCGCCCATTTATTTATAAATATCTCAATGTGATCCTTTTTTATAGCTGAGTAGTACTCCATTGTATAAAAATACCACATCTTTTTATCCATTCCTCAGTTGATGGACACTTAGGTTGTTTCTGAGATCTGGCGATTGCAAATTGTGCTGCTATAAACATGGGTGCACATAATATCACTGTGGTATGATGCTTTCAGTTCTTCTGGGAATATACCTAGAAGTGAAATAGCTAGAACAAATGGGACTTCCAATCCCAGCTTTTTGAGAAATCTCCAGACTGCCCTCCACAATGGTTGCACCAGTCTACACTCCCACCAACAGTGCAGGAGAGTTCCTTTTTCCCCACAGCCTCTCCAGCATTTGTTGTTGTTGGTTTTCTTGATCCTGGCCATTCTTTCAAGAGTGAGATGAAGTCTCTCTTGTGGTCATCCAGAATCTGGTGTAGATAGTCAATGAATAAGTGTGGCTATATGTCAGTAAAATTTATTTACAGGGCTGGGGGATAGCTCAGTGGTAGAGTACTTGCCTAGAACTCAAGAGGCCTTGGGGCCCATCGCAGCACCACAAAAAAAGAAATACTTATTTATAAAAATAGATATTAGGCTGGATTTACTCCACAGGCCTTGATTTGCTGACTCTTATGGTAAACCCAAGTTAGCTGCTAATGTTCTAAGTCTTTTAAAGGTACCCTGTATGTACATCATTCTCCTTTTGAAAAATAATGCCTTTCCTTTTTTTGTTTTGTCTTTTTCAGACAGGGTCTCTATGCAGTTTTGGCTGGCCTTGAGCTCACTTTGTAGCCTAGGCCGGTCTCGAACTCACAGTGATCCTCCTGCCTCAGCCTCCCAAGTGCTGGGATTACAGGCATGAGCCACCAAACCTGGCATGTCTTTCCTTTTTTAAAGATAATGCACTCCACTGTGTTTTTTAGCAGTGACTCTATATATAACTTACAAAATTCAGTTTATAAAATAAGATTATTTTATTTCTCTGCTTTAGTTTCCTTCCTCAAGTGTACTAGATATTTTGCCTGTTGCTGAGTATTTGTGTCTAGAATTTGTGTCTAGTGTTAGTTGCTAGAATTTGTGTCTGTTTACTACCATATCATCAGTACCTAAAAAAGGCTCTAGCATACAGTACCGTAGCTACTCAGTATTTACTCAGTGAATGGAGTTTACTCTGTGTGTATTGTTTTAAACAGTAGACTAATTTCTTGCTTATGAAAATTTGACTTGAGAAATTGCAAATTGAAATCCTACTTGGGAAGTGGAGCAAGGCGCTGTCTCAAAATGAAAAGACTGGAGGTTTAGCTCAGTGGTAGAGTACCGCTTTAAATCCCCAGTACTGGGAAAGAATTTTCATGTAAGTTCATTCTGACAGTTTTACCAGGCAAATATATATATTCACACACACATTTTTGGCTTTAATAAGCTCTGTATTACTGTATATTAATATTTTTCCATATAGGAAGAAAAGTTCAATGTTGAGTTTATTCATTCTTTTAGAGTACTTTCACTTATACTAAATGGATTAAAAGAATTGCAGGCTTCATTTGTATTTTATTAAGAAAAATAAAACATAAAGGTGTAAACTTAATGGGCTTAAAAAAAAAAAGATTGTGGCCAAAAGACTAAAATTTTCAATAACTAAATTAAAGGGCAAAATTCGAGTGCAGTGTATTGCTTCCTGTGGAGAGAGCTATGCTGGTTGGGCACAGTCTCTTACAACACAGTTGCCTGAGTGGTACCTCAGCTCATGAACTTGATTTCTCCCATGATTCTGGTCGCAAACTGAGTCAGGTGAGAACTGAATAAAATTCAGTGGTTGAGCTGAGCACTGTGGCACACACCTGTATTCCTAGTACTCTGGAGGCTGGAGGCAGGAGAATCACCAGGAGTTCGACTCCAGCCTGCACTACATAGTGAGATGCAGTCTAAAAGAAAGAAAAAAATCAGTGGTTAGGTTCAATGTTGAACCTGTTTGATTCAGATTTGATTCAGTTCTTACCAGTTTGGTTTGCAACCAGGATCATGGAATTGAGTTTGTGAACTGAGGTACACTGTATGTGGTTTTGGAACGTAAAGGCAGGCTGGCCATCAGAAGGTAAGTAGATTGATGTCAGTAGCTAATCAAGTAATATTGTTAATTGGCTGGTACTTAAGCATATGTATTAGTTTGCCTTGCAGCGAGCAAAACGCTGGCATTAATTGGTTGGTGTGGGTTGGTTGGTTGGTGAGTGAAGCCAACTGAAGGTTGATTGAAAGAACACTGGCTCGCCACAGTTGCAGCTCAGCCTAAGTGAGCCAACTTCAACCAGATGTTTTCTGCTTAAAAGTTGGTTTCTGTCAGCTGCTTAAAATGAAGACAGTTTCATATTCTAGAGTTGTAACCTTGTTTTTGAAGTTCAGCTGAAGAAGAATTCTTTAGTAATTGCTCTTTGGAATATGTCCCCCACCCCATCCCACATCCATTTATTTAGATTTCTAGCCTTAATAACTTTTTTGTAAATAGCTATTTTTGATTGTGGCACTTTTAGGGGCTCATGCTTAGCTAGCAACATAATCTCCCATGGGAAATTTCAGACTGTCAATTTGTGTAGATGTGACAGCATTATCACATTTATGTGTGTTTATTCCATAAAAAAAAATTACAGTGATTTGTTGGTAAATCCTGCTTTTATATTATGGTTAGGTACCAGGATAAAGTATAGAAAAGTAACATCTTTTATTTTCAAACCAAATCATTGCTATTCAGAATGTTTCTTTTGTAAACTTACATGTGATAACATATGGGTATTTTAAAGTAAGATTTTTGTCCTCAAGATACTTCCCCAATTTCTTGTTTGACACTCTTATGAGATTTTTCCAACTTTATTTAAAGTCAGTACCGATATATTTAAAAACACACCCAAAATGTAGCACAGATCTTCTCACTTCCGTAAGAGGTGTTTGATGCAGTGTCCTCGTTCAGTAGACGTAGTGTGCTTCTCTTAGCTCTTCTTCCTTTCAGGTTCCTGGGAAATGCCTAGATACCATAGACCACATCTTCGGCTTACATTCTATTCTCTTAAGTAAAATGGTTTTCTGCTACTTTTTTGCCTGGTGAGCTCCTCTCACTACTTCTTTTATAAATTTCTTTCTTGTGCTCGGATGCAACTTTTCATTTGTCAACTTTTTACAGATCACATTGAATTGTTTGTATGTTTGTTTGTTTTAAGCAGAGAATGTATGTCTTTATTTAGTTGGTACTTCATAACTAGTTTGTAATTAACAAGTAAATTAATATTGGGAAGTGTTGACATTTTTCCAAAATTGCTTTTTAAAAAAATTGTGTTAGACTAAAAAAACATTGATTTTTTTGATTTTTTTTTTTTTTTTTTTTAAGTAGTGGGCCTGCCTTCCCTTTGTGGAAGGTAAACAAGACTGAAAATGAACAGTGGAGCTCCACAGAATCTGTGATTTCCCCAGTGTTGAAGAAGGCCAGCTCCCTTTCTGGTGGTCTACTACAAGTGAAGAGTGATAATAGTGACACAGATGAAGATGAAGGAAGGTAAAATTTCAGTAAATGTTTTCTTTTCCTTTAAAGCAATGTTAGCAGGAATTACTTGTTCCGGAAATAAAACAGCAGTGTAGTCTACAGGGAAAGCAAGAGGACACCCAGCCACTTCTCAGCTGCCAAAGGTTGGCTAAGATGAGGACAAGTGATAGGTTGACAAGGAACAGTTTCAGCAGTGGTCACATGGGACGCTGGCTGCTGTGGATGAGTGGAAAATGCATTGGATAACTTGCTGGGAAAGCTGGGGAAGGAGGTGGTACTCAAGAAGAATATGGTGTTTAAAAGATTTTTTTCTCAAGATTTTAGAGTATATTTGCATACTACTAGAAATTATCTCATAGAAAAAGACATTTTAATTTTTAAAAAATATTTGCGAGGGGCTGGGGATTTAGCTCAGTGGCATAAGCGCCTTCCTTGCAAGCAGGCAGTCGTGAGTTCAATCCCTGGTACCGATTAAAAAAATATATATATTTGCGAGATTCAGAAATTATGGTTATAAGCAAAAATGGATGATAATGCAGATTAACACCATTTACAGTGGAACCGTACATGCATGACTGCCCAAGGCTGCCCAGTGGGGCAGTCATGCATGTACCACCAGTGGTTCAAGCTGGTGGGAAAAGTTAATGTGATATTAATATCACTTAAAAACACTAAATACTGGGGCTGGGAGTTTAGCTCAGTGGCGTAAGCGCCTGCCTTGCAAGCAGGCAGTCGTGAGTTCGATCCCTGGTACCGATAAAAACAAAAAAGACCAAAAAAAAACCACTAAATACACATTTGAAGATAAGTATTTCACAACATACAATATACCCCCATGAGGCCACATTTCGGAGTTCTTCGCCTCACTCTGTCACAGATTTTTCCTTAGAATCTAACTAATAACTTTTCATGGAATCCCTGCAATTTCAGGAAAACAAGTATCCTCTGCAACTTTTTTTTGCAGGAGGTTTGCCAGTAGCCAGTTCAAGAGTGTTACTCAGTTCTTGCTGCTGATTGGTTGCTGCCCTGTAATCAATCTCTGCATTGTAACAAGTTGATCTCCTCCTGACTCTCTCCATTGTTCTCAGTTTTATTCTTCTTGAAAGCCCTATGATCCCTAAGATGCTGCCAAAATGCCTACACCTCCTGGAACTTTATTAACAATATTTTATTAAATTACATAATTTCAGGAGACATTAGGATTTAAACTGTAAAAACAGGCATTTACAGGCATTTTTCTGACCATATCTGAAATTTGCAGTTTTTCACAATTGCGAGTGCTCAAGAATATAATCCCTGTGAATTTTGAGGGTCCCCTGTACTGTGAAACATTCCTAGGTTTAAATTCTTACCACCTGTGTGTGCTTGGGCAGGTTACTTGGCCTATCTTCACCTAGTTTATTCTTCTATACTATGTTACCTTCCTCACAGAATTGTGTTTACCACATGTACAGTGCTTAGAATAATGCCTAAAAGTTACATAGTAGGTCCTAAAAAGTTAGCTCCTATCAGCATTAAAAAAATTTTCCCCAAAAACAACAAAAATGCGGGTGTCCCTCACATAGGGACCTAAGTAAGTAATATTTTCTAAATGGATTTTAGTGCCTATAAATATTTGGTTTTGGTTTTATTAAAAATAATAACAAAATATTTTTTCTATCAAATAACATTTTTCTTCTGCTTTAATTTAAGAAAGCTTGAGCTAAATTTAATGAATTATTATAGTATTAGTAGTAATAGTATTCTTAGTCCCTAAAGTGTTACCCTTTGTTTAGAGTTGAATTCTCTTTCTACATTTTGAATAGCCTATAAACTTCATGAACAGGAGAAATAAATTTATAAATGCTGAAATTTTATGTACAGAAACTATAGATTTATGTATTTTTTGTATTTTATATAGTCAATATTTGCCTGAAAGGATTGTATGGGTTTTTTTGATTTTTGTTTTGTTTTGTTTTTTAGGTCCACAAAGAAAATATCTAATGTAAAGAGCAAGGTATTGTAAAAAAAAAAAAATCAAAAGTAGTATATTAAAAATATAACATAAAAGGTAAACTGAGTACATTATAATAATACACATATACAGATTAAAAGATACATTATAAAAAGTAAAGTAAAAAAATAGAGAATCCTTATTATGTAAAGATACTTACTTTAAAAAATTTACTAAGAAACAGTAGCCAATACTTGTTTCTACTAATATAAGAAGAGAATATTTACTACTTCTGTGTATTTAGTATATGGTATAAATACTTTGGGGACATTTTGGAATAATATAACTTATTTTATAGGTCAAAAAGCAGATTCATGCTGTGGATTACCTTGATGACTTATCACAGTCATCTGAAACACCCTCAGAGGATAGTGAGTCACCTTACCCTAACTATGAGAATATTTTGCTGCTGTTTGAACAACTTAGAATGGAGTGCAAAGGTAGGACCAGAATGAAGTTGCATGGCATCTGATGGGTATCGTAGTAGGTGTAGCCATTGTTCAGCACTGCACCATCAAGCAGAGATGTGTTGCAGTGCTGTTTTGCACTGAAGCATGCTCTGTATTAGCATACAATGAGTATTGTGCACTCCAGCCACAGAGCATCAACCATTACCATGTTCTTGCTTAGTGTGAGTGGCATTCCCAGGCCTTTTGTTGACTCTGCTTCTCTCCCGTGTCCTGATCATTATCAAGTCAGCAAACCGTAGTCTCTGCCTGGAATACTCTAATTAGATCTGATTCCTTGCTAACCCACCTCCCAAAACCAAGGTCTGCTCTGTAACCATAATTACATATTTTTAAAGATTTTTTAGACCCAATCTTGTTAACCGTTTGCTGAGAACCTATCACTTCTTGCTGTAATGTTAAAGATTTCGCTCCTCCTGTCCTGCAGCACTGTGGCCTAGCCACTGGCTGAGGTGTTTGTGCTTTCAACAGAATCTTTGTTTTCAGTAGTTTAGGGAGTTTCTAAAATATGATGACCTGTTCGTATGTAACGTGCACAATTTGATATGTTTTGATGTGTTATTAAATACATTTAATCACTACAATCAAGTTACCTAGCAAATCCATCACCCACCAAAGCCTCCTAATGCTCCTTTGTTTTCCATTATGAGGAACTGCCAAATCGTTTTGCAGGGTGTTTGTACCACCTTCCATACCCATCAGAGGTGTACAGGAGTTCTAGTTCCTCTGTATGTATCTTCACGAACATATACATACCCATCAGAGGTGTATGAGAGTTCTAGTTCCTCTATATCTTCACAAACACATAGTATCACCTCCATGTGTGCGTCTCTGTCTGTGTATGTGCTGTTGTTTTTCTTTGGTTGGTTGTTTGTTCAGGATTGCTGTGGTTCTTCTGGGTGTTTTATGTTTCCATATGAATTTTAGGTTTTTTTTTTTTCCTAGTTCACAGCAGCTTCTTTATTAGTACAGAAAAAAACTATTAATATTTATGCTTTTATTTTGCATCTTTCCATCTTGCTGAATTTATCAAAAAGTCTTCTAGTAGGATCTTCTAAATTAGAAATCCCCATCCCACAAACACAGATTAGTACTGTTCAAAGCCTGCTAGAAACCAGGACCTCACAGCAGAAGGTGAGCAACAGGTGATCGATGAAGTTTCCTTTGTGTTTGTAGCTGCCCCCCATTGCCTGAGCTCTACTTCCTGTCAGTTGTGATACTGGATTGTCACTGGAATGTGATCCCTTCTGTGAAGGACATATATGAGAGATCTAAATTGTATGAGACTCTAATGACTGATGATATGAGGTGGAGCTGAGGCAGTGATGGTAGTGCTGGGGCGCAATTGCAAATACAATTTAATATTAGCAGAGAAGTTTGGCTGCACAGAGACCATAATCACTTGCTTCAAGATTGTATCAGTGAGTGGCAAGTAACAAACTGCATCTACTGTTAGACTTTATAGTATCTTGTGAGTTGATGTACTTCAGTTGCACACTTGTATCTGGTGGCATGCTTTCCATCAAATTCCAAAACTTTAATCCACACATGGCTCACCCCTTGTTTTATCACTTCCATCTACACCTATCCTGTACTGCACAGTCTCAGTCACAGTTTTGGTATGCCGACAGGCTAACCCTAAACAAAACAAGTTAAGAAGCGGGTTAGAAAAAGGGGTAATAACCAGTGTTGACACAGCAGTTGACTGAAAGACTGCTAACAAAAAGGAAACCTACATTTAAAAGAATAAAGAGTCTCCCTTAAATTATGGGTTGAGTTCAACAGGTGATTCCTATTCTCCAAGCCTGCTTTGTATATAGTGTATGGTGAGTGGCTATCTAGTAAAACCATGAAAGCTTTGAAACTTCACATGAAGAACAAGCACCCTGCATTACATCATAAGCCTTTGAGGTTTTCACAAGAAAAAAAAAATGTGGATGTGAAGAAGAGAAGCAGTTATTGAAGACCACCACTTTATCAAATGTGTCTATCTTAGCGTGGCCAACCACCTTGTTAAGCTAAGAAGCCCTTGACTGTTGGAGAGTCAATCCTGCCTGCTGTTAAGGATGTTCATTGTAAACTGTCAGAAGGTGGTATGTGTTCCTCTTTCAGCTAGTGCCATAACCAGACAAAAAGATAAAACTGAGGATACTGAGCAATGTGTTATGGTACAAAATCCAGGTTGATGAGCCTACTGATGTTGATGACAAGGCAACAAGGCTTGTTTCTGTGTGATATGTTTCTCAGGTGTATGTTCACAAGGACATGTTACTTATACTTTGGTTGCCAGCCAACATCTCAGCTGCAGAACTGTTCAAGTCTTTCAGTGCTTACCTATCTGGAAAATTCAGTTGGTCATTTTGTATCCTTTTGTGCACAGCTGTCATGACTGGGTAGCTTCATGATTTCACAACTTGAGTCAAAGAGATCACTTCTGAATGTGAATCTACACATTGTGTCATCCATAGAGAAGCTGGCTAACTGAAAATGCCACCTGAACTTAATGTTTTGCAGAACGTGATTAAATTATCAACCACATTAGAACACATGGCTTTAATGCATGTCTGTTTTGCACAGCTTTGTAAGGAGATGGATACAAAGCACGTAGGTCCACTTATACACAGAAGCATCTAAAGGAGATCCTGGGCTGCCCTTTTGAGTTATGAGAGGTCTCCAGAGTAGGTTGTAGAAACACAGTCACCAATGGCAGCATTTTTCAGAGAAACAGAATCGATCACAAAAATTGATTACTCATGTGGTGTAGTCAACCTACTTTGGTACTCAGACTGTCACTTCAGAGGAAAATGATAGGGGACTCATCATGAATGAATGAGGGCACTGGCAATGATAAGTACGTCTAACTCAGTGCTGAAGAGAAAGTTACTCTGGATCAGGGGCAAAACAAAGTCTGATACAGGATAATACACAAGAAGACAACCCACCTGAAAGACAATCCAGTTGGAGCGCAGAAACCAGTACACACCTGTGCCGCACTATCCTACCTGCCACCCCAGATCCTGGGTGCCCTCAGCATCTTGAGAAAACTGACTGAGGAAGTTGGCCTTTCAGAACCAGTCCAGTGTGTGGAACCCATGGTCAAACTATCCTCCCGCTACGCATGATAAACTTAGCTCCACCCCAGGGACTCAAAAAAAGCCAAAAACAGAACAGGGCTAAATTTGACGGTGAACCTTATGGAACATGAAACAGTCCAAAGAGGGCAGTTTATTTGCAATCAGTGCTCACATTAGAAAAATAGAATGAGCTGAAATAAGCTAATGATGAATCTTAAGATACTCAAAGAATAACAATAGTCCAAGCTAAACCTAGTTTAAAAAGGAAAATCATAAAGATAAAAGCAAAAAGTAACAAAATTGGGAACAAAAAAAAAACAGTGCAAAGAACCAACAAAGTGATGAGCTGGTTCTTTGAAAGAATAAACATAATAATGCTTTGCTGAACTTAGCAAAAGGAAGAGAGAAAAGATTCACACCAATGCGAATGGGAATAAAATATGCAGAATTACATTACTGGGTTCTATAGTTCTGTAGATTCTTCCAGGTCTTTGGTATCCTGAACAAAGTATCAGACAAGACACACAAAAAAGATACTTGAGCTTTACATATGTTAAAGATAGGGGGAAAAAAGCATGCTTCATAGAGTAAGAGCAGGCCACTGAGAACATTTACAGAAGCCACAAAGTTAATGGCAGAGAGTTTTGTGTCATTCTTCAACCTGACGTCAGATCTAGACCAGCATATCAAAAACCTGCTTGATTGTGCACCAGAAGAGTGGAAGATAACACTTTCTCGTTGGTCCCAGGTGTGAGCCTTGCCAGCTATATTCTATGCATGAGTCCTGGATCTCTATAACTGACAGGTCATGCCCACCATGTACCTTGATGGTTGTAACTGATGTGTATCTGCTTGTCTTTGTCATGTTATTTTCCAGCTGCTTTTCTCCTCTGAATTGCTTATCCTGCCTGGTTGTTTCATTCTGTTGTTGAAATTGTGGTCATTTGTATCTCTGTATAGAATATGTTTCAGTATTCTCTGTAGGGTTAATTTGGTGGTTATAAATTTCTTAAGTTGTTCTTTGTTATGGCAGTATCTTGCTCATTAATTTTGAAAGATAATTTTGCAGGAGACAGCAGTCTGGATTGGAAGTCATTTTTTTTTTTTCAGGGCTTGAAATACTTTGCTTCAAGCTCTTCTTGATTTGAAGGTTTGTGTTGAGAAGTCTGCCGTGATTCTAATGGGCTTTCCTTTATAGGTGATCTGTTTCTTTTTTCTAACAGCTTTTAATATTTTGTTCTTGTGCTGTATTTCTGAAATCTTGATTATTGTATATCTTGGTGTAGTTTTGTTTTGATTAGGCTGTTGGGAGTTCTATGTGTTTCATTTATTTGTATGTCAAATTTTTTTATTCATGTGTGGACTTGCCATTGTTTATGTGAAGTTTTTTTTCTGTCTCTAGCTGTCTTAATGTGGAAGGTAGGACACTGGTACAAGCCCTTCAGAAACATTCACTGATAAAAATTTTCATATAAGAACTGTCACAGCTGCATTCCATAGATGTTGGTGTCTTGTAATTTTGTTGTTGTTTTTTTTGTTTTGTTCAGTTCAAATACTTTCTAATTTCTGTTACCTCTTGACCCAATTGCTTAGTCATGTGGTACTTAGTTTCCATAAGTTACTTAGGTAAATGATTATTTTCTAGACCTATTACTGTTACTGATTTCTGGATTGTTTTGGGATCAGGGTTGTATTTTGCACGTATTAAATCATTTTGACTTAATCCTTGTACTAATACTGTGTTAGAATTCGTTCTGTTTTGTTAAGAATGGTGGTATTCAGGTTTATTCTGATTCTCTGCCTACTTGTTCTATAATTTATTAAATAAGGGATAGTGGGGCCAGGATATAGTTCAGTGGCACAGCACCTGCTCTGTAAGTGAAAAGTTGTGAGTATGATCCCTGGTACCAAATAAATAAATAAATAAATAAGAAAGAAAGAAAGAGGTATTTAAATGTCATACTGTACGTATGACTTGGTCTGTTACTTTTTGCTCTTCTATCAGTTTTGTCCTTAAGTGTTTTTGAAGCTGTTATTGGGCACATAAACAATCAAGACTTCTTCATTAATATATATCTTCTTCATTAATTGAACCCTTTATCATTATGAAATCACCTAATTTATTATAGATAATAGAATTTTACTGTGAGAGATCTACTCTGATAGTAATACAACCATTTCTGTTCAGCCTTCTTTTGGCAAGCATTAGTGTGGTATTTTTCTTTTTAACCAATTTATGTCTTTAAAGTATATTTCTCATAAGCGTCTTTTTATCCATATTGACTTCTCTTTTAATTGAATTTTCTAGACCATTTAACATGAAGTGCCGAAACTGTATATATATTTTTTTGATTCTCCAGAATCTTAACTATTAATGCCTGCTGTTAAACAGAAACTTTACCAATAACAGTTTTTTGGTTTTGGGGTTTTTTTTTTTTATTGGTACCAGGGATCGAACTCACGACTGCTTGCTTGCAAAGCAGGCGTTTATGCCACTGAGCTAAATCCCCAGCCCCACCAATAACAATTTTCAACACAAGTTTTTCCATGTTAAAAAATATTACATATGGTAAAAAGGGCATGAGAATTGTAAGAAGTCACAGTTTTACTCCTTTACTAGCGAGATACAGTACTCACAGGGAGAAACTAACACACTGGCCTTGTAAGTGGAAGCTTGGACACATGGGCTCACCACAGTAGCAACAGGAGGTGTCTCTGAAGTAATAGCTAATGTGATCCTATGTCTGTGCATTTGTTTATGTTTCTCTTGACTTCAGATTACAGTTTGTGTGCATGAATGTTGGTAGATTTTCCTTTTTATAGTAGATGCATGTATATTTTATGGTTGTACAAGATAGACTATTCTCTGCATATATTGCATGCATTGTGATCTACTTTTTCCTTAACTTTCTCAGTATTTCCAGGCTATGTGTTTCATCTGTAAGGTTTTTCAGATTGTCTGATTTTCCCAATAAAAACCTGACCTGTATAGTTCAAATCTGTGTTGTTCAAGAGTCAGTTATAGGATTGTCTGTCATGCCATTTGATTGCAGTCAGTTTCCATATCTGAAATACAATTTGGTATTTTAAAAATATCTTTCATTACTCTTCTGTCTTTATTTTTCAATATACTTGAGTTTCTTATAAACAGCTTCATCCTTCCTGCTCTTGATTTTATGCTTCAATAGGGGTATCAAAACAGTGTTTAGTCTATGGTTAATCGCCCAGTGCTAATGCAGGATCTTTCTGATTACCCATTGTGCTGTGAGTTGTGAGTTTCCAAACTATGTAAGCACCAACCAGTTTCCTCTAATCTTTTCAGATGCTTTTTCCCCAGGATCTGGGGTAGTTTCTTGGCATATGGTTACTCTGCTCACTACTAAAGGAGAGGCAGCTCTGCAGACCCCCAGGGTTCTTTCCAGTCTGGCCTCTCCTCTGTGTTGCTCTCTCCTGTGCTCTCTGTCTGCCTTGCTTTTATCAGACTCAGCCTCGTCACCTCCGCTCAGGGAATCTATTGGACTCCAGTTCTACTTGTTTAAGGCAGGAAACTAAGACATTCAAAATGCTTACTTCATTTGTCTCCTTGTCAGGGAACATTCTTCATTGCCAAGTCCATTGCCTTGAAAATTTGTTTGATATATTTTTGTCTGCTTTGTTTTGGTTGCTTTAGTAGGAATTTAAATTCCATCTGGGCTAGAAGCAGAGTGCCAGAGTCTCAGCATTCCCTGTAGCTCCATGACAAGGCTCTCGCATCTTAAACAGTCATGCTGTCTTTCTTTTCCACTAGATTTTAAGCTAAACAAGAGTAGAAGTCTCTGCTTACCTGCAGAGCTCAATAAAATGTGCTCTGTTATGGGCTCACACTGTATAAATACACTGTATAAATAAGTACATGAATAATTGAATTGAAAATGTGGTCTTTATCAAAAAAAATACTTTCCATCTTGTTTTATTTATTTTTTTCCATCTTGTTTTCTCCCTGATACAGATTCAATTAGTATATTAAAAATCTGGGATGCAATACGTTCATATAAAACAGTAATGGAACTTAAAAAAGATCATGATGAACTGCTTACAGGAAAAATTAAAAAATTGGAAAATAAGTTGAGGGAATTACAGAAGGAGCTAACAGAAACAAAAGATGCAAAATCACAATTAGAACATGAGAAAATACAACGAGAAAGAGAACTTGGCGATTTACGGTATGATATCCCTGTTCTAAAGAAATGTTTCAACTGCATACGACTGATATGAATGGGAAATTTTGTAGTTGGTGACTTATTGTATGTCATTTTGCAAGGAAGAAAACTTCTAAGTCTATAGAGTGAGTTCTTGGAAATGATAGATTGATAATTATAAAAATATAATAATTTTTTTTTGTCTTTTTCCTTTTTATTGGTACCAGGGATCAAATTCACGACTGCCTGCTTGCAAGGCAGGCACTTATGCCACTGAGCTAAATCCCCAGCCCTCAAAAATATAATAATTACATGCATGCTTTTCTAAATGGCTATATACAAATTTCCCTATTTAGTAAATGGAATTTTGGAGTTTTGTTTTTATATTATAAATAATGCTGCAAAGAGTATTGCTTATGTAAATCATTTTTATATCTGTACTTGAATACATTCTTAATATAGGATTATTTTACTAAAATGTAAGAGCTTTCTTAAAATATCTTTTATCAGTATTTCTAAAATTTTCCCAAGAAAGTTTATATTAATTTACAGTTTCTGCAGCACTAGAAATGGCCACTGTCTTAGTTACTTTTCTTGCTTTTTTGTTTGTTTGGTTGGTTTTTTTGAGTACCAGGGATTGAACTCACGACCTAGCACTTGTCAGACAGGCACTTAATGCTACTGAGCTAAATCCCCAGTCCCGTTACTTTTCTTGTTGCTGAGACAAAATAAGCAATACCCAAAGTTAAAGGAGGAAAGACTCACAGTTGTTAGAGGTCTCAGTCTGTAATTGGCTGGCTGCAAGGCAGGGTGGCATGGCAGAGGGACATCACAGAGGAGAAACAGTCCTTGACAAAACAGGCCAGGCAAAAGCAGCAAAGCAGTGAAGTTGCAAGGAGCAAGAGCACAGGAGACCACATTGGCCTGCTTTCTGCCCCTTACATTTTACCCAGGCTATTTGCAGTTTATGCAGGGGACATGCACAGACAGAGTGGGCACCCTTAATCCTCCCAGAACTATGGCAAATCAGTCAGTGGGCTAAGTGAGTAACAATACACCTTTAATCCCACTATCACACACTCCAGATCCAGCCACCTCCAAAAGGCCCCCACCTATGCCACCTAGGCTTTGAGGGGACATCTAGACACAAGCCAGAACAGCCATTGTTCTCAACCTAGAAAAATGTTTTCAAAAGTGTAATTTTCAGGGCCAGGGGTTTAGCTCAGCAGTATTATGTACTTGCTTGGCAAATGTGAGATCCTGAGTTTGATCCCTGGTACAAAAAAAAAAAAAAAAGTGTGATTTTCTTCCTCTTTCTCCTCTTTTTCTTCCTTCTCTTTTTCCTCACCTCCTTCCTTCTCGTCTTGTTTCCCTTCTTCTCTGTTCCTTTTTTCCTCTTCATTCTTCTCTGTCATCATCTTTTGTGGTGCTATCGCTTGAATACAAAGCCTTGCACATGGTAGGCAAGCACTGTACTGCTGACCTAGACCCCCAGATATGCACGAAACACGCATGAAATTAACAGCAAATGGAAAGTGATACTGATTATCTTATCCAACTTCTCTGTCATAGATAATATTAATTCATGTTTCTATAGTGACAGATTACTGTTTTTATTGTTATTTAGGTCCAGTCTTATTCCAAAGAGATCTTTAAATTGTTTATAAAATATATAATAGTCAATAAGTAAATTGAAATTACCCCTCCAAAAAACCACAAAAAGTGTGATAACACTTATTAGACTCATTACCCTTATCTTGGATAATAAGGACATGTCATGTAAAAACCATCTGAAGGTATTATCTTATACTATAAATCATTGTAGAGATACCTGTAATGTTTCATAAAAGTAATATTTTTATTTTTAATATGTAAATAGTGACTTTTAAAAACTTAGTTAACTATGTTTTGGGGAGTAATGACTACCTAAGAAAGGTATTTTGAGCTTTCTCTGTTTTATTTATGAATACAGGGAATTAAACCCAGGGAATACTGAGCTGCATGCTTAGCCCCTTTTTTTTCCTTTCAGTTTTTGAGACAGAGTCTCACCAAGTTGCCATGCTGGCCTTCTACCAGTGATCCTCCCACCTCAGCCTCAGAGTACCTGAGATCATAGACATGCTCCATCACACCTAGCTTAACAAGTTCTTAGTTTGTAACTATACTAACTTCAGAATTCCTTTTCCGTAATATTTACCAGTTATTAAAAATTATAATAGTACACAAACTCAATTAACAGAATGTTCATTCATCACTACCCTTCATGTATATGTCCTTTGAAAGAGATTGAGAGGTTAAAATAAGAGAACTAGAGGAAAAATATTTGAAGTATAGAAATTTTATTACGACAATAAAATCAACATATGGAGAGCCAGATTATAAAATGAACTTTTTACTTTACAACAAATCCATTCTTCAGATTTGCGTTAAAACAAGAAGAGGAAAAGAGAAAAAATGTTGATCAGTTTTATGAAAAAACTAAAGAACAATTAAGAAAGAAAGAAGAACAATATTATCAAGAAGTTGAAGCAAAACAACAACTTGAAATTTCTCTTAGAACACTAGATACAGAATTGAAGACTGTAAGAAATAAATTGGATCAGGTAAATTACTCTGATAAAAAGTTTCATATTTCAGTTTTATCAATATAGTATATCTTTGATTTAATATATACTCATGTGTTGCTTACTGTTGAGAATATGATCCAAGGCATTTCATTATTATGGCAATTTCATTATTATGCAAACATAAGCGGGTGGCCATGCACACTTAAAACAGCTCCACATCAGTGGGCAGTATCATCTTAAGGGCCATAGTGGAGTGTGCAATCCATTGTTAAAACATCATTATACAGCATGTGACTAAATCATTCAGGCTGAAAACAAAATGTCTCACTCTAAAAAAACACTGCAGCATTTATAGCTAGAGGTATTTACTGTAAATCTTGACATCTAATATAGCTTAGTTTGTTTTCTGAATAAAGGAATGAAAGTTGAGTTTAATCATGAACATAAATGTCAATTTGGGAATTTTTATGTTAAAACTGACTTTGAAACTAGTGAAATATTTCTTAATGAAATTTTATTTGATATGTCTGTGCCTATATTTAATAAATATTTTTACTCTTTAACAAGTTTTAGCTGTCATTTATACAATTTAAAATTTGAAGGCACGTGTGTCAGCACTTGCCTATAATCCCAGAACTGGGAGGCTGAGGTGGGAGGATCACTGTGAGTCTGAGACTAGCCTCCACTAGGTGATGAGACCCTGTCTCAAAAAAAAAAAAAAAAAGAAAGAAAAGAAAGAAATTTTTTGAGTTACTCATGTGGGATATAAGTCTTTGTGCTTTAATACAATACTTTGAACTTTTTTTTTCCCCTTAAAGTTTTAGGTTTTTTCCTCCCACAGGTATGAGTTATAAAACATAATGAAATGTATTTCCAGGTTTTGGAGGAACGAAATGACACGCAGAGGCAGCTTTCTCGAGAACAGAATGCCAGGATGTTACAAGATAGGATTCTGGAAAGCCACCTTTGTGAACAAAAAGAGATAGAGGTGACACAAGAGAAAATGAATCCTGAGGTATTTTCTGCAGCCATTTCCAAATGTGTGTGTTTGTCTTTGTACATATTTTCAAAGCCACCTATAGTCATATATGGATAGCACAGAGGATTTTTAAACCACCTGTGTGTACTAAATACAGTGTACATATGGAGGATGATGCCATTTTGGAGTTCGGGAATAAAGTGTAGTGTTGTTCATTCACTTCCACTGGGCTGCAGCAGTCAGATGGTAAAATTACAATGGCTCACCCCAGTGAAAGGTTTTTGATGTTTTCTATAGACATTAACAGTTTTCCATGATTTTAAAATCCTTGCTACTAACAGTAAATGTTCTAGTTTTAGGTAGTGATTTCACCCCATCATTGTGTTGATGTGGAGGTTTGTTTATTACTAAAAATATTAGGTGGGAAGGCAAAGTGTAACCAGCAGAGATACTTTAGGTGGCAACACCTACTTTTGAGCTGAGTGGCAATGTGTGCCAAGTAAAGATCTGGTATTTTATTTCTGTTAAAACAGCTCAGTGTCCTTTCCTGTTTCATATTTACTCGTGTTTCAGACACTGAAAAGGAAACAAAACATTGCTATGACAGCACCTTATCTCAGGATTTTCAAAGAGTGCTACAGATTTCATCTCACTTACCATAAGCATTTTGAAGTATAAACCTTTTTATATTTATATATTTATAGTACAGAAAAAAAAGTGACTTGGGGCCAGGGATTTACTCAAAACGCCTGCGTTAGTATGCGCAGTCGTGAGTTCGATCCTTGGTACCAAAAAAAAAAAAAAAGAAAGAAACAGAAACAAAAAAACAAAAACAGGGCTGGGGATTAACTCAGTGCCATAAGTGCCTGCCTTGCAAGCCTGCGGTTGTGAGTTCCATCCCTGGTACTGGTAAAAAAAGAAAAACAAGTGATTTCATGAAAGAACACTGGGTGTGGAGTCAAAGACATGGGGAAATCCTGGGTTGGCTTACATTTTAACCTCTTCCTTTTAGAAGTATATAACTAAATGAGTTCTTGATGTGTGCAGAAGTGCTTAGTACAGTGCTGAGATCTAGCATTTACCGATAACTAATTCTTACAACCAATCACAAAAATGTTAGAAAAGTAAACTACATATTTTCAAGATCAAGGAACTAAAAGAACTTTAGAAAATTTCACCTGTTATAATATGTAGAAGGGTTAGGTCCTTAATATGGACTGGCATATAAATTAGATAGCAAAGTATAAGCTATAAGCCCTTTTTTTTGGTATTGAGGATCGAACTCATGACCTTATGTTTGCCAGGCAAGTGTTTATGCCACTGAGCTAAATCCCTGGCCCTAAACCTAATTTTTAATATGATCCCTTTTTTAAATTTTTGCTTTTTCTTTTGTCTGTTACAGTTCAGGAAAAGGGTTTCCCAATTCTGGGATTCCTAAGAATTACCATTTATTTTTTACAACTATGGATTTTTACCTTCATTTAAATTTTTTAAACTTTTGGCAAATTATACTTCTATAAGCTTTAATATTTCAATCTAATTTTACACAGTTGGTTATCTGTTGCAGGACTTTCCTTGTATAAATGTACAGGTTATTTAGAAAAAGTCACAATATGTCATTTTATTAAGTGCTAGCTAAATATCTCATTTGTTTTACTTAGGTTTCTGTTAGTAATGAAGATCTGTTGCATAAGAATCAGAGGTTACAGAATGAAATTGCCATGATAAGACTAGAAATAGATGCAATAAAAAATCAGAACCAGGAAAAAGAAAAGAAATATCTGGAAGATATTGAAGTTGCAAATGAAAAGAATGATGCCCTCCAAAGGACAATAAAACTGAATGAGGAAACATTTGCGAAAACAGTATTCCAGTGTAATGGGCAGCTTCATATTCTGACAGCAGAAAATACAATGCTAAATTCTAAACTGGAGAATGAGAAACAAAACAAGGAAAGACTGGAAACAGAAATTGAATCATACCGTTCCAGACTGGCTTCCGCTGTTCATGATTATGATGAAAGTCAGACATCAAAAAGAGACCTAGAACTTGCTTTCCAGAGAGCAAGAGACGAGTGGTTTCGTTTACAGGACAAGATGAATTCTGATATGTCCAACCTAAAAGATAACAATGAAATTCTTGCCCACCAGCTTTCAAAAGCCGAAAGAAAATTCAACAGCCTAGAAATTGAATTCCATCATGCAAGAGATGCTCTTAGAGAAAAGACTTCAGTTTTAGAACAGGTACAAAGAGACCTAAATCAAACACAATGTGAAATGAAGGAATTTAAACACATGTATCAGGATGAACAAGGAAAAGTGAATCAATACATGGGAAAACAGGAATCCATGATGGAGAGATTGTCTCAGTTACAGAGTGAAAATGCATTGCTTCGACAGCAGTTGGATGACGCTCACAACAAAGTTGACTTCAAAGAAAAGACAGTAATTAATATCCAAGACCAGTTTCAGGATATTGTGAAAACACTTCAAGGTGAGAGTGAAAAACAAAACCTCATGCTGGAGGACAGAAACAAAGAATTACTCCATGAACATAATTGTTTAAAAGAAAGATTGTGTCAGTATGAAAAGGAGAAAGCTGAAAGAGAAGTAAGTAGCAAGAAAGGTAAATATTTTTCAGACTTCCTGGAAAAAAAGTGAAATTTGATGGATAAGTGGATGAGTGTTTAATGTAGTTGAACATAAAATATATCGTTTAAAAATGTACTTCCTGTGTTAGCCCAGAAACACACTTTATTTGCAGCAAATACAGCTTAGATCTGTTCCCACCAGGGTGTTCCTGAGTGTCTGTTACCTTTCCCCGAGCAGCACATGTATGTATGTGCGTGTTCTAAGTAGTTAGCCTGCACCTAAGAAACATGGAAAATTAAAAATTATCGTGTCTTGATGAAACATTTCTAAAACTTTTAGAGTTACAGAGAACTAAATTAGAAATCCAAAGGGAAAAAATCAAATGTGAGAGTCTTTTGTGGAGTTTTGATGTTGTTGTTTTTAATGCAGGGAATTGAACCCAAAACCTGTGTGTTTTGCGCATGTGTTCTACCCGACTTGTACTCTGGCCCTGGAGTAATTTTAATCTTAGTGTTGCTGTATTGCAAGACCATGATAAGGATGAATGGAAATGCTCCTGCCTAAGATGAGCATTTTAAATCAAGTTTCAGTTAAATGGGTTACCTGGATAGTTCACTGCAGATTTCCCAGATGAATTGAAGTGTGCCATATTTTATACTTTTTCTTCTATAGCTTCATATATGAGGCTGTATATATTTATTCCTAATAGTATAATTTTATTTTCATATTTGTGTGACTTAAGTCTGAAAATGTTTGTCTCAAATTATATATCCTTACGACATCTGAACTTTTTTTTCACCTCTTTAACAGGCATAAACTTTTCATTATCATAAATTGGGAAAAATTTGGCAGTTTACAATAAAAATCATAGTTAATATAATCTCAGTAGTATTTATCATTTATTAAACATTTTCCCAAATAACTTTCTTACATTTCTCATCTCAAGGCTGTTACTATTGTATAAAGGATTTAACTTTGTCCAGTACAAAGATAATTGTAGCAATCTGCAATTCATCACTGTGAGCTTGAATGTCCGTTTTCAGTGTAAAGAATGATGGCGGGATTCATGTACAGAGGGATGGGGTGCACAGGGGAGAGAGCTGCATCAGCTGAGGTCAGGGAAGGAGGTGACGGCCATCTTAGATAGAAACACACTTTCATTAGGAGCCTACTGGAAGGACTTGAGCAGAGGGTTCAATGTAATATACGAGTAACTCTGAAGTTAATTTGAGCCTCTACGAAAAATGAAGGAAAATGTGTGAAATTTACCACCCCAGTCCCATCCATATGCCTAACCCTTTTTGGACTTAAGTAGGCTGTTAAAAACATTGCAGATTCATCAGAGGAGGAGTGGGTAGAGGGTTGACGCCGCCATCCGAGTAATGTAATAGTGATTGGGCAGGAAAACACCACTTTCTGTGTCCCTAACTGAACTCAGTAATAAACAGGAGTAAAGATACATGAAGATGATTTGGAAAGGTGAACTGATATATATGGTGACACTTTTTTTTTTTGGTACCAGGGATTGAACTCACGACTTCGCGTTTGCCAAGCAGGCACTTAGACCGCTGAGCTAAACCCTTGGCCCTTAATGTTGACACTTTTTCAGAATATATGTAAGTTAAATATTGTGATAATAAGTTGATATACAAAATCAGTAACAGAAATATCTTTCCAGGTAGTTGTGAGACAACTTCAACAAGAACTGGCTGATACCTTAAAAAAACAATCTATGTCAGAGGCTTCCCTGGAAGTTTCATCACGTTACCGCATTAGTTTAGAAGATGAGACACAGGATTTAAAGAAGAAATTAGATCAAATCAGAAGTCAAGTATGTATGAAATTTAATTTAACAGTCAATCTATAAGTGCTTAAATAAGATAAACTGTTTTAGGATACTGATTTCATTATATTTATTATAATTATCTTTATACTGTAAGTTATTGTGACTTTGTCATTTTTCTTATAATTTCTTATATTTTTCTTTAAAATATTTGCAGTTAGGAAAGTTGAGAATTACAGTTGAGACTTATTCATGTTAAGCAGTATTTTCATTGATCTCTCTATTGTCATAGTGATATAGGCATATTCAATCAGAGAATTAATGTTAAACAAAATAGTCCAGAAAATTATCTTATTTTTTACTTTCACTTTTGTGAATAAGAATTTTAATATATTTATATGCTGGATTTCAAGGTGAGTTATATTGAAGATGTTTTTCAAAAATGAAAATGTATTATGACCCAGATATTCCTTATTTAACAACCTGCCTGTTTAACAGTTGTTCAGAGTTAGGACTGAGATGTACTATTCAGACTTAGGCCCCACCCCTTGGACTTAGGATTCTTTTTTTGGTATCATTTTCTGCATCTTGTCTAGAGAGCCTCAGTCTTTTGTACAGTATGCCTTGTTTATAGAGTACTGTAATTTTTGCTGATTGTAATATATAATACAGTTTTGTAGATCTATGTTCTGTTATACATTACAGTACTACATGTAAGCATTCTGTAAATAAAAGCAAAGTCATCAAGTTAGCTTCCTTTGGTCAATTCTTTGCTCTGAATATTGTAATGTACATATTATATGTAATTCCTCATTAACAACTCTCCTTATTCACAAGAGTATAACTCAGTTGCTAAATGAGGAATGTGTGTAATTTAAAAACTATTTGAAAAGTTACAAAAACTAAAAAATTTTAAAGTTATAATTTTTCTTTCAATTTTAGACATAATAAAAGTAAGGAAATATTCAGATTATTTGTTTGTATCTAAAAAAAGAATTAAGACCAGGTGTGGTGGCACACACCTGTAATCCCAGCACTCAGGAGGCTGAGTCAGGAGGATCACTGTGAGTTTGAGGCCCACCTGCACTGGTCAGCATGACCTTGTCTTTAAAAAAATGAAGTAATTATACTATAATCAATCATTTCTGTGAAACAATGACACAATAAGGTTTTTATTATAAAGATACTTTAAGAAATTAAAATTGAAAGCCCATAATCTAATAGAGGAGAATTTTTTATCAAATGTTCATATTTTTCTCACCATGAAAAAGAATGGAGATTTGTCTGCATTATACAGCTGTGGGCAGGATTTACAGACCATGCACTGACCCGCTGAGGAGCTCTGTGTGCAGTCGCACACCTCACACCCTTCCCTTGCTCACCAGAGTGCTTGCTGAAGCAGCCCAGCAGTCACTAGAGATGAACGGATTTGAGCACCTTCATTTAGCAGCAGGGCCCAATAGTTTCAGCTCACTGGTCTTAGCCACTGCTCATATACCTACCTAATACTTCACCCAGGAAGCACTGTTTGTGTGATCATTGGCAGTGAGTAGTCCTGAGAGAACAGAAGCTGTAAACGGTTACAAATGAAGGGCTATTGGCTGCTGGGACTAATTGGTGAGGCTTGTGAGTTGAGGGTGTGTTTCGGGCCTCATGCCCTGCATTTGTTGCCACCTTCACTGTGAGGAGTGGCCAGTTCAGTGTAGACAGAAGACCTCTCCCATCGCCCAGCACCTGCCTAAAACATCAAGTTTTGCTTTCTCTTCCTGAGGTCAGCTCTGGAGGCCCCAGGAAGCAGGAGAGTACCTCCCTTTCCTTCCTCCTACCCCCCTGCACTTTTCTCAACACAGCCTCACATGGAGCCCTGGGCCATTCTGAAAACTTCAGTTTTTCTTCTTTACCTTCAAGAAATTTCTGGCATTGATGACTGAACCCAGAGCCTTCCACTGAGCTCCATCCCTGAGCCATTTCTATGTTTTATTCTGAGACAGGGCCTCACTAAATTGCCCAGCCTGGTGTCAAGTTTGCTAGGATTATAGACATGTGCCAGTACACCTGGCCTAATTTGTTTCTTTTTGTTTTTTGACATAGTCTGACTGTACATCACAGGCTGTCCTTGAGTTTACTGTGTCGCCCCAAGACAGCCTCAAGCTAATAGCAATCTTCCTGCCTCAGCCTCTTGAGTGCTAGGATCACAGTTGTGTGATACTAAGCCTAGCTCCTGTGTTAAATTTTGAGACAGTCTCACTAAGTTAGCATGGCTGGACTTGACCTAGGCAATCTTCTGCCTTAGCATCCCTGCAATATCAAATTTTATCAAAACATAAAATACAATAATACCTAATAGCAAAGATTCTAGATAGCTGAATATGTGTCAGTCTTCTAATTTCTTTATGGATACTCCCTTATTTAATTTTCCTTTTCTGGTGAGGGGTAGATACTGTTACATTAATTTGAATTTACAGGTGGTAAAAACAAGGCAAGGAAAGTTCATCTTCTTAGGACTGCACTGCTAGTACCTGGCGGAGCTGGGACTCAGGCACAGGCATTCTGGCTTCTCTCTAGCTACAGTTTCTCAAACCATTCCAGGAGACCACTAGATGTCACTGAAGGGTCATGACTATTTTATTATTGGCATAGCTCTTGACATATGTAAGAATTTTTCAATCATAGCTGATGAATGGTACTTGAAGTATATAAGGTATAGTATAATTCTTGTAATATAAAAATATAACTAGGGGCTGGGGGTTTAGCTCAGCGGCATAAGCACCTGCCTTGCAAGCAGGCGGTCGTGAGTTCGATCCCCGGTACCGATAAAAATGAAAAAGACAAAAAAAAAAAAATAAAAATAAAAAAAATAAAAATATAACTAAAAGGGCATCATGAGTGAAGAAATTTCCTCTTTTCTCCCATTTTACAGGGTTTTTTTGTTTTTGTTTTTTGCCTGCAACACAGGGTTCTCCCAGTATTGCCTAGGCTGGCCTCAAGCCTTGGCCTCTGTAGTGTCGGGACTGCAGGTCCGTAGCACTGTGGCTGTGTTTGGTCAGTCTGAGTACTCACAACAGGGCTAAAGTCAGGAACAGTGTGTTTCAGATCTAGGGCAGGGGTCTAAAACTTTTCTGTAAAGGTACAGACAGTGTTATTTTGGGCTTTGTGAGCCATAAGATCCCTGCTTCAAAACTTCAGTTAACTGTAGTCGCAGCACAGAGCTAATTGTGCACAGTGTGGAGGCTGTGTTCCAGTTCACTTGTAACAAACTCTAACGGAGTGCAGGTTATTATTAAATTTTTTTTCATTTTAGTTGGAAGAAGAACGCCATCAACGCATGGAAGCTGTACAATGTGCTGAGAAGATGCAAGAACACTTACAAAAGTATGATTTAAGCCGTATGCAAATAACTCAAGCATTTATGAAGTAAAGGAGCAGTATAATATGAGCAGTATATGTTTTGTAATTAGTGAATCTCTGTCAAGCCAAGGGAAAATTCTAGCTTTGCTAGTTACTTGAAATGTGTAATTCAGGGCTATGGATGCAGTGTGTACTTTAGATGTGAGGCCCTTTGTTCAGTCCCCAGCACTGCAAAGGACAAGCTATCCAACACAGCTGGAAAAATAATTATCAAATTATCCACTTTTTCTAATTTTTAAAATTGCATGTAGTCTTTCAAATGTTCAAACGTTATGTGACTTTTTTAAATAGATCTGTGAAAATAATTATTTTGAAATAAATGTTTTAGGCTCGAACTTGAGAATTCCAGGTTAAAAGCTAAAATAAAAAAGCAAGCAGGGAAAATTGAACATCTTCAGAAAAACCTGTTAAGTGCAAATTTGGTAAGTCAGTCTTTTTTTAATTTCTATCATACCAGAAAGGAGTTCTTATTTCTCTACTAGTATATAAGAATGTTTCAGGCAATATGAAGTTTCATTGATAAAAATACTTGTCATAATCATATTGATACTGCTTGCTAAGGTAAATTAGTTCATACAATTAATGACTTTGGCAGTGGTATTTTAATAAAGATTGTGGTAGTCTAAAATCCATTATTTTATATGTGCCACATTTTGTTTATCATTATCCATTCATGAACTTGAGAGTTATTTCCACACTTCTTTGGAAATAATGCTGCTCTGGACATTGAGATACAAATGTCTGTTCTGAGCCCGGGTTAATATTTTATAACAACTTTTAAAATTCCAGGAAATTAAGTTATGTGATCTAGAATTTTGAATTTCTCTAGCAATCAAAGCCTTTCCATGAGATTTTATAATTTACATTCTCATCAAGAATGGATACTAGGTCACTATGTAAGTATTTTCCCCCCATAGAAATAGTATTTCTCTTTGACTGTAAGAAAGAAAACAATGTCAGTAAAACAGTAGAAATGGCTGTTCACCTTATAACTAGTGCTCCTAGCATTGCAGTTTCAGAATTTTTTCCATTCACTTGTATTTATCAGCTATTCGGAGATTTAACAGTGCAAGACTGATACATGCATCTGGGTGACAGTTTGCTGATGTCTAATGAAAACCATTAGCTGTTGACCAGGCAAAGCAAAATGTCTTGTTGTTCATGCTCTCCTGTGTGGGAATTAGGGTCACAGAATACCCTGTGTGCCTGGAATTGGAGCTGTGAGGCAGCTCCTTCCAATCCATCCAGCTCCATTACACAGGCACATGTTGCTACGGTTTCTGTCTAGATGTCCCTCAAACCCTCATGTGGTCATAAGTGGGGCTCTTTCAGAGGGTGTGCAGTGCTGGGATTCAGGGTATGCAGTCACTAAATTGGTCCACTGATTGGCTTGGCATAGTTCTGGGATCAAGAGTGCCATGCTAGAATTAAGGATGTGAGTGTTACCTGCCCTGAAGGTGAGTAGCCTGGATCAGATGTAGGGATAGAAAGAGGCTATGGCTTATCACCTTTTGCTGCCGCTGCTGGTGCTGCTGCTCTTGCCTTCTCCTCTGTGATGCCACACTGCCTCAGGGCCAGCCAGCCATGAACTGAAACCTCTGCAGACCGTGAGCTACATAAACCTTGCCCTTCGGAACTTGTGGGTGTTGGGCATTTTATCTCAGCAACAAGAAAACACATGTTATCGGAATCTACAGCATTCTGGCTAGTGTTTTTCTGAAGAAACATGGAGAACTAATTTTTTCTTCACATAAATTAGTCCTTTTTTTACTACCATACTTTTTTGGGGTTTTTTTTGTTGTTGTTTTGTTTTTTTGGTCTTTTTTGAGTCGGGGTCTCGCTGTGGATTCAAGCTGGCCTTGAGCTCACTTTGTAGCCCAGGCTGGTCTCTAACTCGCAACGATCCTCCCACCTCAGCCTCCCAAGTGCTGGGATTACAGGCGTGAGCCCCCACACCCGGCTACCATACTTTTTACACACATAACATGATGATATGTACTTTCATGAATTAAAATGCCATTGGGCATCCTCTTACATTGTGTCATGCACAAATGTATTGAGGTTGAAAAGCTGGTAATAGTACAGTATAGAACTGGAAAATATTTGAAAGAAAATAGTAGAAAAAGTAACAGTATAAAAGTAACATTTCCTAATAGGAAAGTAGCATTATCAAAGCAAAACAAGATAAATCATGCTGGTCAGCTTTCTAAGGCTGAGTAGACTAAATTCAAAGTAACACCAGTGTGATTCAGTATGATACATATTTGGGATTCACTTCAGAAGGGATCCATACCAAATAATGGCTGATGAGGTTCTTTCCAGTGAGAAGTAAGCTAAAAGGAAGAAGCAAAAGTGTAAATGACCCCTGTCACGGCTGAAAATGGGAGGCCTCTGAGAATCTGAAAAGAAATGGGGCTGAGACTTAGGCGCTGCCTTGGGGAGTGCAGTGGTGCTAGAGGGGTAGAGAGGAGGTGCGGCCCCTGTGAGCAGACGCTGCGAGGAGTAGCAGGATAACAATCTGTAAAACCAAAAGTCCTCGGTGACCCTCACCTTGTTTATTGGACTTACAGCATGAAAATCAGATTTTAATGTACACAAGTGATGAAAGTTTGTAGATTTGTACATGAGATCATGAATCAGAGAATATTAGAGTCCATTGGAAGGGAAGAAACAAGATAAAAAAAAAGCCACAAGAATCATGCAAAAGTTAGATGTTTGTATGTTACAAGGAAGACAAACTTTAAAGACAAATGTTTAATAAAAAAAAAAAAGGAAGATAAATTGATGGATTCCTGGGCCAGGGATATGGCCCAGGTGGCAAAGTGCCTGCCAGGCAAGCTTATAGAGAAAAAGTATCTTTCTCATCCAAAAGTCAAGTGAGGTTCAGAAATAGGAGGAAATCAAGTAGATGTTTCCCAAAACTTGTCTGGATAAAAAGTGGCTTAAATAAACCTGGAATATCTTAAGCTATTAATGGAAGGGCTTCTCGGTTATTTTTAGAAAGTAAAATGAAGGGGGCTGGGGATTTAGCTCAGTGGCATAAGCACCTGCCTTGCAAGTGTGCAGTCGTGAGTTCAATCCCTGGTACCAATAAAAATGAAAAAGACAGAAAAAAGAAAGTAAAATGAAAATATAACCATTGTTTTTAAATATTTGTAATCAACATTTGTGTGTCGAACTTATTTTTAACAAATTTTAGCAGTGCAAATTTCAGAAAACAATAAAGTACAAGTTAATTTGAGCTGCATCCAGAGAAGCAGTTATTTGTAAAGTCTATAAATATGGCCATCAGTTTTATACATTGCATTAAAAAAGTCATGAGCTCATGACAGGTAATATTTTTAAGAAAGAATAAATCTCTAGATTTTTAAAAAATAATTTTAGGGGCTGTGGGTTTAGCTCAGCAGCATAAGCACCTGCCTTGCAAGCAGGCGGTCGTGAGTTCGATCCCCGGTATCGATAAAAATGAAAAAAAAAGACAATAATAATAATAATTTTAAATTGTTTTTCAAAGTCTGAAGATGATAAGGAACAGTTAAAGAAATATGCTGAGTTAAAACAAGCTCTGGAATATAATTTGGACCAAGAAAAGAAGAAAAATGATGAATTAAAAAAAGAGCTAACTAGGTAAGACTATATGTCAGATCTTATCAGCCATTCATTAAATGATTTCACTAACTTTACTAAAGCTAAATACGAATTTAATATTTGCCTTCTAATAATTAAATTACTGTATTTTAAAATTTACGTCAAATACCCATAGTATAATCTGTTTTTTGAATGCCCAAATATCATTTCCTATAATGATTTTAAAAACCTGACAATGCTTTGAAATACTATCAAATACAGTCTTTTTCATCTACCTTGAATTTTTATTTCTGAAGATATTTTTTAGACTGACCTTCTTTTGGTAATATCCTTCCATCTAACCTTAAACTATTTTAGTATCTAATAGCCTATATCATTCTTCAACAATACTAAAATTAATTTTTATTTAGCTCACATTCTCTTCATACCTCTTTCTCTTTCTCCAGTTATAAAATCTTATCACGTTACCATCTATTCCGTGGGTAACCCCATATGTGCCTGAGCTACCCATGTTATTAAGCTTGTATTGGCTTCTCATATGTGTGTGCCCGTCTGTGGGTATAATACATAAGTAACGTACAGTCATCCCTTGATGTAATCAGCATGTTGGTTCTGCACCCCCTCAGGTACCAAAATCCTTGGATAGTCAAGTCTTCTTATAAAATTGCATTGTGTTTACATATAACCTACTTAATCCTTCTGTACTTTATATCATCTCTACTTGCAATACCTAGTAGAATGTAAATGTTATGTAAATCATTGCTGTGTCATTCAGGGAGTAATGACAAGAAAACAAATCAGTGTGTGTTCATTACCAGTGCAGGCTTTTTCCTGCGTCATTTCAGCCCACTATTGGCCGGATCCCTGGAAACAGAACCTGGGGCTAGAAAAAGGTGACAGTGTATGTCGCCTACACACAAAATGTATGTGTGCCTTGCAGATGCAAGGATGTCTACCACCTGATGGAGAAAATGGAGTGTTTTCCAGGTCTTGAAGCCCAAACATGGCTGTTTTGTATTTATCTGGGGAGAACTTGAGTTTGTTATGATTCTAAGCAATGCTTGTCTCTCCTTTAACTGTCTGTCTTTACACTGTTTTGCACGTCTTGTGTTTTGTCAACATTGCAGTAGCAAAGATCAAAATTTCCTGAAGCAGACTTTTCATCTACCCCTTATTTCTGTTGATTTCCTTTGGCCTAACTCTGCTACTTCTTTTCCTCTTTAACTCAGATTTCAAAGATGATTCCACTTTGAATGATCTCCTTGATGTTTTCTTTTCTCTCCTTTTGTTTTCTTTTGCTTTGTGTCTGGGTTTGAACCTTGTACATCTGAACACGTGCTCTACCCCTGAGCCACACCTCCAGTACACCTTCAGGCTAGTGTGTGCACTGTCTTTTCTTATACACCATGGTTAACAGGTACAAAAGTGTATTTCTATAATCTTTTTAACCATTCATACATGTTTATTTTCCTTCACTGTGGTTTCTGATCTCTGGGCTTTAGCTACTATTAATAAGTTAATGTTTTATTTTAACATACCAAAGTGCATATTATTAAATAAGAATCCTGTATATGATTACAGTATTAGCTCTTTACCTGTCACATACACAGTGTAAACTTTTTCTGCATATTATTTATCTAAGATTATGATTGCATCAGAATGTTTTCAAATGTTAGGCTAAAACAAATGAAAGAGGATAATTTCTAAATTGATTTCTTTTATGATAGAATATAGTATCTATTGAAAGATTTAAAACTTTACTCTGTACATTCTTGCAGATTTAAGAAACTTTTTAAAATGACAGAAGCAAAATTAAATGAACAGGAGAGTGGAGAGTTTCGTTTCCATGGAGATTTAAAATCCAATGAACTTGAAATGAATATTCCAATTAAAACACTAATACATAAGGTAATGTTTTATTAGTTTTGGGAACAAAAATGACTTAGTTTGGGGAACTATAAATCTCTATTTTGAGCATGAAATGATGGTTTTTTTGTTTTGGTTTTTACTTCTATAGGTTTGATACGAATGAAAAATGCACCACTTTTCTATTAAAAGGGCATAGTGTTGTCTTAAGCACTGGCTATGACATAAAGCCAACCTGCGCACCATTACGTTACCCCAAGTCATGTGTACCAAATGAATTTTAGATGGTTGGTTGCATCTTTATTGAAATACTGTTAATGTAATTTGAAATTCAGTCATTTAAAGTATGTAATTTGGTGGCTTACAGTATTGTCACTGAGTTAACAATCATCACGACAATTTTAGAGCATTCTTTCACCCAAAAAAGAAAACTCAGACCTTTTAGCCATCACCTGTTCCTTTCCCTGCTCATCCTTAGGGAACCATCGATATACTTTGTTGATTTTCTTCTTTTGGACATTTAGTGTGAGAGTACTCAGTATGTGCTCTGGCTTCTTTTGAGAATGTCTTCTTTCACTTAGCACGGTTTCAGGATGTTGCAGCAGGTGTCGGTGCTTCATTTCCTCTTCTAAGTAATACCCTCTTACATGGATTATTAATCCATTCATCTGATGGCTGCCTTGGATGCTTTCAACAGTCATTAACGCTGCTGTGGCTATACATGTACAGGTTTTCGTGTTTGCCCATTTTCATTTCTCTTGGCTCAGGAGTAGAACTGCTGCATCATGAGAACTCTGTGCTTGGGGGCTGCGGATTTAGCTCAGCGGCATAAGCACCTGCCTTGCAAGCAGGCAGTCATGAGTTCGATCCCCGGTACCGTTAAAAATGAAAAAGACAAAAAAAAGAAGAACTCTGTGCTTAACCTCTGTGAAACTAGCAGCACTAGTCTGTTTTCCAAAGTGATTGCGCTGTTTCACATTCCACCAGCATTCTGATTGGCCATTCATGTGGCCTCATTGGAGAACTGTCAACTTAAATTCTTTATCCACTATTAAAGTGGATTATCTTTTTTTTTTTTTTTTAACCCAATCTCACTATGTATTCCAGGCTGGCCTTGAACCCATGGTGATCCTCCTGCCTCAGCCTCCCGTGTGCTGGGATTATAGACATGTGCCATAACACATGTTTGGGGTTTTTTTTGTTTGTTTGTTTTTGTCTGTTGTTTTTTAATTGTAAGTCCTTTATATATCCTAAGCATAAATCCCTTTCCAGACACATGATTTTCTGATTTTTTCTGTCACTCAGTGATTTGGTGGTTTTTCCAAGCATATTTAATTTTGATAGTCTGTTTTTTCTTCTGATGTCGTATCTGGGAAACTGTTACCAGACCCACTGCGGATGCCCTGACATGGTGGAGTCAGGCTTGCAAAGCAGAGCCCATTCCTCTTCCTTTCTCCATTCAGACCTTTCATCTTCATCCATTGCTACCTTTATCCCTCCCATTCCTGCATGCTTGGCAGAGGATCTGCTAACTCAGAATATTACTTATTGCATAATAGTTATCTCTAGATTTTTACCAGTTAGTAGGGAAAAAATCAATCTAGACTGCCAGCCTTCCTCATTAGAAACTGAGCCAGCTATCACTTTACAGTTCACAGTCACATCCTCTTTTGCCCTAGTGTCTGGATCATGTGCATCACACTGGGGCTGATTATTTCTTGGCACAGATCCTACATGCTCAGAAACCAGTTGTGTGTATTTATCTTCTTTTCCTTAAACAGACTTGTTTAACTCTGCTTTCCCTCTATCAGGGTGTGCCAGTTACTTTTCAAATCTCATTGCTTAGACAAAATACCCAACACTAAAAATTAAGGGAGGAAAGGTTTATTTAGCTTACACTGTGTGGTGATTCCAGTGTGTAGTCAGCTGGCTCCAAGGCAGGGTTGGCCTGGAAGAGGGAGGGGCACAGTTCAGAACAGGAATTAGGTGGAAGACGGTGAAACCAGCCAGAGCAAAAAGGAGGAAGGGCAAGCCTCTTCTCTGCCCTTATATTGTAAACAGGCTTCCCCACCCCTAGGGCAGGTATGGTGTTCATACCACCTCCCTGCCCTCCTCTTGCCTAGGTAAGGAGGTTTACAAGGGAGGAGGACCTTGAGCCCTGCTGAGTGACTTCACTAAACTTCTAACCTTTCAACAATGTAGCAACCACTACAACAGGGTTCACGGAGTAAATAATTCAGCCCATCCCAAGAATACTTTTTTAGGAGTTTAACTCATAAAAATCAGGCAGTGTTTGGGCAATTTATGAAAGACAAATCATGATGAAAGTAGTCATCTGAATTTCAAAATTTGCACGCATTTGGATGCTGTGGGGATGTACTGTGGTATACCACAGAGATGCGGTGGTCTCCTCCCCGTGAACAAACCTGAGAGCGGGTAACGAAAAGTGTATTCCTTTTCTTCATGTTCCAAAGGCGCCACATTTGTTTTACCACTGAGATTAAATATTGCTCCATAGTGTTCTCTTTTCCCCATTAAGGAAGAAAATTAAAGTTTAATACTAAATTAGGCTTAAAGTTGCCTCTTGTAGAATCTGCTAGTTATAAATCCCATAAATACCTGATTTTGATTACTAAACCAAACAATTCTAGTTGCATTTTTTTTTTTTCTTTTTTTTGGTCTTTTTCGTTTTTATCGGTACCAGGGATCGAACTCACGACTGCCTGTTTGCAAGGCAGGTGCTTATGCCGCTGAGCTAAATCCTCAGCCCCATAGTTGCTTTCAACTCTTGTGTTTCATATGCTTCCCCATCTGCCATATCCCCTAACTAGACTAGAAAGTCCAAATTTGCCTCTTAAAAGGGAACGTTAGAAAAATTTCTTCCTCCATAATCCAAATTGTGTTCATTATCTGCTGATTTTTAGCACTATTACTAATAAATTACCCTCGTATTTATTAAAGCCTTGTAAAGGAGACTTCATTTCTGTTTCAGTTTCTTACTATCTCTTTCTAAAAACTTACTTCTCTGTTTATTATTCTTAGTAAATTACCCCAAAGTTAGTAGTTTCAGACAATGCTTATTTTCTGTGCAAGGCTGGGGTTGAGAGAAGCTTGGTGAGGACAGTTGTCTCTGCTCCCCTAAGCTTGTCAGGACAGCTCAGAGGCCGGAAGTCAGAACATCGGAGGGCTTGCTGGCTGGCATGTCTAGGGGCGGTGTCCACCCATCTTCCACCAGCTGCACCCACAGCTGAGACAGGCATCTGCTCTGAGTTCTTCCTCCGTGCGTGGACAAGTCTGAGATAGAGAGCATCCTTACCTAGTGTGGGAAGTCGCACGACATCACTTTTATCACACGCTAGTCCTTAGAAGTGTGCCGAAGGTTGACCTACATACTCTCACCTTTTTTATGGAATGACTATTGTATAAAGACAGGTTCTAAAATCAGCACGCTGCCGATCAGCTATAAAGTTTTTATCGCTCTCCCACTGGAGACCTGCTGCAAGTCTCATGTAGTGTGGTATCATGGGCAGTCCTGCAGCCCACAAACTTACCATCCTGGGCAGGTGCAAATGGGTGGGGTACACGGGTTACAAAACCGTTAGAACCAAAGAAATAAGTCGTCACCACCCACAGACCAAAATTCTGCTAAATGGCTAAAACCTTCCCCCTCAACAGGGGATTTGGGAGGCACCAATGTTTGCTGCCACTTCTTTACTCAGTCAGGAATTAACTCTCAACATGGGACAATTGGCGTTGGGTCTTAGCTGTAGGCCCGGGCCTCTCGGATGTACTCTTTTCATGAGAAATAACCTGTGCACTGGCCTGGTTTTCTTGGCCTGTGTCCTTCATGTAGAACTCCCATCATCTAAGGTTCTCCTTGATGTTTACTGTCTTAGTTCAAGCTGGTGACTAGTGCTTTTCCTACTACATTTTCACGGCAGCTTTAAATTTCCTATGAATTTTATTGGGTTCACACCTTGTGAAAAGTTACCTTTACAAATCTTTTGACATAGCTCTTCATCTTGGGCTTCCAGCCATAGTAAGGCAATTCCACTAAAGTTTTGTGCTCTTAAATCCTTCAGGCACAGGGGCTGGGGACTGCAAGCAGGCAGTCGTGGGTTCAATCCCTGGTACCGATAAAAAGGAAAAAGACAAAAATAAAAAAAAAATAAAAAATAAATCCTTCAGGCACAGCCTTAAATCTTTCTGGAGTCTTGCCAAGGAGTTTTGTAGTCCTAGCTTACTGGCTTCATCTTTAGACCATGTGTTCCCAGCAGCACCCAGGATTTGATCTGATCCCAGAAGCCATTTACTTCAGCATTATTTGACATGTAGAGAAGCGACCAGTGAGAAGCGGCAACCCAGTAAATCCTGGTTTCCAGCAAGTCTTTCTTTAGCTCAGCTTTCAGCCATTCTCTTTCAGCTAAAACGTAGCAAGAGTTTTCTTTCTTCCACGTATCAATACCATTTTTCTCACTGACTTCAAAGCCTTCCTCCCATCCTCTGTAAGGACCACCAGTCTTCCACTGACAGTCGGCTTGCTTTCTCTTCTGGGTCCTTTCTGCTTCCACCCACTTGCAGTCCAGAGATATTCTACATGTTCCAGTTTTGTTTCAATGGCAACAACTCATTTAGTATCACTATCTGTGCAGTTATTGATTTGGTTTAGGACTTGTGTTGGTTTGGTTCAGTTTGATTTTTTTTTTTTAATAAAGACAATAAAACCCAACAAAACAGAGTAAAGCCAATCAAAACAAGGCAGTGAAAGTGGTACAGAACTTCAAAACAGGATAATAGGAAATCAGCAATGGTTACCTAATATATGTTGTTCTCTCCACAGTAGTTGTCCATCCCATCAGACATAGTAAAATCAAACAAAACAGAGTAAAAACGATCAAAACATAACAGTGAGTAAAACAAAACAATAAATCAGAACAAAACAAAACAGCTCAATATTGGGTTTCAAAAACAAGACAGAGGGAAGCCCCGTATTTGCTACTTTGCATAGTGTTATTCTCCTAGTGGATGCTCGGACTTCCAGCCTTAACCTGCAGTGTCACTCAAACAGTACAAGCCTTTAGTTGTTTTTGTACCTCAGTTGCTGTCAACTCAGCCTGTCCTCCAAACCAGCTGGTTGCTTCTGGGGAAGATTTGTAGTTCTTGATTCTCAGTCCATGTGCCAGTCAGCTCACAGGGAAGGCGATCTGGCTTCTCTCTTCTGGTCCCTACAAGCTTTGCCCTTTTTGGTCTTTTTCGTTTTTATCAGTACCAGGGATCGAATTCACGACTGCCTGCTTTCAAGGCAGGCGCTTATGCCGCTGAACTAAATCCCCAGCCTTTTTTTTTTTTTTTTTTTTGAGACTGAGTCTTGCCGTGTAGTTTAGGCTGGCTGGGGGCTCACTTTGTAACCCAGGCTTGCCTCACATTCACAGTGACCCTCCTGCCTCAGCCTCCCCAACTGCTGGGATCACAGGTATGGGCCACCATGCCCAGCTGGATCTGTTCAATTATTAATTTATAACACCTCAAAATTCATTGTCACAAAGTGAGATTTATTTTGTTCACAGTCTTCAGTTTGGACCAGGGTAAGTGAGGCCAGTTCATCCTTTCCATTTGACCTCAGCTGGGGTGACTTGAAGGGAAGGACTGGATTCATCTAAAAGGTGTCCACTCACATATCAGGCAGTCAGAGCAGGCTTTAGCTGGGCCCTCAGCAAGGCGGTGAATGGACGACTTAGGTGAGGATTCACTTGTGTCTGGAGCTTCCTTGCTGTATGGGGACTGGTTCCCTAGGGAGACTCTGGTGAAAGATAGCTCAGATTTTCATCTCACCTGCAAAGTCACATGGCAGTTCCGCCATACCCATTTCACTAGAAACCAGTAACGAAGGTAAACTCCACACTCAGCAGAGGGAGTTTTACAGGAGAAATGTCAAAAAAAATGTTTTTAAAATGCCATTCTAACGATTTTATCTAACGATGATGGTACTTCCGCTCAGCGCCACTGAAGTCCCACCTCTTTCTTGTGGATATTGTTGTTTAGTGTGCTCTCTTCATGGAAAGGATCAGAAGATTAGAAGACAGTACCATCGAATTGAGACATTTTTGTTCCAAAAACTGCTTTTACACTGAGGAATGTTATTTATCCTAACAGAGAATCATTGCATCGCAGAATGTAATTCCAGTTAACGTAAAACATTCACAATTCAGGAAAAATCTTATAGCTAAAGTTCATGCATGCCAGAGTCACCAATTAAAGCCTTGTTTTCAGAGTTGTACTCTAGTAGCCTTTATTGGTTCAAACCTAAGTAATTCAGAATGATGTCTCTGATTCTTTTGGAAATTATGAGGCAGAGATGGGGAAGGGTAAAAGATTATACTACTAAGAGGTGACTCAGCATCATTTTAAGGGCAGAAATGAAACAATCCCAGAAAAATAAAAGTCCAAGATCAAATGCACACATTTTGTGACAAAGATAATGAGAGTAAAGAATAGGACTCTTGATGTTTTTTTTTTTTGTTTTGTTTTGTTTTGTTTCTTTTAAAGCCAGTCAAATTTAGCAGTGGGGGGTGGTATAGACTCCTGATGGTTTTAATAGTGTTGATTTTCTGAGTAATTCAAGGGAATATCGGACAAGTGTCTAGGGTGGATTACATTTTATTACAACTGGATGTAAGTGTAACTTCTATTCATTTTGTGTTTGACTGTTCTTAGCCCACTCCTTCATTACCCGTCTGTGTTATTTTATTCATGCAGATTGATGACCTTGCAGCAAAACTGGAAGCTACATCTTCTAAATGTCTACATCTGGATAAAAATAATGAGTTTCTCCACCAGGAGTTATTGTCTATGAAAAATATACAGAAGAATTGTGAAACACTAGAGGAGAATAAAAAGAAATTGGAACAAGAAGTTGTAAACCTCAAAAGTCACTTAGAAAAAAATGTAGTAGAACATGGACAACTAGAACAGTATAAGCGGGAGATTGAGGAAAGAGCAAGACGAGACTTACTGGAAAAATTAAAACAAGTCAACTTGTTTTTACAGGTTAACTTACTTCTCTTTAATGTGCTTAAGTCATTTCATTGAAAATACTATTTCGGATGTTTACATTGTTTGTGTTTCTTCTGCTTCCTTTATAACTTTTATCTTGAAGTTTCTAGAAGGAAGATGACAGTGTGTGTCTTCCATTAAATATTTCCCATTTCATTAGAACCAAATTGATCTCTCAATGATATTTATTTGAGAATGAGAATCATTTGATTTTTTAAGACTAATGGACCTAAAACTGTTAAGAGCAAAAAAGAAAAAAGTGTGGTGTAATAATTTTGTTAAATTGTTACCTCGTTCAGTTGTTAAACTTTTGAATTGTTTATATTTGAGTGATTGGAGTACGTGAGTACTAGGAATGATTCAGGGCTATAGATGGACCTCAGTGGTGGAGTGCTTGCCTAGCACCACCAAAAAAGAAACATTTAAAATGTTTACAATTCATATATGTAAAATTCCTTTTCCAAATCATTGGCTCAGAACTCAAGGAAATGCAAAATAACTTTCAGTTATGATCAAACAACACGCTTTTAAATTTTTAAGTAATTTGGGGCTGGGGGTTTAGCTCAGCAGCATAAGCGCCTGCCTTGCAAGCAGGCAGTCATGAGTTCGATCCCCGGTACCAATAAAGGAAAAAGACAAAAAAAAAATTTTTTTTAAATAATTTTATCACAGTAAAAAAGACACATTGCGATTAGTCCCCCTCAAAATACTCTCCTTCACTGGGAACGTGCTTGGCCCGCCATTCTTGCCACTCGCTCAAGCGCTTCTGGCAGTGCGCCTTCATGAGGACTCTTCACCGTGCTGTCCCAGCTGCCTTGCTATCCTGAACTGACTGCAGATGTTTACACCTCTGGGTCATTTTACTCTGGAAAAGAGCCAGAAGTCACGTGGTGCCAGGTGTGGTGGATAACGTAGACAGAGGACACACCACCATGTGTTTATGAGCTGCCTTTCCACGGGATGGCTCTCAGCAGCAGCCTTCCCTGTGTTTTTAATCACACTTTGTAAAGACACTCGTGAAAGCGGACTTCCGGAAGTGCTTCAGAAAGTGGCGAGAATAGCAGGATATGTGTACTCAGAGGCAGGGAAAGGATATGTTTTACTGTAAAAAATTTTTTTAAACATTCACTGCATATTTTGATTGCCTTTTGTATTTGGATCACACTTTTTTAAAAAATACATCTTTTAATTTGCTTTAGACACAAGCGGCATCTCAAGAACATTTAGAGCAGTTAAGAGAGAGTAACAATGCTTCAATGAGAAATCAGATGGAACTCAGAATTAAAGACCTGGAGTTGGAGCTCTCTAAAACGAAAACTGAAGAAGATTTCAATAAAATACAACTGGAAAAATACAGGCAACTCTATATGGAGGAATTCAGAACTAGAAAATCATTGTCTAGTAAGCTAAACAAGTAAGTCCAAACAGAATCGTAGAAATAGGCTGAGTTCATTCATTTTCCTCTGAAGCATACTTTTCAGGTTCATGAAAGTAGTAGAAAATAAATGCTAACTAGACATTTTGGGAAATACAGTTGTTAAATGAACTTATTCTTGAAATGTTATTGAATTTTGAATTTTTATTGAATTTTGGTTTTTTGAGACAAGCTCTTACTTTGTAGTGCAGGCTCCCCTTGAACTCTCTGTGTAGCCCATGAGTTGGATCTGTCTGACTCAGCCTCCCAAGTGCTGGGATTACAGGTGTGCACCACATGCCTAGCATGGTAAGGTGTTCTTATGTGGGTAATCTGATTTGGTCATTCAGATATTTTTAATTTTTTTTCTTCTTTTTCCTTTTTTTTTTAATTGGTACCGGGGATAGAACTCACGACTGCCTGCTTGCAAGGCAGGCACTTACGCCGCTGAGCTAAATCCCTAGCCCCTTCTATTTTTTTTTTTTAATTTTTTTTTTCCATTCAGATATTTTTGAAGCTTCATCATTAAGAAAATTATATTGCTATAACATTACATGTTGCTATTCTTTTAAATAGAACTATTAATCTTATTTTTGGAAGATTACAACATAAACTCAAACTGTCAGGTGCTGCTAATACTGGACACATTCTGCCACTTGATAAAACAGCTTTCCTTGACTGTAATCATTGACATTATCGCACGAAGCTGTCTGGTAACCAACTGTCCTGTATATTTTTTCTATTCTACATAAAGTCATGCTTGCAATATAGGAAAAGATTAACCAGGGATGAGCAGAAGTACAATTCACTAGTGTGAATTAGTGTGAAGGGTGGGTGGAAGACAGAAGAGGCAGGTCTACCTGTGATCCTTGGGAAGGGTATTCCCTGGCCAGGCACTGCCCTGCTTCTTTGTGATCCTGAAGCCTGCGGCCTCATGATTGCTCTAAATTACTTCCTCATGGCCAGGTAATGGGCAGATGCACAGGTGGGAAAGCTACCACTTGAAAATATCTTTGAGAAAAAAAATGTTTAGCCCTAAACTGTTTAGCTAAATACAAGCATTTCTAATCCTTTTTTCAGTTTTGTTTTTTAATTGTATATATGTGAGGAGTACAACATGTTTGTATATGTCTGTTTGAATGTGGAACAGACACATACATCTACATGTGCCTGTTTTTCAGTACTGGAGATTAAACCCAGTCTCTCCCATACCCCTTTTTTGAGACGAGGTCTCACTAAGTTGCATGGGCTTGACCCTAACTCATGATTCCTCCTGTCTCAGCTTCTCAGAGTGCTGGGGTTGTCAGTGTACATATTTATACAAAGGAAAATAGCTACTTTAGTCAGGCTAATTAACCTGTCCATCATCTCTTATAGTTACCCTATAGTACAAGTGTTTCTAGTGGCTTCTTGTAAGTAGAGTCTTACAGGAATTAGCAGTGTTTCCTGTTAAGCCAGACACCGTTGACAACCATTTTTCTCTCTCCTGCTTTGTTAGAATTACTTATTCGTTAGGAATCTCCCTACAAATATATGTACTTCTTTAGAACAATTTTAGTTGTTCTGTGATAAGCATGCTCTGATACATTTTCCTTGTTGAGGCACTGAACACTGAATGTGGCAGTTTTTTAAATGAAGTCATTTAGGAGTCATTGAGAACTGGGCATGGTGGCACGTGGCTGTAATCCGAGCACTCAGAGGTTGAAGCAGAAGGATCACTGTGAGTTTGAGGCCAGCCTGGGCTATATAGCAAGACACTGTCTCAAAAAAAAAAAGTCAGGCAAAAATGAGATCCTAAGTATTTGCCTTTTGCAATCTTCACAGGGCTAGAGAAAGGCTAGAAGAGGCCAATACTGAACTTCTGGTGGAGAAACAGCAAAGCAGATCTTTGCTGAGCACTGTTAGTACAAGACCTGTCCTCGAGTGTCCTTGTGTCGGAAATCTTAATCACAGTTTGACGCTCCACAGAAGTTTTCTTCCCAGAGAAAGCTTAGTGGTTCATACATTAAACCCACAGCCTTCAAACGACAGCATAGAGAACTACCTCACCAAGGTTAGTGATGGTATCATCTTTCCTTTGCTTCTGAGATTCCTGATTTAATTCTTGTTAATTTGGTGAAATACTGGGCAGGGGAAGAAGCTCATGGCAGAGCACTGTGGCTGCCTGCACGAGGCTGAGTTTGATCCCAGGGGGAGGGGTTAGTCTGATAGAATACTGTGTGGACTTGGCTTTTACATGTTGAGATCACATTCATATGTGGTAACATAAAGAAACAAATTTACTGTTTTTAAAAACTTTCCTGCAGCTTTCATTTTCAAAAGATATTTATTAACTTTATTCAAATAAGTGTAACTGAACTAGATGGGGTATATCTTTAACTTTGCAGAATTGTGATAACTGCACACATTTATTGATACATGTAGACATATATAACACAGCACCCAGGGTTAGCATATTTCAAGTCACAGAAGAAAAAACAGTGGTAAGGGTTCTCTTGTCATTGCTCTTGTTGGGACTGCAGTGAGGTAGCAGAAAATGACCTCCTCTGTCCATCATGCTCAGAACGTAGGTCAGGAAGATCAAGATCAGTGTCGTAGCTTGGCGCCGGCACATAACACATAGGTGGGATGAGAGCGTGCAAGTGCCTCACCCAAGATTGCACACTTAGGCTAAGCGCACGTTTAGTGGAGGAAATCAGCACCTGACATCTGTCCCAGCAACCGCCGCTCACTGCAGAGGCAGCAGAGCTAACACATGTGCCCAGGTCCTCCCTGTGAAGTCGGGTGCTTCATCCCTTCATACCCTCTGAGAGCCCCTCTCCCTGGAGGGAGGCAGAGAGAGCCTGAGTCCATGCGGTGCTTCTCCTGTCACGTCTGGGGGGACTCAGACCAAGATTTCAATGAAGCCCATCCTTGAATATCTCAAGTCATGATCAGAAGTAGCCAGATGTTGCTAGATGCTAAAGAGAAGCCTGTTTTGTGTTTTTTACTTTTGCTATACATAACCCAAAACATGCATCACTCAATTGTTGAATGATTTGAGTAAACCAAGGTCTATGATTTCTCCTTCAAATACTGTTCTGTGATTGTTTTTAAATTGCACTCTAAAATGGAGTGTATTTAATGGCTACTAACAATTCACATTAACTTGTATCCTTTATTTGTAGTCATAGCTTTAGAACTCGGTTTATTAGAGAACTGTTGAATGTCTCATGCTGAACATTACTAAGCTCCATGAGAGTTTTACATGTGCATCTTCTCCAAGGTGATTTAAACATGTATCATCTCTCCTGAATAGGAGAGAAATAACTGTATGAAATGCCAAGTGCAGGGAGATGACCGCAAGCCCATTCCTGCCTGACTAGTTGGCTCTGTGACTTCAGTCAAGTTCCGATCTCTCTGCACCTGTGGTAGATCATGTGTCAATTCAGAGACGTGTGGTTTTCACTACTTTCTAAAAAAGTAGACCTTTTTTTATAGAAGAAAATGTTTCCATGAAACTGTATTATACGCAGCAGGGTATGGAAGGGGTGGAGGCGCTCATGTGGGACTTGTCATCCGATCATGCTGCAGTGTCCTCAGCGGAACCTTAGCTCAGCAGACATAGTTTGAAAGCCCCAGTTGAGAAGAATTCTAATAGGCTAAAATCCATGGTCCATTGTTCTGCTGTGTACAGTTTTGTCATCTTACATTTTTGGAAGTGGAAAACTATAAAAAGAAATTACAGACGTGCTGACCTCAGTAAGGCTAGACTGGCTTCCTGGGGCCTCTGAAGCACAAGCCCCACCAAGAAATAAACATCAGGGCTGTTGTTTTCTTAAATAAGTGTGTTTTACTATACAAGGAATTAATACAGCTTTTGACTTAATAGTAAACATGAAGTAAAAATCAGCAATTTAGCAGGCTTTTTATTTTTGCTAGCAGCATTCAGTTTGTGCTAAACTCTTACTTTGTCCTTGGCAGAGGCTTTAGTTGTGCCTGTCTAGCAGAGTAAGGTGATGACAAGTGTCAGGTGGCCATTGTCCTCCCTGTCCTCCTGTCTCCTGTGCTGGGCAGTGGAGTAAGCCATTCCCTGGGAATAAGAATTCTGAATTGATACTAAGAGGAATGTAAGGATACTAAGTGATCTGATGGGAAAGTGAGAATTAAATAAAAGGGACTTACCACGACTTACTGAATATTTTTGTCAGTGTTCACGGGGGAGCTCAAACCACCCCAACCTCTTGCATCCACCAGGGTGGAGCGGGAGCCGTTCTCGAGGCCTCGAGTGGGCTTTGGAGGCCACTCTCCAGGGAAGCCCTCCCTCCTGGTGTCCTGAGGCTGTCCTTCCTTCCTCTGTCCTTCTGAAAGTCAGTTGCCCTCAGCTGTTATTTATGTTTTAAAGCACTCAAGTTGCCAGTGAAGTGCTAGAAGAGAATTTACGGAGGTGGAGGGCACTCGTGGTTAGAACAGAGGCAGCTTCTGCCAGATGATCTTTAAGAGGAGAAAAAACAGTGATCATGACCTAAGTTTTCTATTCTGCAAATATTTGCTGTCTAGAGAGTTAAAATGTCTTCAGTACAGGCTTGGGGATGTCGTACAGTCCATGTTCAGCAGGAGTGAGGTCCTGGATTCAAACTCCAGCACCAAAAGGTGGTGGCCCAGGGATTTAGCTCAGCAGCTCAAGTGCCTGTCTAGCAAGCGCAGTGTTGTGAGTTTGATCTCCCTGGTACCCCCAAAAAAAAGAGCAGAGGAGAATTTTGCAAGTGAGGAACTCTGGAGTGACCAGTATTCTCTGTGGAACAAAAGTCCATGAATTCACATGCTCATGACTGTCTGTCCCATGGCCTCAGCTGAGACATTATCTTGTTTTCTCGTGTCTTAGCCCTGGAATCTCACAAGCTCTTGCTTGAGCCCTCATTCCAGCCATCAGCAGGGGACAGTTCTCACCTATGTGCAGTGAGTCCTGTTGGCGTCTCAGCTGGATGCAATCATGTCTTTGGCCAATTCAGGGAACATCTGTTTCTCTATAGCCAGCTCTGTATTTCAGCCTGCTTGGAGCCAGCTGACTCTGGGCTGAAACCTCTACAAACTCTGAGCTACAGTAAACCTTTCCTCCTTTTGAGTGTTGGGTGTTTTGTCTCAGCAATGCAAAAAGTAAGACAAAGAAGTAAGGAAAAAGTTCTTCACAAAAGTAAACAATCTTTTGAGAAAAATATTTCATTTTTATCTAGGTTGAATTCATGTATTAAGTTTTTATGCATGGGATACAGACATAAGATCTATTATCTATAGGCATTAAGTAAGTAGGAGAAGAGCTTTTATAGGAACAGATAATTGCATTGGTAGTTCCTTACTTCAAGTCTTGTTAAACTGATTTACGTTTGACATAGTGTTAATGCTAATATAAGATTATTTCAAACTGGGCATGGTGGTTCATGCCTGTAATCCCGGCACTTGGAGGCTGAGGCAGGCAGGAGAATTGCTGTGAGTTCGAGGCCAGCCTAGATATATAGTGGGTTCAAGGCCAGCCTCAACTACATAGTGAGTCCCTGAGGAAAAAGAGGTATTGAGAAGCCTATCAAAGAAATTGACTTTATACCTAAAATTCTTAAACGCATTGAGTATCATGTTATCATTGCTACCACAAAGTATTATGTTGTGTGTGAGAAGTTACCCCCTGCTTGGAGCATTAGTAAGAGAAAAGCTTTTATACAAAAGAGTAACGTAAGAACACATTAGCTGGGGAAAGTACAAAATAAATGGAGGTATTCCCACACATTGCATAAACAGAAATTGTCATTAGTTATGTTTCAAAAAAATACACTCCTGACTTCAAGGGATAACAGACAGAGTTACAGTAGGAGCAGTGTACTATCTTCCCTGTTTCCATCTCTAGACAGAAATGAACCAAAGAAAGCTTGAAAACTGCCTCTAACCTATGTTTATCCTCAGGCAAATTTCCTGAAATCTTAATATGTATATTAATAAAGAAATATTTACTGTGTCACAATCCAAACAGCATATTTTAAATCTTTTGCCAGTAGATATTTTGCATGACACTATAACAATACAACTTTCTCCATTTATGTATTTAAGACTTTTTGCTAAAAAAAATAACAAATATGTTAAATTTTTAATTATTTGAAAAGTAGAGTTAAGTTTCAGGAAAAAAATCTATTAAAGTGAAAACACTGAAGTTTTATTATGGAAAGAGTTTTGATAAGAACTATAAAATATGAGCTTTATGTTTTTTTAATAAAGCATCACCCTTATATTTAATAGACCAATTTTTTTCTTTTTTGGCTTTTATTAATATGTTCCCCACACATAATGATTACATTAATTGTCGGGAAATCAGTACTTGTCAAAACACATTTCCATTCTTCCCCCCCTCTTCCTTCCATCCCTCTTTTGTTTTTGCCAGCATCAGATTCGTTTATTTATAATTTAGAAAGTTAATTACCAAATATACAGATTAAAAACCAGACATATAGGCCAAAAAAATCACAAAATACATAAGACAATTACACTAAGATACGCTTTCAGATACATGGTCCTCACTGCACTAACAATAACTTTTTCTCACTTTTCTTTAATAAATCAATATTAATTGTGCTGATCAGAATAACCTAAAAGCACTGCACATATATACTATTATGTGAACTTAAACATTTTATGTGATTTTTTTTAAAAGCATTCTTCAAGTTAGATCTTGTGTGTAAAAGTCTTAAAGATGGATCAGGGATTTAGCTCCGCGGTGTAAGCACCTGCCTGGCAAGCTCAAGGTCGTGAATTCGATTCCAGTACCAAAAAAAAAGTCTTAAAGATAGGGAAATGGGGACAGGGGGGAGAATCAAGTTACATCATGTTCAGGTACAGATTCCCTGTGATGAATGTGATCATTATGTATATCTAAATTGTATCAATAAACTTCATTTAAAAAGTCTTAAAGACCATACTCTGATACATATTATTCCCATAAAAACGTCTCTTATTTAACTTAAGCATTTTAAATGTTTATTTCAGATGCGCCAAGAGTTGGAAAACAGTATAACTAGAGCAGCTAGAGAAGGTATGTTCCCAAAATTTATGAATTCAATATATATTAATTGATTTTTTTAAATAAACTATAAAAAGCAAATGACATTGCTTTCCTCTCATTGGGTAATAAAGTCTACATTCACTGTTTCATAACATCAAAGAAAAGATGTGAAAATATAAACAGTAAAGGATATACAGAGTCCTCATTCTGTCATGGTTCATACCTTCTAAAAGCCTCTGTGTCTCTTTCCCGGCCCAATAAGACTTGGCCGCAGGCTGCCGCTGTCCTTGAGAAACAGCCCTCGGGGCTTCTCAGCCTCACGGCCAGGGTTCCCCCTCACTGAGGAGGAGTCCAGCAGTTCCAGTGCATAAACTGTCACCTGACAAGTTTTGTCATAAAGCACTGCTTTGCCGTTGATTTACCTTTTGCCTTCAGGAAAACTTCACGTTCCTTGGCATCGAATGAAAACGCCCGCATCCCTTGGATTCTGGTCTGGTCCGTCTGCCTTGCTCTGCCTCTGGGCTCCGCCTCCCCACCAGGCACCTCCTGTCCCCCTTCCCTTGCCCTGGTGTGCTTTCTCCTTGTACTTCAGGTGCCAGCTGACACATCGCCTCCACCAAAAGTCCTGTGCCCTTCCTACCTGTCACAGTGTCTTTGGAATCTGCCTGGTTGTCCAGGCTCCAGTGTCAGAGTGGCCCTTTGGTCCTCTTGTCCTTCCAGCACTGTAGCACATGGCCGTGTCAGCCATGTGATAATTACCTCAAGGTGCAACTAGAGGCAAATTACGTTACAATTTTCTACTATACTTTCACATATGTAGTTTTTTTCATCATCATTTACAAGGTTCTCAGTTGTTTTAATAGCTCATGTTTAATAAACTGAAATTCTCAAGATAAAGACTGTAACTTTTTCTTTACAGCTACTGCTGAAATTGAATCTGCAGTCTTGAAATTTTCTCCCCGAAGACTTACCAATAAATCAAGTCAAGATCTAATTTCAGAAACGTCACAAGAATATAAGGAGATTTTAAGGAGAAGATATATGATCTAAAAAGATAACATTTATTTATTGGACTTTAGGTGTATGACATGAAAACTTTGTTGAAAGAAAAAACTTTTGTGTCATGTACTTGATAAAAATTTATACACTATTTTAAACTGTTTCTTGGCATCTGTAAAGTCCTGTGAATCTACCCAGCTCACTGGGACACAGCCCGCAGGACCCGGAGCTCTGTGCGCTGCCCACCCTCTGCCCCCCTTCTCCTTTTCATGCTTACCCCGCCCTCTGCCTGTGCAGTGCAGTGCAGTGATGGGACGGGGACCTGGCTGTGCCTGTGGCTTTGCCCGTCAGACTGGCGTGTCCTGGCCCGTGATGTGGAGCCCTCTGTTAACTGCTCAGGAGGAAGATTCCCAGTCCTTGCAAAGTTGGCAGCCACCTTTTGAAGCTGCCTGTCCACTTGGCGCCATCTGTGGGAGCCCACACACAAGTGCACAGGTTGGGGGGGGGGGTGCACTGATAGAGGTGGTAGTACACAGGAGGGACACATGGTGCATAGGTGGAGACTCCAGGCAAGAGAACCCTGCAGCCCAGCAGGCTCCTTTGTTGCCTGACCCTTCAGCTCTCCCAAGTCCCCCCGCCTCACTGCACCAGGGTGGACAGCACCCTGGGCTTCGGGTTCCTTTCCCAAGGGTCAAGATCTAAACTGGAGTTCTATCATTTCCTAGATGTGCAATTAAAACATTAAGGTGAAAAGGCGGGAAAGTCTTTTGTCAGCAATGATTCACCTGTGCCTGAAACCGTCCCTGAAATAGAGCGGTGATTGGCTGATAAAACACTGGTGGGACAGAAGGTAGGATGATAAAGTGAAAAATCCCAGAAGTAAACTGTCATCCATCAGGTGGTGCAGGATGCGCAGCAGGCCTGCTCTTTCTGTGTAAGCTACAGCGCACAGCAGGAGCAGTTACCCTGAGGAGCCAGGCCAGCTGGGGACCTCCTCAGCTCTCCCCACTCCCCTGTCAGGTCTGGCAGGTCTCAGTGTCCTCAGAGGCCAGCAAGAACCCCACGGCAGCTGCTTCTCATATGAAGGCTCGGAGGCCTTGGAGGGTAGTATTGTGGCACAAGCAAAGCGGTAGCACCCCATAGTACACGATGCACAGACAGCCCCATGGGGACACCGCCTGCAGAGCAGGTGAGTCTCACGAGGCAGAGAGGACATGTTGTCGGCATGATCACCCACATCCAACAGAACTGTCTGCCCTGAAGTGACCCCCGAGGTCTTTAAAGCTCACAGCGGCTGCACATAGAGGGAAACTTTCTTGAAGTGGAGAGTTTTACATGTCAGAGGCAAAGCTAACACCTTCCTGTGTTGCAACGTACATACCACAGCCTGTACTTAGGTGCACGACCTCAGTACTTCTGTAACAAACAGTTTCTTATTCAGTAACCCCAAAATGCTTTAAATAAAAGTCCAGAAACATTTAGTTCTAAGTTGATAAAAAGTAACAGCATACCACTAGCTTCCAAGGAAAAAAACCTTTTAAACAGCCACTGTCAGTTGTCTAGCAGAGGGGGTAACATGGGAACATCAGGCTAGATTAATGACAAAGGAGTTTAACCAGGTGCCAGGACCCTCAAATCCAACTTGTGCTTCATCCCTAGAGCACTTCCAGACACATATTTCTGTCTGCAGAAATAGCAGACTAAAAGCAGCAGACGAAAAAGTAAGCACTGCAGAGCTGGCACTGAAAAGACAGCATCTCAGGCCACACCCCAGCTCTGAGTCCCAGCAGGAAGATTGCTGAGGACCCTCACCCTACCCCCGCCACATTAAACTGGTCCCTCACCCAGAGCACGCACAGCCCTGCATCGCAAGTGCAGTGGTGGTGCACATCTGTGGGCCTCCTGGAAAGGACGTGGCTCTCTCCTGAGGAGGAGCACTGAGCAGCACCAGCAGCAGGCACCATCCATTGTGGAACATGAGCAGCCCTTCTGTGCGAGACACAGGAGCTCCATACCTCGGGGATTTCACTCTACTTTCCAGCCTACTGGGAAGCCGCCAGTGTTACTGTAACCATTCCATAGCTACTGGATATGAGTTCAATGCCTCCATGTTAAAAGAACTCGTCATATATTTCACCATTTTCCAACTGCACAGTTGAGAAGGGTTTTTTTTTTTTTTTTTTTTTTTTGAGATGATTGCACCACCACACTCACGATTTCCGTGTAAATTTAGAACAGTTCTATGATTACGTTATGAGTATTTGTTTGCTTACTAGATTGTGAGCCCTTGTGTTTGTTTTCAGCTGTGTATTTCCTTTCTGTGGCAGGCTGAAATTTAGAAGATAGACTTCAGCATTTGTCTGGTCAATGAATGAAATATCCTGATTCGTGATCAAACCAGCCTCATCCACAAAATGTTCCTGATCTTCCCATCAGCTGTGTATAGTAGCCTCCCTTATCTAACATTTTCTTTTTGATAAAGCACAATGTGTTGAGCACTATGTCCTAGGCACATTCAACCCCAAAGGGCTTACTTGGCTACAGGTGTGAGCCAGACACCAGCTGCAGGCTGCACCAAGAACTGTCCGGAGCTCCTCAGTGACCTCGCAAACAGCTGCTCTGAGAAGGGCTCCACCCTCCACCCCGTGGTAAGTGGCTGATTCAGAGGACTCAGGGTGAGATGACAGCAGTTGAGGTGAAAAGAACAGCTTGATGCCTGCATTGTTTGGTTGACTCTGCAGGCCTGGGGCTGGTGATCTGGGCACCTACTTGGAGGATGGCAGTGTGCACTGTGGCAGCTGTGGGGAATTTCTTCCAGGCTTGTTTTTGAAATTCAGTGTTTTACTGTTTTGTTTTTACTGTTTTTGCTGTGTCTAGTGGCAAAGACTCTGAAGATAGCATTGTGCAGTATCTCAACCATTTGTTAAAATCCTATCATCTTGAAAACATACTTTACATTACTATTTAAGTATTAGTTTTAGAGGATCAAAATGACAGGATGTCAAGAGTAAACTGTTCAAGGATCTTTTTTCTCCTCAGGAGGAATTAATGCATTCTATCCTGTATGCAGTACAGCTGTAACATATTAGGCAGAACTGTGCATTACTGTCTTTATTTGGCGAGTAAGGGAGAGGTGTATGGATGCCACGTGGACAAGAGGTGGACTTGTAACAATCAATTCTGTTGACTTGACTGGACTAAGAGTGCTCCAATAACTCCAATATTATTTTTGGATGTGTCTGTAGCCACAAGTGATCACTATTTGGATTAGTAGATCAAGTCAAGCACAGGACTCTCCCCAGTGTAAGAAGACACCATCTAATCCACTGATAGCTTGTGTGGGAAACACAGGTGAATAAACTGAGTCCCCTTATTTGAGCTGGGGCAGCGTCTTCTGTCATAGGACATTGAGGCACCTGACTCTTGGTCTTCACACTCAGACCAGAACTTACACGATCACCCTCAGCTCTTCAGTTCTCAGGCCTTGCACACAGAGTGGTGGTTACCAGACTGGCTTTTCTCGTTCTCAGGCCTCAGACTTGGAATGAATTATATTAGCATTCTAGGTTCTCCAGCTTGCAGATGGCAGCCAAGGGACTTCATGGCCTCTAGAACTGTATGATTTTGTGTGTGTGTGTGTGTGTGTGTGTGTGTGTGTGTGTGTGTGTAGATGCATGTATGTGTGAATTGGAACCAGAGCCTTGAGTATGGTAGTCAAGCCCTCTAACATCCAGTTACATTCCCAATTCCTTGAGCCAGTTCTTACAACATGTCTTTTCATATATATATATATATATATACACACTTAAGTACTGTATAGACCTAAGGGGTTCTTTATCTAGAGAAACCCCAATATAAATCTTTATATTAAAAGTTGTATGTCCCCAAGGACACTAATTTCAGTAATTTGAAAGTAACAGTATTAGTAAGATTAATATTTTCACCTTCAGAACTCAAAAAAAATGGGCTTGGGATTTAGCTCAGCAGTATAAATCTGTCTGGCAAGCATGAGATCATGAGTTCCATCCCCAGTACCAAAAAAAAAAAAAAAAAACCAAAAACACTAGAAGTGCATTGTGTTTTCTAAGAGGGTCAATAGATTTTACTTGATAGTGTCAAGAATGGGACAGCCCTCAGTTTACAAATAATTTTTAACTGATGTGGTGGGTTTTTGTGTTAGGGGTAGATAAATGACGAATGTTTTTGTGAGTTCTATTTGTGTGTCATCAAGGAAGTGTCACATGAATCTCTGCAGAGGAAGGTATCAATGCAGATGCATAACCTACATTCCTGGAGAAATCTGGGTATAATTAAGCTACCACCTGCAAAAGCAATGTGCAGTGGCAGCACTGACATACCCCATGGGTAGCCTGAGAAAGGTATCAAAAAAAAAAAAGCTGGGCATGGTGGTGCATGCCAGTAATCGCAGTACTCAGCAGGCTGAGGCAGGAGGCTTGCTATGAGTTTGAGCCCAGCCTGAACTACATAGTGAAATCCTGTCTAAAAAAATAAACAGCAAATTATAAAATAAATAAGCACTGAGCCTATTAGCCAAATCTGTAATAAAATATTTACCAGTGGCTTCGAACCAGCAATTTCAGGAGCATAAGGTACTGGTAACAGGGGCTTTAATAGATGAGCCACAGAACTAAGATTCACAGTAACCACCATGAAGTACCAGCACTATTTCCAGGTCTAAGGACAGGCTAATCTGGCCAGGTGCAGTGGCACATGCTTGGAATCCCAGCATTCGGACAAGCTATGGCAGGAGGGTCAGAAATTACAGCCCCAACTGAGTCAGTTAGCAAGTTAGTGCCATCCAGTCTCAAATTTAAAAAAAAAAAAACAAAAAAACTAAAAATGTCTGGGGCTGTAACTCAGTTGAAAAGCCCTGGGTTCAGTCCCCCAAACTGCAAAAATAAAAACAGAAACAGAAAGGCTCATCTGTTCAGGGGAACCAGGGCTATCGATTTCATTTTCCCTACACAGGTCATGCACAATGCTTTCAACTGAGGCACACAGGGTGCCACTCGGTTAAGCTTAAGCCGATTTCCCAGGGCCAAAGACTTAATTTTATTACTCAGTGGGGTAGATTCTTTCTTTCAAGACAGAGTATTGCTATGCTGCCTAGGTTGGCCTTGAACTCGTGACCCCTCAGTCACCTGAATAGTGCGGTTAGGAGCCCATCACTGCACCTGCCTCGCTGCCTCCTGTAGCGGATCTGCACTGAAATTCAGTCAGTGAGTGCTGTGACCTGTGGAACTCAGGCAAGTTAGGCTGAAACACAGTTATCTGTTCTTTTTCTTAAGATTTCAGGGGGGACTATGACTAAATATAGTGGAACACCCGTGTTTAATGTGGGCCTTTTATTAAGGCCATGGCTTTGGCTAAGGATATATAGCTCAGTGGCATAGCACCTGCCTGGCAAGTGCAAGGTCCTGAGTTTTGATTCCTGGCATGGAAAGAAAAAAGAAAATGCCCACTGGTACATTTCAGAAGCTACTAAATTCAGAATCTTATAGAGGTACCCAAGCCCTTTTATCACTTGTAGGTTTTCAGTAAACTATATTTCCAAGTAGGCCAAACCCTGGACCTTTCAGTTTTTTCTCTGTTACTTTTGGTTTTCTCTTAATTTTGGTTACCAGTTATAATCTTGGGTGGTGTTTTCCTTACTCTGATCATATTTAACATTTTCTCATGAGAGACTCAAGCATGCTATCATCAGAGTTAGGTGTTTCCTTCTTGGCGGTGGCTACTTCGCATGGCTTAAGGTGTATTTGAATGAACTCTGTTCTGCCACAGGGTGGCTGCTTTTCTCTCTGCGAGTATCAGTGCCTTTGCTGTATCCAGGGCCTAGCAGCACAGGGCGTGAGCCGGGCATGCTGTGTCTATAACCCAGAGGCTGACTGAAATGCGTCTGGCTGGAGGTTGCTTTTTTATCATAGTACAAGCTTTTTCTCACCTCTATACAATTCCCTCCACATCTTGGAATTCTAGTCTTGCAAAGTCAGCCTTCATTTTCTTTTCTGTCCACTTACCTGTAGCATGGACTTGCAGGGCGAATGTGAGGTTAAGTACAAAGGCCCAGAAACAGCCGCTGAGTGGCTGGCTCCTCCTCCCAAGGCACCAGTGCTCAGTGCCCACCTACAGCCATTCTGTGTGTGGCCTGCGAGAGGGCCAGCAAGTCTCGGGATTCCAAGAGCCATGCTGGTGGACAGTATTGCTGAGCAAGCCGGGACACCTTGGCCAGGGCTATGAACTGGGAGAGCAGCTGTTCTCCGCTTTGGCACTCTGGGAGAGGTCACTGCTTTTGTCTCCTTTGTGAATCTACATAAAGGGCGGTACTATAGACACCAAAGGAATGGATGCTGTTCAAAAGGAATGCTACACCAACATTACTAAGGCAAAACTAGAGAGGACCATAGTGTTACCCAGCATGCTGCTGGCATTGCAACGAGCAAGGGAAGCGCAAGGGACTCGGGAAGAGAATTAATGGGCATACGGAGCACATTAAGTACTCTAATGAGAGTGGAGACAGCTTCTTCAGATGTATCAGGGAAAATGATCAGGAGAAGGAAGCCAAAGAGAAAGGTACCTGGGTTCAACTGAAGAGCCAGCCTGCCCCAAGCAGAGGAGGGCACTTCGTGAGAACCAATGGGAAGCAATCTGAGTTGCCATGAATTCATGGCAGGAGCTGGGGACCGAGCTGGGCCACTGAGCACCTAATTAGCAGCTAGCGACCTAGGCCCACCTTAAAAAGAAAAAAGCCCTGGATTGTGAGGGTGTGGGCTGAACCGGGCTGTGGTGCCTTTACCTCAGAGGAACAAATATTTGGAGCAGATTCTCACCTGCCTAGTTAGTTGTGTGAGGTCTTTACTCTTCAGTATTTTTCTTAAAAAAAAAAAAGAAAGAAAGTACCTTCATACAGACTCACCCACACTGCTACACACAGCTATTAGGTTATTTATTTAATATATTTTATTTTTTTAAAAGCAGTTTTAGGATTACAGAAAAGTCAAGCAGAAAACAGAATTCGCACATAATCCTTCACACTTTTCCACAATTTGCAGTATGACCAGTGTCTGGAGTGTCACAATTAGTACAACTGCTTAGGCAATCCTGATAGGATGTGTAGGGTGGGAAGAGATGTTCATCAATATTAAGTAAGGTCCTGACATGGTTTACATTCAGGTTTACTCTTAGCAACGTACTTTGTGTGGGTTTTGACAAATGAATGACATACACACATCAGTACAGTACTGTTACTTTTTCAGCCCCCCAAAATCTATTCATTTAACTCATCTGAAAATCTAGTCATTAGCTCATTCTAAAACAGAGCAAAGGATATTTTCATGCATTGCCTGGAGTTTGGCAATCAGCAAAACTTCACAGAAACTACCTCCTCGCTTCTAGCTGGTCCTTGTGTATTAACAGAATTAATCGGTGATAGGAAATAATGACTGATTTGTAACAGATTAAGGAATCTTTGCTTTTGCAATCTGGAGAAACTGAAAAGCACTGGCTCAGTATGCAGTAAGGATCAGGTACATATCACGTGGCCCTTTCACTATAATAGGCCAGCCCACCAGTCTGGGAACACTCAATCACCTGTATAAACCACTCCAAAGTCGGACTGGACAAGATGGACCTTGTGGTAAGTTTATTTTCTCCAGCCAGATTTTGGAATAAAGTTGCCTTCCTTGTTTCAACACTTTGTCTTTAGACTTAGGTGGCCTGTCACAGGGCAAGTGACCCGAATTGTCACTTGGTAACTCACCTAGCAAGGTGGCTTCTAATGGCTAGCATCCAGTGACAGGGAAAGCCTCTGGACTGAGTCTAGCAGCTGCTGCAATCATTTTGTTCTAGGAGCCTCTCCCTTGCCTTCCTCCATCAAAGTACAGCTTCCAGGCACCCCGCACATACAGAAGGAGGTGACATTTGGCTAACTAGATGCCCCTTGAGTAAGTCACTCTAGTATATACCATGTAGGAGTGTATATACCTTTCTCCATCACCTAAGTGATGTTTTAGTGGGTAAATATCTCACTTTGGGCTTTTGCAATTCTAAAATTTGCAGATTCAACAGTTGTTGAACTTTGTACCTAGTCCTATATAGGGGCACCTTTTTTACAGGATCAGGGAGGTGCACATAAACTAGCTGATGGGAAGCCCAACATCTGTCCAAACTGATGCTGCAAAGGAAAACAAAAAGCTCACCTTTCCTTCACCGCAGGGGCACTGGGATAATCCAAGTGCTGCCGAGATCAAGGCAGGTGATTGTAAGCTGCCAAGCAGATGTGACTTGGCCTGCAGACCTGGAAGCATGGTGACTATAGTACGTGCAAATACAGAGTGCACTTGCAAGAGGCCCCTTGTCACCAGTCTGGATCTGCAACAACGAGCACCTCTGCGTGGCAGTGAAGGGGACTGTTGTGAGACAGAGGCTGATGTCCTGGGCTGCAGTCACAGGGACTGCAGAGGGTACATACAGTAGCTTGGTGTGTGGGTGGCCATGACAGACAACTTCAACCCTGAGGAGCAGAGTTAGCTGGTACAGGGGAGAGCTGAGCTGGCTGGAGGTAGTGGCACTGGTGTAGGCCAGCAGTGCAGGTGTTCTTTTGCAGGACTTGGATACTAGACCCAAGCACTGTGCCCTCAGCTTTTCCCAGAATTCATGCATCTCTTAATATGTCAACTGCAGCAGCCCATGTCCACTGGGGCCACCAGCACATTCAGCCTCTTTCCAGGGTGAATGCTTCCAGCCTCCAAACAGGAGACCAAGAGTTTGATTCATTCTCTGCTTTTCTATAAAAACTCACTATTTGATAGAACCAGTTTCCAGGTCTAGAAAGGTTAGAGATGTGATTCTCAGGCAGGAGGAAGCAGAGTACATGTGAACCCTCATAACAGGAATGATGATCTTCCTTTTCAGAAAGGGAAACTCCTAAAACGCTGAGACAGGTCTGAAGGGCAGCAGTGGGCTACAGGGGACAACGAAGGCCAGAGCTGGAGGATCCCAGTCCCTTCTGTGAAGTACAAACCGACCTCAGTCTCAGTCTGGAGCTCAGTGAACCGGCAAAAGTTAGGCAAAATAAGTCTGGTTTATATCACCACTCTGTTACCTAGTTCAGAATGAACTAGTCCATTCCTGGTCTTATTTACTATTTTCAAAGTATGAAGTGGGATCTCTTCTATCTAAGGAAAATTGTGGTGACAACCTGAATTTTTGCTGTTGTCTTGCTATTGTACAGGAAAGTTGGATACAGATGTCCTGTCCTTCTTCTTGTCTTGCTTATTACTTGCTAGCCAAGGGTTACCTTACACTGCACCAGTAGTGTTACGGAAGACTAAGCAAGCAGTTGTAATCTAGCAATGTTAATACAGATGGATGCTCTTTGCAGTGAGGTGCTTTTTGTCATATGCCACTGTCACTATTTGCTTGTTAGAACTCAAGCAATGGGCTCAAAGTCAGAGTACGGTGACCCACGTTCCATCAGCTAAAGCAACAAAACATTCCTGGACAAAGTTTTTGTAACAAATGCTCCAGAAACAATGCAAAAAAGATGCAAATGAAAGTACAATGCAATGGCCATTACTTTCTCCATTTCAAGCACACCAACTCTAGGATCTTTCTTTGACAAGAGTAAATAACTTAAAACAACTTAACTGTCTGCTCTTTTCTAAGAATAACTTACATACAAGGAGTCCACATGGTATGCGTCTTGACTTGTAACTCGAGTTTGTAAAGTTAAAAGTATACAGATTTATTTCATGCATGGTAACCCCAAAGTGCTTTTCCACAACATGTATTGCAGCTAGACGACTATAAAATGGTCAGTGCTTTCTATGGTTGGAACCAATATTTACTGCATCTGTTTTACTTTTATTTTGATTTATAACTTATGAATGGTTAGGTATTACCTCTCTAGACCTCTGTATGGACCCAAAGCCTCATGTGCTCATACTGGGGGTTTTTGTGAGGTGGATGGATCGTGAGTGTGTAATGCTGGGATTAAGGGTGCATGATAACTAAAGTGGTTTAGCACAGTTCTGTGAATAATGGAAGCCTCACCCTGAGTGTGGGTGGCACCAATCAATAGGCTTGTAACCTGGATGGAATACAAACGAATGCAAAGAAAAGGCTGGGGGCTGGGGGCTGGGGATTTAGCTCAGCGGCATAAGCGCCTGCCTTGCAAGCAGGCAGTTGTGAGTTCGATCCCTGGTACCGATAAAAAGGAAAAAGGAAAAAGGCAAAAAAAAAAAAAAAAAAGGAAGGCTGGTTCCTGCTGCCTCCTGCTTGTGCTTCCGTGGACTGTTTCTCCTCTACAATAGTCCTCTACTATTCTACCAGGTCTTGGAGCCAGCCAACTGTGGACTGAAACCTCTACAAACTGTGAGTCAAAATAAATTTTTCCTTCTTTAAGTTGTGGGTATTAGGCATTTTGTCTCAACAATGAAAAAAGTAAGATGGCCTCCTAAAAGAAGGCCAGTTATTCTAGCTCTTCCAAATATTGAAGATGAACCTCATATTGTGAAAGCTGTTCATCTAAGGATACCTATTTCCCATTCACCATGATGTTTCGTTCCAATGTGCACATAAAGCTCATTCACACTTTACATAACCTACCATGTGAGTACACATATGTGCATGTTAGGGGTATTTCCCACATGCACTGAATGTTCTCGTCCAGGTTATTCAATTACCTATGCATTAGAAAAGCTCCCTGTTCAAATAGTTCTCAGGGTTAGGGTTACAGAAAGAATATGTTTAAGACAAGAAACATAATCCTGATGCAACCGAGACTCAAGATTGCTTACTATTCTGTAACTTAATTATCTTTGCTGATAATTATTTAATTTTTTGTTTTTTGTTTTTTGGGGTTTTTTTGGTTTTTGGTACCGGGAATCAAACTAACAACCTCTTGCTTACCAAGCGCACACTTAAACTACTAAGCTAAATCCCCGGCCCAGTCACTCAAATCTTCAAGCAATAAAACTTGATAAGAATTACACCAAAAAGACAGGACACATGTAAAATATGGTGATGTCTGAATAAACATTCGAGTACTATGACATCAATTTGGTGTACTTCAGAGTACAGAATGGTATGTAACATTCTTATTCAAGGGATATTACTTGGCCCTATACTTACTCTATACTTTTACTTTGTAGTTACTTTTACTCTATACTTTTACTATTAAGGTTTTACATTCCAGAACATAGAACTATAGAATTCTATTTATATTTCCAAAGACAATCATGGCATCGAATTCAAAAGACGATTTGTAATAATACATTATTTCTAATTAAAGTTTTCACTTTATAGTTAATGGGCGGATACATTTCTCAATATAAATTCTGTAATAATCTAGTGTGTATTTTTCATAAAAACAATTGAAAGCACCTATAAAACATACTTTCCTGAGACAGGATCTCACTATGTAGTTCAGGCTGGCCTTGAATTCGCCACAATCCTCCTGCCTCAGCCCTCTCAACTGCAGGGATTACAGGCAGGCACTACCACACCCAGCTCTTCATATCTTAGTCAGTCTTAACAAAGGATGTCCTCTACTTGTAGGGCGAACACTTGTCCAAACCCCAGCCACAGCAACATGGTCTTGTAGTGGCCACTGTTTAGCTGTCCAGAGGGCTCTCACTAGGAGGTGGGGCTGTGTGCAGACTGCAGCAAGCAAGGTCACTCAGCACTGTGGCTTGACATTGCATGCTGAGGCCCGTGGGGCTCCCAACAATGGTGGGTGGCAGTAAGATACAAATAACTTTTCCCAACGACATTTGTCCCTTGCTTCTACTTTTTCCTGTTTACCTTACAGTTCTATAAAACCAAGAGCTTAGCGAAGAGTTTGTGTGCACCTTTAGTAATGCTGCAGCCTGTAAGCTGTCCACTGCTCTGTAAGAAAGCCACAAGAAACCCACTTGATTGCAAAACTGAACTTGTCCAAGTCATTCTTTGGATCATTAGTGCCCTGTTACTTCATCAGCAAATGTTTCTTTTACACTGCTCTGGGCAATTCAGGCAACATCTGAAGCCTGATCCAGTAGACCCAAAGATGAGTCAGGGATGAGTCCCCATGGGGGAAATGCCAGGGTAGCCATCCTTTGCATATATATGGGGTGGCACACCTCCTACATGAGTCTAATCCACATGCGGTAGACTAGGGAATATGCGACAATCTCAGAGGGCCCACATGGGATGGGACTGCAACAGAGCGGTGTGCAATGTTTCAAGGCTCCAGTGATGGGTGGTGGGACATGCTACTGACACAGATATCTGCCAAAGGGACATCCTGGATGATCATCTGCTTCCATGTGGAGAGAGCTGAGGACTATTATAGATGTCTTGTGTATGAGTATGAGGATGGTTTGAAAGTATTCCAAAGAATTATGAAAAATGTTATTTTCTAGTGACAATGCAAATGCAATGTGATGGGGGGAGCTGTATAAGATCACAGAAGCCCTAGGTTGGCTTCTCTTCCACAGCAGCAGAGGCTGAGATCCAATCACAACCCTATGTCAAGCAAACACAAGAAAAAGAGAGCTGGGATAAACCTGTTAAGGTGTTAGAACTGGGGGTGATAGAGGGCCTGGCCTCCGTGGGTTAACCTCATAAAACAGACTGCACCAATGGGTGAAAAGCAACTCCTGGTGTTTCTAGGAAGCCTGGAATATTAACATAGTTTATATCCCACCTGGCTCAATTTGCCAGCCCATTACATAACTCTAAACAAAGGTGACCACATGGAATTGGGAAAAAAGGGCTCAAGAGGATTCTGAGCATGCTAAGACACTTGTGAGGTAGGCTGAATGGTTACACATCCCAGTAATCCAACGCCTGTATGTTCTAGAGGTTACCAGGCGCCCTGAGAGCTTCAACTGGGGGTCATGGCAATCTGAACAGACAGTTCCAGCAGGATTCTGCCCTAGTCATGAAAAGAGGCAGAAGCTGGACATAGTATATAACATTGGAGCAGCAACCGCTGGCCACATGGAAAGCCCTAAAGCAGGTGAAATCCATCACTGGATCTGTTCAGTGACACTCAAGACAGCATATCCAATGAAGGGCTGGGAATAGAGGCCTGATGGTCAATCCCTTTCTAAAGGGGCATAAGAATTTATGAAAATGGCCTGCATACTTGGGCAGTGTGCAGTCCTATCTGCTAGCCCTGTGACAAATGCCATGCAGGCAATACTGGGGCTAGTATCCCTTAAAGCTATGGAACTGTGTCATGTAACTGAACCAACAGTGAGGCTAGATAAGGGGGTCAGAAAGGACACTGCCCATTCTTGAAGGCACTTACTACACCAGCGGCACCAGTGGAGGCACAAAACTAGGCACAAAAATGGACAGCAGCTCTGACAGAGATCTAGACACCGTTTGGGAAAGGGAAATTCTGACAGCAGAATGAATGGTGGTCATTCATGAACAATGGCCTCTGACTGCATAGACTGATGCGTGGTCTTCTGAGGTCTGGACCTATGGACGGCACGATGGGAAAGGGACACCAGCAAGTGCTTGTGCAGACATTAATGCTGATGGTGGAATTTCTATACAGGATGACCTTGAACACACTGACTGCTGCCCATGGAGGCACCACATGCTGTGCTTGTATGCCAGATAATAAGGCTAATGTAACAGATGCTTTAAGCCACTTACAAGCAGATACTCGTGTTTGTGTTGTTCTGGGAGTGAGTGCATTGTTGTAATCTGGACTGTTGGTGTGACATAACAGCCTGGTGTTCAGCCTTCAGTTAAGCCTGATATCTCTCCTGCCAAGTTCACGAGACTGTAAGAGCCAGAGGAATGGATGGAGATAGGGGGAAAGTCTTCCAAACCCTAGCACAGTATCTCTATCCTGCAGCAGGCCACTATTTGCCTTTCCAATGGGCCCTTGGCAGGGGCTGAGGCTGTATGCTAGGCTGAAGCATAGCAAAGTCACCCAGCACTGTGGCTGTCAGTACTTACTGAGACCAGTGAAATTCCCAATAAAGATGGGTGTGACACAGCACAGATAACTCGGCCCAAGGACACTTATCACTTGCTTCTACTTCTTCCTGTTTACCTTAGAGTCCTATAAAACCAATAGTTTAATAACGCAGGGATGGCAGCTTTGGTAGTGCTGCAGCCTGCAGGTCATCCCCCACTTTGTAAATAATCTAGAAGTGTCAAACTGCACTTGTCCAAGTTATTCTTTGGACTATTTGTGCCATCTCAATCTGAAGGCAGATATTTCTTCTATGACCCTCTCAGAAATTAACACATACCACAGACTGTAGGTTTATCCTGTCACCACTCTACAGCACAGCATTGTGGATACCCAGGATGTCAACAGACGTTTCCATAGCATGAATATGCTGAAGTGTAATAAAGTGGCTGACTGGTGGCGAAACACAACTAATACTCAGTCCGTACATAAGACCTTTCTACCGTGTGTGTCCTCTGATGTACAATAAGGTTTGACTTTTGAGAGAAAGTTTTTCTGCATATGCTACATTCGTAAGGCTTCTCCCCTGTGTGTGATCTCTGATGTTTAGCAAGGTCTGATTTACGGTAAAAGACTTTCCCACATTCATTACACTGACAGGATTTTTCTCCTGTGTGAGCCCTGTGATGTACTGTGAGGGATGATTTGTGACTGAAGGATTTCCCACATTCATTACATTCGTAAGGTTTCTCCCCTGTGTGTTTCCTCTGATGTAAAACAAGTCCTGACTTCACACAGAAAGATTTTCCACATTCATTGCATTTATAGGGCTTTTCCTCTGTGTGGGTTCTCTGATGCACGATTAGAGTTGACTTATGGCAGAAAGCTTTTCCACATTCACTGCATTCATAGGGTTTCTCCCCTATGTGAATTCTCTGGTGCTGAGTGAGCTGTGATTTCTGGCAGAAAGTTTTCCCACATTCACTGCATTCATAGGGTTTCTCCCCCGTGTGTGTCCTATTATGCTTAGTTAGGTATGATTTATTGTAAAAGATTTTTCCACATTCCTGACATTCATAGGGTCTCTCTCCAGTGTGTGTTCTATAATGTTGAGAGAGAGTTGACTGATGGCTGAAGAATTTCCCACATTCAGGACACGCAAAGGGTTTCTCCCCTGTGTGAGTTCTCTGATGTACTGTGAGGTCCGACTTTAAGCAGAAGGTTTTCCCACATTCGTAACATTTATAAGGTTTCAATCCGGTATGAATTACCTGATGCCTGGTGAGCACTGATTTGTGGTAGAAAGTTTTCCCACATGTACTACATGCATAGGGCTTATCCCCTATGTGAGTTCTCTGATGCTGTGTAAGATGTGACTTTTGACAAAAGGATTTCCCACATTCTGGACATTCAAAGGGTTTCTCACCTGTGTGTGTTCTCTGGTGGACAGTCAGGTGTGAATTCATACAAAAGGACTTCCCACATTCATAACATTCATAGGGTTTTAGCCCTGTGTGTGTTCTCTGATGCTTGGTGAGGTCTGATTTCTGGTAAAAAGTTTTCCCACACGCAGCACACTGATAGGGTTTCTCCCCTGTATGTGTTCTCTGGTGTAAAGTAAGGGCCGATTTATGGCCAAAGGCTTTCCCGCAGTGACTGCATTCATAGGGTTTCTCCCCAGTATGTGATCTATGATGTTTAATGAGGTTTGACTTCTCCCAGAAAGCTTTACCACACTCATTACATTGGAAGCGTTTCTCTCCTGTGTGCACCCTGTGATGTCGAGTGAGGTGTGATTTCTCCCAGAAAGCTTTCCCACATTCATTGCATTCAAAGTGCTTCTCTCCTTTATGAATTCTCTGAAGTTGGGAGAGACATAACTTCCTCCTGAGGTCATTCCCACTTTCATTACATCTTGTATGTATCCCATCATGTTTGAAAGGGGCGGATGTTCCACAGAAGGATTTCACATCCTCGTTGAACTCACAGCGATTCTCTTTTGAGGGATATACCTCAGGAAATAAGAGGGACGAGCCATCACAGAAAGTTCTCCCGCACGCACTGTGTTCACAGTCATTCTCTTCTGTGTTCTCTTTCTTAGGTGTGCTGAATACTGTCTTTTTAAGGAAGGTTTCCTGACATTCATTGTACACAAGTGTTCTGTCTAAAGTTTCAGTGTCTTCATGCTGAATGGGATCCTCCTGATGACTAAAAGAAGTCCTGTGTTTTAAACATTCACTTTTCTCTCTAGTATGCATTTTCTCATGTTTAATTTTGAGTAGCAATTTTCCACAGGCATTAAATTCATCAGGCTTTTTTCCTAAGGAGTTTTTTCTGCTAAATACCAATTCTGAAATATTGTTGAAACTCATTCCATGTGAGTCATAATGACACAGAACTTTCCTTGAAGGAAAAGAATTTATGTCCAAGTTAAATGATCTCCCTATCACATTACCTTGTTCTTTAGTCAGCTTTGTGTTATTGATGAATACAACTCCCCATAAATGTTTAGGTTGGTTCCTTTCCTTCCGGTGAGCAGTTTTCCAAAATTCTGAAAATAAGAAAATTTAATCTTACCATAGAAATATTAACACATTTCTTATGAAAAGAGAACTCGGTATGGATGCCCTACATCATAGTTGTCTGTGGTTTTTTTGTTCCACTTCTTTTTATTTTATGGGAAAAAAATGAAATAAAATTTCATAACATAGCAGAATACCAACAGTAATAATTTAAATTACATGTTGTTACCGTATCATATGATATGGTTCTTTTTTTTATTTTTACATGTTGTTATCTTTAAAGTAGTTGCTCAGGGTTTGCTCTATTTCTAGAGATAAAAATAAATCAAAGTATATACTGTTCTCTATTTCATGGATTTGAGTGGGAAAACAAAGGATGTAGAAAGCTTAGCAATAACGAAACACAAATAACCTGATCTAGTTGGAAAAAGGAAAACAATTTGGCTATTTGTACTTTTGGTTTTCAGTGTATAAATAATAACGTGGCTCTCTCCATGCAGCCTCCAAACAACTATGATGATTGACATTTGGCAAGCACATAACATAAACTGTAACAACCCATGACTAATATAACTAGGAGGGGAAAAAAACAAAACCAGAAAACTCAAATCACCACTACACGAGGAAATTAATATTGAAATACAGAAAAAGCAGTCAGCCCACACTCACAAAGAGGGTCAGCTTGAAAGTCAGCTAGAGAGGTGGTCATTAAAAAAAAAGGATGCAGAGAGATGCAGAGAGAGAGAGACACACAAATAGAAACTATGCCGGAGAAGAAAACTTCCCCTGTGAATGGGAAAATACTAAAATAGTATTTGAATTTGAAGGCATCAGAGCTTGGAACTCCAAAAGAAGGGTCTTGGAGTGGATGGGAACTACAGGGCCAAGACCTGATCAACATTAGAAAGGAAACATAGGCGGCTGGGGTTTTAGCTCAGCGGCATAAGTGCCTGCCTTGCAAGCAGGCAGTCGTGAGTTCGATCCCTGGTACCGATAAAAATGAAAAAGACAAAAAAAAAAAAAAAAAAAAAAAGAAAGGAAACACTAAAGGGACAAAGGGATCACAGAAAAGGGTATTGATATTGCAAAAACCTTTATTATGAACTAAACTGTGTTGACACCTCAATCTCCAATGTGACTGTAGTTAGAGACAGGATCTGTGAGGAAGCAGTCAGGTTAAATGGAGCAGTGAAGCCACAGGGACAGGGCCACTCAGTGACAGTACTGTTTGACCTCCAAGAGAAGCCTCCAGAACAACCAGCCTTGTCTCTGTGATCATCATTGCAGCTGAGCAAAGGCCATAGAAGGACACAGAAAGAAGGTGCCACCTGCAAGCCACAGACAGGTGGCTCACCAGAAACCAACCCTGGTTGCACCTTGACTTGGGCTTCCAGCCATTAGATTATGAGAAAATAAATTTCTACTGTTCAAGCCATATAATCTGTGGTATCTGATAATAATGACCAGCAGTCTAATAGAAACAACAAGGGGAACTAAACGTCTATGCATTTGAGTACTTAAGTAAGAAATAGTGTTGGATTTGAACAAGTGCTACCTCTGCATCCAACTTTGTTATTTCTTCTTTTCCTTTTTTTAAAAAAACTCAAGATAGAATGCTGACATTATTGACAAAGGCCAAGGCAAAATGAAAATATGGAACCAATTTTTGAAAATTGCAATAAAAGAAAAAATATACTTGGATAATATTCTTGACATTACATAAAATTGCGTGTATGAAATTACGCATTATGTTAAATATATTTTATACATGGCAGTGTCCCATGTATAAAAAACTTTATAGACATAGTTACATATGTTAAGTCTTCATATTGTGGGCCCTCTCTGTGGGTTCCACATTTGTGGATTCGTCAATTTCAGATATTGGAAAAAATTGCATTGGTACTGAACATATATTATTTTTTGTTACTTTCCAAACAATACAGTATAGAAATTATCCATATTATTTACACTCTATCAAATATTATAATCTAGAGATGATTTAAAGTATATGAGAAAATGGGGAAACCCTGGGAGGGGGTAACTGGGGGTACAGCCAAGGCCTCAGACACGCTAGGCAAGTGCTGTACTCCTGAGCTGCTTCCCCAGACTTTCCATTTCATATTGAAGTGAGGTCTCACATAGTTGCCCAGAGCTTGTGACTCTCCCACCTCAGTCATCCAAGGAGCTAGGATTACAGGCATGCACCGGAACATCAAAGTGCCATTTTAAATACAGGAGATGAGCACCCAGATTTTGGTATCTGCAGAGGGGCCTGTACCCTGCTTCCTCACTACAGTCAGATGACTGCATACACCCCCAGTATACACATGAAATTACTTGTGCTGTATAAAATTTCAACAACCTCAACTGCTTCCATCTTGAAAAACTAAGAGAGAAAATTAAACCCACAATTTAGAAGAAAGGAAGTAACACACATCCCAGTGGTAAATAATAAAAACAATTAGTATTATATAAAGTTGATGTTTCCTATATCTAAATTTCCTATTTGTAAATCTCCCCCAAATTTTCTTTTAATTTGTTTTAAAATACTTTCTAGGCCAGGGATTTAGCTCAGCAGCATAAGCACCTGCCTTGCAAGCGTGTGGTCATCAGTTCAATCCCTGGTACAAAAAAAAAAAAAAGTTTTAAAATACTTTCTGATTTTCTCTATTAAGACTTGTTTTATAATACAGAATGTTGTTTTGGTAAAGTTATCATTGATTAGAATATAAATTCAGGGTCCAGGGGTTTAGCTTAGTGGCATAAGTGCCTGCCCTGGCAAATATGAGGTAGTGAGTTTGATCCCCAGTACAAAAAAAAAAAAAAAAAGAATATAAATTCATGTTTTTGTGTTTTTACTTTTTGAGGGGGGATGATGGGGAAGAGCAGGTCACAAATGTCGTTAGATCATTTTGGGTATTTGGTGTTGCTCAAATCTACCTGTGTTACTTTTCTATTTGGTAGTCTATCAATTATGGGCAGAAGGATGGAGAAAACTAACCTTAATTCTGGATACACTATTCCATTTAGTTTTATCACACTTTGATTGATACACTTCTGAAAAAATGTTATTAATGTAAGTTTATGTTCTCTTGATAAATTGATCTTTACCAGTATTTTAAAAATCTCTGGCCAGTGAAGTTCTCAGCTCTAAAACCTACATCATCTGATTACCAGCCTTCTACTAACTTTTTTGGTGGATACGTTTTTCTTTCTTTTTTTTTTTTTTTTTGTCTTTTTCATTTTTACCAGTACCAGGGATCAAACTCACAACCACACACTTGCAAGGCAGGAGCTGATGCCGCTGAGCTAAATCCCCAGCCCCCTGTGGATACATTTTTCCATCCTTTTCCATTCAACATTGTAAACGATCAAGTTTCTCTTATATATAAAACAGTGATGATGATGATCATGATTTTAAAAAAGCACGTTTCTTTTTAAAATTATCTCATCTGGACATCTCTGCCTTTGAAAATGGATGTTTAAGACCATTTACCTTTCACAGAAGAATACACAGAAATTGATATGGAAACACTAAAAGATATTAATCTTTTTAAGTGATACAGAAATATAAGAGCAGAGTTAAGTACTTTATACCAGTCTAAATGAAAAGACTTAAGTAGTAATGTGGTTTAGTAGCACATGCTATAATTCCAGGACCCTGGGAGGCTGAGGCAGGAGGGTTATGAATTTGAGCCCAATCTGGGCAACTTAGCAAGACTCTGTTGTAAAATTAAACACTAAATAAATAAAAAGGGCTGTGGATATAGCTCTGTGCAAAACTAATATATTTGCGGTTTGCTTCTTGTATTTAGGTTCCCAATTCTTTTAAAGTCTATAATAACAACCTTATAGGGCAGAATCTAGCCTAGTTTTCAAATTTTCATGAGCACTTGAGAAAAAAAGTATAGTAGTCTTCTTTTGTTACTGTGGGCACTTTTCCATAGAGGCTGCTTCGATCCACTGGGTTATGGTGTGGTGCTGCCCTATTCTTCTAAAACTGCTATTAATTTAATGTCTAATGATTCTGTGTGATGAATTCTCCAGCTATCATTAACAATTTATTTCCTTTTTCAGATCAGCCAGTTTTTTTTTTTTCTATTTTTTTTTTGTCTTTTTCATTTTTATCGGTACCGGGGATCGAACTCACGACCGCCTGCTTGCAAGGCAGGTGCTTATGCCGCTGAGCTAAACCCCCAGCCCCAGATCAGCCAGTTTTAAACTTTGGGATTCTGTTGCTAAGACATTTAGAATCATTGTACATACGTTGGATTGATCCTTTTTATATTAACCTTTCATCAAATAATTTTCATTGCTATGGAGTCCACTTTATCTGATATTAATAGAATCATTCATACTCTGTATTATCTTAGTCTTTATCAAACTATGTTGGTAACTATGTTACGAGTTTCCTATCCATAAAAAATTTCTTCTGAGGACTGGGGATTAAACCCAAGTCTTTTGCACTGAGCTGTACCCCCAGGCATTTTTCTTTATATTATTGAGAGAGGGTCTCACTAAACAAGCCACTAAGTTGCACAGGCTGGGCTTGAACTTGTGATTCTCCTGCCTCAGCCTCCCAGAGTGCTGATGTTACAGGCATGTACCACCACACCCAGCTTCAATAATATATTTTATGATCATGTTTTTTCTGTTTTATCTACCATGCCAGTAAGTATTTTACCTGATATATTTTAATCGTTTACATTTAACATACATATTGCTCAGTTTTCTGTTCCTGTTTTTATTTTGCCTACTGGTTTCTTAAATTTTTTTATAATCTGTTAATGCATTTATGTGTTTCTGAGTATACATTTTCTAGGGGCTTCTCAGTAAGTGTTTTATGTATCCAAATGTACCCGTGCAGCAGAGTGTGGTGGCACACACCAGTAATCCCAGCCCTCTACAAGGCTGAAACTAGAGAATCAACAGTTTGGGCCCAGCCTGGGAAACTGAGTCACTTACTGTGACCCTGTTCAAAACAAAGAATTGTAGCTCAGTGCAAAGGCCCTGGATTCTATCCTCAGTACCAGAAGAAAGAAAAGTACATGTATAACTTACTCCAGCTCCCTAAAATTTTGTAAGAAATGCAAAGTAAATCTATTTAGATGCCTTTACCTCTCTGCACTTTTTAAACAACTACCTTAAGTACTTCCACTGCAAGACACACGCATCAAATGAGTGTTATCAAAGAATGTCTGACAACAGAAAGAGGAGAGGACAACGGAGGTAAAGCAGGAAACCGAAATGGCTCTGAGAAACATGGAGTAGCCAGGAAAAGCAAGAGCAAAGCTTGGATTACTGGCAGGTCTGAAATTAGGAAATACTCTAAGTGAACCCCAAAATACTGGACAATGGCATTAGACGGATGGGTTTAGAAATCAGTAAAGGTTAGGTTATCCAAGGAGATACTCTGGAACAAATATTTCAGGGTAGCCAGCTCCTGAATGAATTACAGGTAGAGACCCGCCTGATGTTATGTGCAGCACAGACTAACTCACCCTGGAAACTTGGCCTTGGGAATTCTTCCTTCAATATCCATGGCTCTTTTGCTTGCTCCAGTCTGACGATCAACTCTGGCTTTGTCACACAATACCCTGTTAATGGGAAATGATTAAGGACTTGGGCTGTCAAGGCTTTCAGATGGAGGGAATGCACGACACCACTAGAACACCTCACCAGAGAGGTGAACACAAATATCTTCTGATGCACAAAAGTAACCAATCCACACTCATGGGTTTCTGAGACAGAACCTTGCAGAGTGCCATATCTTCACAATGCAAGGGATAAACAAACGCTACTGGAATCATGGAACGCATCACCTTACCCACGGCGACCAGGTGGCTGTAGTTCTCCAGCATCACGTCTCTGTACAGAGACTTCTGCTTCGGGTCTAGGTGCTGCCACTCCTCCTGGGTGAAGTCTACAGTCACATCCTTAAATGACACTGATCCCCGGGATTTCTGTCCAGTCAAAAATGTACAGCATTAGGTGACAAGGAAAAAGATATACTGTACAGCACTAACCTATACCTTGCTTACAGATTATTTACAGAATTTTGGGGGCACACTTCAGGGGGAATACTCCACTATTGCATGAAGGTATTAATTAATTCATGCAAAAAAAATTAGCAGTCCCTACAATGTGGCTAGGACTATTACAGTTGTTGTAAACAGTAAGATTGATAAAAATCTTTTATTTCAGGAATGTATAATCTGGTAAGGAAATAAATGGAGTAGTATATTGCAAGTGCTAAAATGAAACTACATACAATACAGACAAATGATACAAATAAGGAGCAAAATGAGTTCTACTCTGAACTTCACTGGGAAAGTTGGCTAAAGATAATATGGTACTGCATCCCCAGAAGGACACGTCCATGGCACAACCAAAGGCACGAACCCACTCACATGCTCAAGAAACCAGCGACAGAGCAAGAAGCACAGGAGGACAGGAGGATGTGTCCCGGTGCTGCCACGCGGTAAAAGGTCAGGGAAGCACTCAGGAAACTCACTACAGAGTGGGTTTACACAAACATTTACACTTACAAATTATAGAAATAAACTACCAGTACATTTATTATGTATCCAACTTCCCATTTGGATTTTAAAATGCAGCAAAACCTGGCTAATGTTTATTTCATTGCAATACATACTCCAGGCTCTAACAACTCAATTCAGACACAATCATTAGGATGCACAGAAAACGGAGGGACTCTGAAACGACCATGACTGTGACATCTGTGAAGTGCACAGAGGATAGCCAATTGAGTTGTCTGGATGCTCTCTGGAATGTGTGTCTCTATTTTAGGGGTCACCGCTGTGTAAAAAGGAGGGCAGAGAAGAGATATGAGCACGTACTGAAATGATGCGGCCGGGTTTTCATTTATAGAACCTATTCGCTTGAGAGAAGAGAGCCAACTAAAGGATGAAACACCACTCCTTAGGCAAACCAGTGCAGCAGGAACTGGGATGCAAACAGGCCACTGGTGACAGGAGGGGTCACCACTAATGGGGCATCCACAAGAACAGTGGCCACTGGACTGGAGTGGAATTTTAGCAAGACAGGGCTGACAAGAGCTAGATGTGAAGCATTATACTGGAGGGTCAAAATGAAGTTAAGTATCTGACAAATACTAAAAATTTGGAAGCTGATTCATCAAGACTTAACTGAAGGCTCTCAGAGAACCTATGAGAGAAAATACAAATAAAATCTGAGGGAAAATCACTTTATAGCTAGCTTAAAGAGAGAGAACAGAACATGAAGATCGTAAGAAATTTTGTGAATATACCATATCAATAAATGCAGAAAAGTATGACTTAAAAAACGCTTAATATGGCCAGGCGTGCTGACACATACCTGCAATCCCAGCACTCAAGTAGCTGAGGCAGGAAGATTGCTGAAAGTCTGAGACAGCCTGAGCTCAAGGGCCAGCCTGAACTGCATAGCAAAACCCTGTCTCAAGAAGCAGCCAGGCATGGAGGCGCACTCCTATAATCCCAGCACTCGGGAGGCTGAGGCAGAAGAGCAGGAGGATTGTTATGAGTTCAAGACCAGCATGGGCTACAAACTGAGCCCAAGGCCAGCCTGAACTCCAGAGTGAGACCCTGTCTCAAAAATAAATAAATAAATAAATGCTTGGTATAACTCAGGATGGAAAGGAATTTCCTCAGTATGATAAAGAATTTCCATAAATAGTTACAGCAAAAACCACATTTACACTAAAATATAGGAAGTATTTAATTTAAAAACTAGGACCAAAATAAGGATGCTAGGCCAAATTCTAGTCAACATTTTTATAAAGTTTCAGTATAACAAACCCTAGAATTTGTTTTCTTTTTTTGGTACTGGGAGTCAAACTCATGACCTTGCACTTGCAGGCATGCACTGAGCTATATCCTTGATCCAAATCTTAGATATTTCTATCAGCAAACAGAATATTAAATTTTGAAAGGTATAATTAATAACAGCACGAAAAATAAAATGCAGAGGTAATTACATGATATAATGAAGTAACCAAAGAAAGCTTCAGATGGCAAACTTCAGTATGAGAAAAATATCAGTTCTACTCATGCTGCTGTACAGATTCATAGCAATCTCAGGCAAATTCCCAGCAGATACTTTGCTAGCCATTAGTCAAGTTAATGCTAAAGCGTGGAAATGCAGAGTTTCAAACAGACAAAGCAACCTTGAAGAAAATCTAAGCCAGGAAAAATATTGTTATGTATCAAGTATTATTATCAATGTGCCAAAAATCAATGTGTAACAGAGGCACAAGAATTTTCAAAAGTAGCAATGGAACAGAGCCCCAAAACAGAGACACACATGTATGGTCACTTGATTCATGAAAAGGGTGACATAAAGACAGTAATTTGACAAATGGTGCTGGTGCAATTATATTTCATATTTATTTCTATCTTAAGTGTGAGCAGATACCCATCTTAGTATAAACTTGCAAAGTGAAAGCAGTAAAAATTTTACCTCATGAAAAGATCTCTTAAAACATAAATTAACTATACATAACATACATAACCATATATAACCATACATAACACTAAAGTTAACAATCCATCTTTATCAAAGCATAAAAATAAAAATGCGATCCACATGCTGAAATAATACCTATGACAAAGAACTCTTATGGCTAGCATGAAGAGATTTCTAGAGAAATATCTCATTTACTCTTTTCGCCAAAAAGATTAATGTGAACAAAAAAGGTAGGCTATCTCAACAGCAAACCATAAAGCAAACACTTCACTAGAAACATGAAGTCAGCAGGCACTGAGCAAAACTCCAGCCAGCAATCTGTAAATGTGAAAGCCAAAATGGAACAATATTAACAATGCTCAATAAAAAAGCCACCAGAAAAATCAAAATTCTGTAAAAATATTCTAAAACGAATGTATCTTCCAGATGAAGGCTGAAAAACACACAATAAACACAGACAACAAAAAAAGCTACAGCTCTCCTAGCTCAAAGAAACTGACACTGGATGGCAGAATAAATGGAAGGTAGAAAACTCAAAACCTTAAGGCAACCTTAGCCCTGCCTTCTGGACTCTGCCTTGCCTCCTTCAGTATGGTACAGTATGTCACAGATGAGGGTGACAGAGTCCAGCTGTTTGCAGACTCTTACACTGTGAAGTGATAAACTACAAACTTGATACCGGCATTCGTACAGGAATGCAGGCCGATGCTTCCTCTCAATGTTGTAATTATACACTGGAACCAAATATGACGATCCAAAACCTGACACTACTTGAACTGTGTCTCTAACTCTTTTTAACAGCAATGAAGAACAGTTAAAGACAGTGATAGTGAACCTTTTAGAGACCATGTACTCAAAATGCAACTCCAAACCCACTTGTTTGTCACAAAGTGCCAACACTGCAATGAAACCTGAAATTCTGATGATCGGTTGCTGGGGCAAGTTAGCTCATGTGTCCACAGCAGCAGGCACTTGCCATAGGTTTGCCAGCACTGATTTCAGAGAACGGTCTCATTCATTTGGAGCTGCCACTGGAAGATTATTCAACACGTGTCCTTCGTTATGATCCAAAAAAAGAGGTCTTTGTCTTCAAAGCATTCAGTCTTCCCTTGGAGGATACAAGGTGTTGCTTTCTCCCATAGAGGGCAAAAATACTGGAGACATATCTGCTGCTCACATAAGTGACTCTAAGATCACCTGATCAGTATATGGCAACGCACCTATGATTTTATATATTTTTGTGTTTTGTGTATATCTAATTTCTCACTTAACATACTGACTCTTACAAATAACATGAGGAATGAACAACTTACCTTGCTCATTTTGTGCTAATCTTCGAAGGATGTAGGCAATTCTTAAGCTATCACTGGGTTGGAAGAAGAAAGATAGGGAGATGAACGATTTGTCTTGCATAGCAGACACACATACTCCCTAAGAAGAAGAGTTCTCTGTGTCCCTGTCCTATCACACTTCAGGACGATTAGGGAGAACGGTGAAAACTCACCTGATACAGCTCTAATAGAATCATGGTGCTCTGGAGTACAAGATTTTGTGAATATGTGCATCCTAAGGATTTTAAAAGCTTACATCTCCCTTGATGCTCACAAATACGTATATATAACAAAATACTGGTCGCCAGTTATCAATACTTTCTAATGAAGGAACAAGTTGACAATGCTCCCAGTGTAGAAAATTCCTAAGTCACTAAAACTGTTGTTGAAAAAAAATCAGGGCTAACGATCATTTTTCTCACTAATATTACTTTGTCGTCGGTTAGTGAATGCACACATACACAAAGTAGTCCTTCAAGAAAAACCAGTTTTTGCGTCTTTACATCGTGGTATTTCTGAAAAGTGTGCTTCATAAGAAACGTTCTTTTGACACATGTAAAACCAATACAGGCTTAAGAGTCAAGGGGTCAGACCACCACTAACAGATTCTGAAAAAGTCACTGGCCATCAAAACTAATTTTTTCTTCTACCAAATAAGAACAGATATTCTTCAAGCTACCTGAGGAGTGCTAGGGCAATCACGGTTTGAGATGTCTAGGCAGGGCGGGCGGAAGCCCACTGCGCACGCGCCTCCCACAAGTACCGCCCCTCCCGAGTAAGGGGCTCGCGAGCTTGCGCTATCTCCGCTGGGTAACAGGTTGGCGCATGCGCACACTCGCTCCTCCCGCGGCCCCACCGACCTGCCTAGAGGAAAGAGCGCCGTCCGCTCGGTTCTAGGGCTGGACCTAGTGCTGACCGCCGTCACATCCTGACAGACGCTGCCGTCCAGGGGCCCGTGGGCCTTTCCCCATTTTGGGACACGGGCCCCTCGCCTAGCTCTTTGGAACTCACCCGTCGATCACGGGTCGTGTTCCAGGGCCCGGAGGAGCTGCAGCTGGGCAGCCTGGGACTGCCTCCCATCCATCTGAGGCCCGTGGAAAACAAGAAGGCGGGGACGCTGCACCAAGCATGCGCAGAACCGCGCCGACTTAGCCACCGGCACAAAAACTTACTTTCCCGTGAGGCCCCGCGCCCCACCGTCTGGATTGGCGCCCAGGTGTTTGCCAATTTGCCACCGCGAGTGACCCAGATCCGCAGTTCGCAGGATTAAGGCTGCCGGGGACTTGTGCAGGGGTCCGGCGTGCCATTTAGACACGGAGCGAGCTGTCGGGCGAGGAAAGCTACAAGTCGTGTTTAGATAGACAAATTCGCTGGCTCATACAGACCCAGTATCTGACACCCTCAGTGAATCTGTCAGGAAAAATAGGTGTGAGGACAGAATCCCTTGACACAAGAAAGTGGTAGGAAATAGGTACGAGAACATAATAGAACATAAATTTTGTATGCTCTCCGTATTAAAGTGATAAAGTTGGTTGAATAAAGAGAGCCTTTTCATAGGAAGATTAACAATTTCATTTAAAAATCTCAACATGTTAATGTATTTTTCTCATTGTTACTGAATTGCATACTTTACAAAAGCACTGACTTCATCTGAAATCAGAACACCTAAATTAGCATAAGTTTTAAACCCAAGAACGACCTTACAAATATGTATAGTATTGCTCGGAATTGGTCATCTTTCTGTTGATAGGATAAAATACCTGAGAACCATTAAAGGTTTATTTGACTTACAGTTTCAGAAGGTTCAGTCCATGGTTGGTCAACTCTAGAGAAACATCTCAGAAGAGGTTGTGGGGAAAAAAAAAAAACTCATGTCATGTCATGACACCTGTGAAGCAGAACATAGGGGAAGAGCATCAAAGAGAAATGTCCTCCAAAGGAACACCCCCAGTGACCTACCTCCTACAGCCAGGTTCCAGGTCTTAATGGCATATTTAGCTGAACATCAGTGGGTTAGTCCACTGATGAATATAGCTCTTCCATGATCAAATCGCCTCTCTAGGATTCTCTTCATCCAGTCATGTTAACAAGATTAGCTGGCACATGCTTCATTTAAAGTAGTGTAGTAAGGACTTCTTGAAAGTGAGATGCTTCGAGAGTATTTTTAAAATACAGTATAGTAAATGTAGTGCTTCCAAACAATGAAAGAAACCTTTTCTTTCTTTAAATTTCTTTAGTTTTAGGGAAATGCAACACCTATGCCCTCAGAGGAGGTTTCTATGCCTTACTTTTTTTTTTTTTTTTGTCTTTTTCCTTTTTATTGGTACCAGGGATCGAACTCATGACTGCCTGCTTGCAAGGCAGGCGCTTATGCCACTGAGCTAAATCTCCAGCCCCTATGCCTTACTTTTTGTGTGTATGGTCACACTTTTCTCTTTTTTTGTTCTTGTAATTTGTTATTATTGAAAACTGGGTATTTTGGATATTGTAGCAAATGGGGCCCAGATCTCCTGTGGGGTATCCTGTTGTATGCCTGCCTGTTTGCTGACTTGAAGTCCATTTCTCTGCAGTGTGCATTCTAGTGTAGTTCATTTTCCTACAGCACTTGCTTGGCACGCACAATACCTTCGGGTTGATCTCCAGTGCCAAGAAAAGGGGCAAAACATGAAGACTGGGGTTTTGGCAATGAAGGAAGCTGGTATTGCCATGAAAGAAACAAGCTAAGCCAGAACCAACATTTGCAGTCTGCCTAGATTAGCAATGTTTTGCTTTGTTTTTGTTTGTTTGTTTGTTTGTTTGTTTTTTGAGATAGGGTCTTGCTCTGTAACTGGGCTGGCTTTAAAATCACTATACAGTCCAGGCTGGCCTCAAGGCAATTCTGCCTCTGCCTCTGTGTGCTGGGATTACAGGTGTGCACTGACGCGCCCAGCAGATGTCACTGTTTCTAAAGATGTTCTTTTGGACTATCTTCCCATCTCGATATTAACCTGTTGAACCTTTGCTAGTCATTACTAATTTCTTTTTTTTCTTTTTCTTTTTCTTTTTTTTTTTTTTTTTTTTTTTTTGGTACTGGGAATCAAACTCACGATCTTGCGCTGGCCAGGCAGGCACTGTACTGCTGAGCTATATCCCTGGCCCATCATTTCTAGTTTCTAACTGATAGAAACTGTTTTCCACAATGCCCTGAATGATCCAGTTAAACTTAGGAGTCCTTGGCAAAAGTACCCTTTGAGACCAGACTTTCAGATTCCTTTTGAATTAGGAGTAATTTTTTGAGCTATGTCTTTGCCCAGTTTATTCTGGTAAACTTCTGGTTGGTTACAGCACAATAGGCATTACTTACCTATTTTTATTACATAATGATATTCATATTTCAACTAATTTGTAACAGCGGTTTATCAAGAATGTGAATACATGGGCTGCTGCCGCACCAGCATCGCCTAAGATCCGCGCCATGTTGGAATTTAGGGTGCTGGTAAACTTAGGGCGTTGGTAATCCCCTGGTAAGTGGTAGTGAGCCTACCGGCGTAGGGGCTGAGAATCAAACATCTCCCCCTCCCCATTAGCAAATGGGAGCCAGAGATCTAAGCATCTATTGAGAGGTGGACCATATGCAATATAGCAAATAAGGGGGATTTCTTTCTACCAACTCTTTGAAGGCAAATATTTTTACTACTGTTTTGCTTTATTCTGATTAATGGTATTGCTCTATTCAATATTGTTTTGATAAGTTCTGTAATGTTCTGTATTTTTGTTTTATTTTGCTATACCTGACTGAAAGAACAACTATTGTGAAGATAACAAGGTATACTGTGGTAACTATTACCGTTATTCTGGTAACCTGCTGTGAAGTTCTGTACCATTTTCACTAGACTGTCTAAATTGGCTTTGTTCTGTCTTGTTCTGTTGTATTTTACTGCCTTCAAAATAATAAAAAATATTTTTAAAATGTGAATACTGAGTCTTATAATTGTTAAATACATTTTCTCAATTTGTATTTTAACTTCGTTTTCTTTTAATTTGGACTTTTAAGTATGCCACAGTAACTACTTCAGGTAAGCATGCTTTTTAAAATCCCTCCAATGTCACTCCCCCACCCAGAAACACAAAGGCTTTTGCTTTCAAAGTCCTTCACTCTTTCTTCTCCCTGCCCTCCAGCTAAGCATGGCTGTCCCTGATGGCTCTCTTCTTATCTTCAACCTTTTGAAGTATGCTGCCCTCTTCTCTCTACAGTCTGTGTTATGGTGTAGATCTAACATCTCTCAGCTGTCCTCAAACGTAAATTTATTGCACTGAGTTCACACATCAGGAAAACAGAACGAATACAAATAAATAACCTGATGTTACACCTCAAACATCTAGAAAAAGAAGAGCAAGTCAAGCCCAAAGCCAAAAGAAGAGAGGAAATTATAAAAATCAGAGCAGAAATCAATGCAATCGAGACTAAAAAACAATCCAAAAAATCAATGAATCAAAGAGTTGGTTCTTTGAAATAATAAATAAAATTGACAAACCCCTAGCCAACCTTATTTTAAAAAGGGAAGAAAAAGCTCAAATCCATGCAATAAGAAATGAAACAGGTGAAATCACTACAGACTCTATAGAAATACAGAAGATCATCAACACCTATTTTGAAAACCTCTACTCTCAAAGGTTTGATAACACAGAGGAAATAGACAGATTCCTAGAAGCATACGAAGTACCAAAGCTAGATCATAAAGAAGTAAAACTGCTGAATAACCAATTTATATTAATGAAATAAAAATGTAATTAAATCTTTACCTACAAAGAAGAGCCCAGGGCCAGAAGGATTCACTGCAGAATTCTACAAGAAATACAAAGAAGACCTAATGCCAACACTCCTCAAACTATTCAATGAAATTGAAAGGGAAGCAATCCCTTCCTAAGTCATTCCTGGAAGCAAATATTACTCTAGTACCAAAACCTGAGAAGGACCCAACTGAAAAAGAGAACTACAGACCAATCTCCCTAATGAACACAGATGCAAAAATCCTCAATAAAATATTGGCAAATAGGATGCAGCAAATCATCAAGAAGATCATACACCATGAACCAAGTGGGATTCATCTCAGGCATGCAGGGATGGTTCAACATACGTAAATCAATAAATGTAATCCACCATATCAATAAAGCCAAAAGTAAGAATCACATGATCATTTCTATAGATGCAGAAAAAGCTTTTGATAAGGTCCAATATTCATTTATGATAAGAACCTTGCAGAAAATTAGAATAGATGGTCTTTACCTCAGTATAATAAAGGCCGTCTATGACAAACCAACAACCAATATTGTTAGGTCTGAGAACAAGGGGGAGGATGGGAAGAGGGAGAGGAAGAAGTCCGTGGAAGGAGTGGAGTGGACGGCCGTGAAAGTAGTGGGCGGCGGTGGCTTTATTTTGGGAATGCGGGGAGAGACACCCCCCCACCCGCCCCCGGGGTGCAGCATCTCCACTGCACCCGGGGCTGGTGGTCTCTCTCTGGAACACACTCTCCCTTTCTCCTTCTTCTTCTTCTTCTTCTTCTTCTTCTTCTTCTTCTTCTTCTTCTTCTTCTTCTTCTTCTTCTTCTTCTTCTTCTCTTCTTCTTTTAACACGTGGAGTCAGGCCCATAAGTAACCTCTGTCTGGGGTGGACCCCAAGGGGCATTAGGGATGTACAGGTATTTCATTGGCACACGTTTTGGCGCCAGGGTTACAGGGCTGGGGGTATAGGGTTACAGGCAAATCTATAGGGGCGGGGGAGGCAGCGGCTGCGGCTTTTCCTGGTTAAAGTGTCCGGTCTGGGCCAGCAACTCTTTCAAATATCATACTAAATGGCCAAAAATTAAAGGCCTTTACTTTAAAATCAGGCACAAGACAAGGATGTCCCTTATCACTACTCCTATTTAATATAGTATTGGAAATACTATACTGAGCAATTAGACAAGAGAGAGAAATAAAATGTGTAATGATAAGAAAAGAAGAAGTTAAGCTATCATTATTTGCAG